ATTTGAAATAGGCATGAAATGAAATAGCAAAAACAACAACAAACAGCAAGAAAAGCTCATGTCACTGAACCAAGAGCGTTCACACAACACATAATATTCACACAAAGGCACAACCACAACAACTACAAAACAAAAAAACATATTGTCATTAATACCTCAAAGTAGGGTAAGTGCACCAATAGTCGGCACTTTAAGAATTTTCGCTTTTTAAAAGTTTCACCATTCCAAGTGCATCTTTTACACGATATTGTATTTAGGTTCATCTGTTTCGAAATTTTGTTTACTCCCCGATGGAATACAAATTTGTTTAATTAACTTGTATTAAAGTAGATTAAATTAATAATTATGTAAAATAGTGCCTTTGTGCCAATAGTCGGCACATTTTTCCAATTGTCGGCATGTTATGTTCCAATAGTCGGCATGTCACATTTTAGTTAAACAAAAATTATATATTTAATTGATTTTTCTGCTATTTTCAATAATAAATTATTACTATGGGACGTTTCCATCAGTTTTGTATTGAAAAAGTTATATAAAATAATATTATTTATTAAAATATTACAATTATAAAACATGGTGCCGACATTGGGAACCTGTTATCCAATTCTCGGCATGGCTAAATAAGGCATTTCATAGGTTAAACACATTTAAGATTAAACAATGTCTTCCATTATGTTAAACCACTCAAAACAGATTTTTATAAATTAATCGTTATTTAGAGCACTTATTTAATTTTTTTCCAATTTTGAGCCAAAAAGATCGAAAAGGTGCTTATTATTCACCCATATGCCGACTATAGGAAAACCTTTAAAATTTTTGTTCCTAAGGGCGGCATCGATAAAAATATCATAATTACAAATATTTTTTAATGATTTTAAATTCTAAAGTATTATTCTCTATGTTCTTTACAATTACCAAGAAGATCCTTGTGAAAAATATATAATTTTAATATAGTTACAAGTCTTTTGCAATTGACATGCCCACTAATTTTTTCTTAAGAAACATGATTTATCGTTGGTGTTGACAAACCTCATTGACCAAATGCCAAATATTGACTCAATAAATGTACATAGCTCGATTAAATTTTATACAGAGATAGGTTGCAGTGTTATTGAAGATTATTCGAGGTATTTTTCATATTTAGTTATAGGATTTTTTAGTTATTTGAAGTTATATAAAAAAGATGCCGACTATTGGTACATGCCGGAATTAGGTGCGTTTACCCTATATGTAGTACCCCTAATAGTAGTAGTAGTTTGTGTTAAAAAAAAACGAGCAACGATTTAGTTAAGGTTTTTTGCAAAGACACACATTTATTTTCTATTGTTATTGTTGTTGGCGGTTTTTTATTTTGTCTTTATATTTGTCTTCGTTGGGGTGATTAAGAAATCTCCCACAAAAAAAAAATAGTGTCTCTGAGACACAAACAACAATAAAAAAATTAATAATTCATGGTCGGCCGCTGCCGGCACAACAAAAAAATAATACGAAGCAAAATAAAAACAAAGACAATATAGTTTACATAGAAAGAACATATATACATATTTGTTGATTGTGTTAAAAAACCAAAACCAACAACAACGAAGATGTAGTTGAGAAACAAATTTATGTATGTATGTACGCGTACATATGTACACAACATTGCCGATTTAAGCAGAAAAATAACAACTTGGAAACAAAACAAAGAATGAAAAGAAAACAAAAGTATATCGGCGAAAAAAAAAACAACAAAACAGCTTAACATAGGAAGTAGTAGAGTGGAGTATGGAAACCATGTGAAATAACACACAAACATGAACACACAGAGAGACAGACACACATCTATACAAGAGAGACATGTATAATAATGTGGTTTTGTTTTGATACAAAAATTTGCTTATTAACAGTAAAAGACCAAAGAAATCTCGCGCTCGGATGTGATCAACAGAATAACAACACATTGAGCCATGCACAACATTCGTTACAAGAGAGCCGTAGCAAATATGCAAGTGCAATGGGTGAGGGTGAGAGAGATTGGCAAAATAAAAACAAAACCCCCACAACACATTAACGGGCAAACTTACGAAATGACAAGGCCATTGAAAGAGAGAGGCCTCCTTTTGTCGGAGTAGTGGCGTATATTATTAATTGCATGTAATGGAATTAAGAGGATGGGGAAAATTGCATTATATTTAGATGAAAATTAATGCGATTAGAAATATTAAATATTAAAAAATATAAAATATAAAACGGAGGAAGGAGCATCTGTGGGGAAATCATTTTTTTTTTTTAAGTTTAAATAGAGGTATGATGACTAACATGTGTTCCAGAGATGTAAATAATTAAAGCTCTCTGAAAATTATTAAAAAATCCCCGCCTTATAATCGACTCTAAAAATTATTTTTAAGAAATCCACTCCTTATAATCGACTCTTAAAATTATTTTAAAAAAAATCCACACCTTATAATCGGCTCTGAAATGAAACAAAAGGCCGGAAGGTCTATACAAAAACGTGGTAATTTTTTGAAGGACTATTTTCGACCCACTAAGACAAAAAAAAATGGAAATTAGTAATTTCGGTTACAAAATTTTTTCGGAATCCCAAAAAAAAAATCGAATAATGGAGATACCGTTTTATGAGATTCGTCTACAAATTTGAGAAAATATTGATTATTTTTTGGTAGAAAAAAATCCTATATTAATAATTGGATCTTGGACACATCCTAAGAAGCCAGAATATCGAATATGAATCAATTCGGTTAGGAAAAAGTGCGCAAATTTCCCGAAATATCGACATTAAAGGGGTACCGTTATATGGATGGGTGCAATGCCTACTAAACATGGACCGATAATAATAATTTTACGCATCGATATTGGACACATCCTGAGAAGCCCTAATATCAAATATGAGTCATTTCGGTTAGAAAAAAGTGCGGAAATTCTTTAAAATACCGCCATTTTAGGGGTACCGTTCTAAGGGGGGCTATACATAAACGTGGACCAATATTGATAATTTTTTTGGTAGGTAAATTTTCGAACCATGAGCAAGCAAAATATCAAATTAGAGACAAATCGATTGAAAAATATGTTTCCAAAATTCTCAAAAATTAGACATTGGAAGGTATCGTATAAATGGAAGCTACCATAAAAAATTGGCGAATACTGCTAATTTTTGGAAGGACAATTTTGTTATTCAATATGAACCTAAAATAGAATAGTACAGCCGATTCAGATGAAAAATGTGCCCAATCTCTTTAAAAAACCGAATATTGGAGGCAGCCTTATATGGGGGCGTCCTAAAAAGTGAACCAATCGATTCGGTTGAAAAACGTGCTAAAATATCCCAAAATAACGAAGAGAACCAATATTGATATTTTTTGGTAGGATTTTCGAACCCATGATGATCAAAATTACAAAGTTACGATTGAAAAAATGTGTCCAAAATACCAAATTTTGGGAGGTACCTTTATGTGGGGCCTATCCTATGGGGCCTAAAGTGAACCAATACTGATAAATTGTGGTAGGGAGATTTGCTACCCAACGATAACCTAAAATACCAAATTACAATCGATTCGCTTTGAAAACCATGTCCAAAGACCTCAAAATTTAGGGTACCGCTATGTAAGGACTACCCTTCAAAGTGTAAGAATAATAATTTTCTATCCAATGAGAATCCAAATCTACCAATTATATCCAAATCTATTAAAACAATTTTCGAAAATTGGCGGTATTGCTATGTTTGAAAGCTGTCCGATATATCCCATATTCATCCGATACCAAACATAGTAGAAATAGTCCGTCCATCTTTTGATGGGGGGCATAAGAAAACATCCTATTTATCATCTTCCAAAAAAAGTATATCAAATTCCCACCTCCTAAATATCCCATTTATTACGTAAAAAGGGCCCCCAACAAAGGCCTGCACTCACCTCAACTTTCCCGCCATTAATTTCATTCATTCCTTTGTACACCCGTAATAAGCAAGTTATTTCTCAACAAGAACAATCACGTCTTATGTGTGTGGGGGAGAATTATATTTGATTTTTTTTTCAATTTAGAGAAAAAAATTAGAAAAGGTAAATTTTTTATTTATTTTTTTACAAAATAAAATAAATAAAAAATATTACATTATGTAGTTAACCCTTTTTACATTTTAGCTATGTAAAAAGCTTTCAATGCATTCCCCCACATTTCGAAAAATGCAATTCAATTAAAAGAAACTGCAATAAAAATAATGTTAAATTACCCCCCTTTATTTGCACTCATACACTAAGACATCACACATTTACAACAACAACGAAAATAACTGCAGTTAACAGAACATGATTAGTGAGTGCTCTTCATTGCACAAGAGATATAATAAGGAGAACACTCTTTCCCAATTATCTCTTGCACAGAGCAATGTTGTGCTCTGTTAACTGCAGTTATTTTTGTTGTTGTTGTTGTTATGTTTAGCCGTTAACAGCAACAAAACAATAACAATTCAAAAAAAAGAGATTCACGTTTAGCCGTTACAGCAATTCAAAAAATTCTCCAAATGAAAGTAAAACACAGAACCACAGAAAAATAAAAACAACAACGCAATGGCAACAATAAAAACAGAACTGTGCAAAAAAAAAAAACCTGTGTGAGTATGGGTTGGTTGGTGTTGCTGTTGAGGTGAATAAATGCAGAAAAAACAAAAAGTAAAGTATGCATGCATGTGTGTGCCTTTCTTTGCAATAGAGGAGGGGACAGGAGCAAAACGTCAATCAGGCCAATTTATTATTTTAGCCGGCAAAAATAAATTGCGGAGGAAAAAGTTACGATAGATAAAATAGAAATTAATAAAAAAAATTATAAATAAATAGAAAAGTAATAATAATTAAATAAAAATAAAATTATTAAAAATAAATTAAATAAAAATAAAATTATAAAAAATAATTAAATACAAAATTAAAAAAAAATAATAAATAGATAAAAATTAAAACATCTGAATTAAATAATAATTAAAAAATATATATTTCAATATTCGCACATACCGCATATTTGTTAAGAAATCCATCATGAAATCCACTTGAATATTCTTCCAGTTCAAACATTTTGTTGTTGTTGTTGTTCCTTTTTGTTTTTTATTAAGCTGACAGCAGCTACGACGGCAGCTCCTTTTGTTCTTTGTTAAAAAAATTCCGAAAACTTTTTTGTTAAGGTTTCCCCTTTGCTCCTGACACTCTCTAAAATATTTGTTGTTGGTGTTGTTGCTTTTAAGAGATCTTTTTTTCTTTTTATTGGGTTCACGGATTTAATTTGTTTTTGTAACTTAATTGCGGTATATTATTATTATATATATTTATTTGAATATATGTGGAGATGTATACACACACAAAATATGTTTTTGCAAAAAAGAAAAATTCGTATCTTGGTATTTGTATAATTTTTTTTATTAAATACAAATTACTTTTGTTGTATTTTTTTTAAAAACTTTGGTATATTTTGCAAAATGAAAAATTCTAAATTTTTAATTAAAACCACTGTTCATTTAATTTTTGTTTTATTTTTTGCGCGCAACCTTCTCTCTTTGTTTTTTAATTTTTTCCGTTTTTTCTATTGTGTGTTTTGACAGCGACTAATAGCAAATGAACAGAAAAAACAGCAACAACGTAAAAAAAATTTGCCGGTAGTGTTGAGAAAAAAAGCCGCCTTTGATTTAATTTTGTTTCTTTCGTTTCAAATTAATTTAGAAAACACTGCAAACATTTACTTTTGTTTCCCGCCTAAGTTTTTGCACAGAACATCTTCATCATTTTCCTCCTTTTTCCATTTCTGTTTTCTCATACAAATCAAATATTTTGTGTATTTATTATTTCTTCTTAGATTTTTCCTTTTTTGCTTCTTCTTTACAACATGGAACGCACCGCAAAAAAATCTTGTGTGTGTGAAACAACCGACAACCGGACGCGACTACCAACGACGACAAACCACACACGACCACTCTCTCTGACAATCTGACTGCTCTCTTCAACGAGACAACAACATCAGGCCATGCATACGGGGAAATAATAACATTGACAGGGTTGGAAAAAGTTGGCAGGCAGGTACCAAACACGGACACAGACACTGTAAAACACAATGACAAAATGCCTGTTCTTCGTCTTGTGTTGTAAAATTGTGAAGGTCACTGTAAAAAAGGTATTTCTTTTTTCCCAAGAAACGAAGGATCATAGGCATTGTGCAAGAATTTCGAATAATTACAAATTTTTCCATTGTCCTCCGTACAAAATTTTACCAACACTGTTACAAAATCGTCTACACAATATTTTAAGCTGGAAATACCGTGTCCGGATTTTTTCATTGGAACTGGCAACTTCGCGTGTAGAGTTAATTTTTGAATATAACGTATTAAATTATAACCTCAAAATTAAACTGGGGGAGGGTTGAAGAACATGGTTTCGACAGCATGGGCAAACGCGTGCTACATTATCAGGGGCGAAGCTTAGTTGAGGCACACATATACAAAAGCTGGGAATTGTGAAATTTGGTAAAATGGCTCAGAGGCTCTGTCGAACAGTGGTCCCAAAAATACCTGAAAATATTTTTTTTTTGGAATTTCAAAATATTTCAGGAGCAAATTTTTCAATTGAATTGGTTATAATTTGATATTCCTACAAAAAATTAGAGGCTCTGTCGAAAAGTGGTCCCAAAAATACCAAAATATAATTTTCGGATTTTTAAAATATTTCAGGAGCAAATTTTTCAAATGAATCGGTTATAATTTGATATTCCTGCAAAAAATTAGAGGCTCTGTCGAAAAGTGGTCCCAAAAATACCAAAATATAATTTTCGGATTTTTAAAATATTTCAGGAGCAAATTTTTCAATTCAATTTTCTACTAAAAATTATCAATATTGGTCAACATTTTAGGGTAGCCTCCCCCTATATCAAGACACCTTCCAAATTTTCAGCCCATTTTAAACCGAATTGGCGGTAATTTGGTATTCAGGGCTGGGGTAGTAAATCTTTCCACCAAAAATTATCAATATTGGTCCACTTTTTAGGGTAGCCTACCCCTATATAAAGACATCTTCCAAATTTTGAGCTCATTTTCAATCGAATTTACTGTAATTAGGTATTCAGGGTTCGCCTGGGGTAGTAAATCTTTCTACCAAAAATTACCAATATGGGTCCAAATTTTAGGGTATCCAACCTATATTAAAACACTTTCTAAATTTTCAGTACCTTTTCAACCGAATTGATGGTAATTTGATATTTTGGGTTCGCCTGGTGTAGCAATCTTCCTAACAAAAATTACCAATATTGGCCCATGTTTTATAGGGTTGCACCCCCGGCTTGTTTTTCAAGTTCCGGCTTGTTTTTCAAGCGACTTGGCTGTAATTTGGTATTTTGGTTTCTCATTGGGTAACAAACCTCCTTACCAATAATCATATATATTGGTTCACTTTTTACGATAGTTCCCCTATAACGGCACCTACCGAATCTTTCATATTATGGTCACTTTTCAACCGAATCGATTAAAATTTGGTATTGTGGGTTCTCATTGGGTAGAAAACCTCCTTAATAAAAATTAACAATATTGGTCCACATTTTAGGATAGCGCGCCCATGTAACGGTACCTTCAATTTTCGGAATTTTGGGCAGGGTTTTCAATATAATTGTTTGTAATTTTGTATTATGGGTTATCATAGAATAGCAAATTTTCCTACCAAAAATTATAAATATCGGTTTTGACATAGTCCTCATATAACGGCACCTCTATTTTCCGATATTTTGATAATTCCAGAAAAAATTCTCAACCGAATTTCCTGTAATTTGGTATTTTGATTTCTCATTGGGTAACAAACCTCCTTACCAATAATACTATATATTTGTTCACTTTTTACGATAGTTCCTCTATGACGGTACCTTTCGAATCTTTCATGTTATGGCCACTTTTCAACCGAATCGATTGAAATTTGGTATTCTGTGTTCTCATTGTTATCAAAAATCACGGTACCTTCAATATTCCGTATTTTTAATTTTTTTTTTTTTGGGCAGGATTTTCAACCGAATTCCCTGTAATTTTGTATTATGGGTTCTCATAGAATAGCAAATTTTCCTACCAAAAGTTATAAATATCGGTACAAGTTTTGACATAGTCTCCGTATATAAAGGCACCTCTATTTTTTGATATTTTGATAATTTCAGACACATTTCTCAACCGAATTGCCTGTAATTTGGATTCGCATAGGGTTGCAAATTTTCCTATAAAAAATAATCATTATTGGTCTACTGTTTCGGATAGATCCCATATAACGGTACCTTCAGAATTTCGGTATTTTTGGAGGAGATAGGGCACGTTTTTCAATGGAATTCAATATTTCGGATGTAATTAGATATTCCGGTACCTTGGTGGCTAAACAATTTCTTTACAGAACAATATTGTTCGAAACGTCTATGTCGATGTCAGAGAATGACTATGTCGATGTCAGAGAATAGGTATAGCTCATGGTTCATTCGACGGCGATATCCACCATCGACGCAGATCGGTCCATAGATCATCTAAAGAATTTTTCTCATCTGCTTGCGCAAGTACCCATGTTCAGATCCATACAACAGTATGGGTAATATCCGTGTGTTGTAGAGTGTGAGTTTTGTCTGGCGAAAGGTGGCCTTGCTTTGAGTTGTTTACTCAGACCATAGTAGCATCTGTTGTCCGTATTTCAATGCTGATGTTGTTAGTTTTGTATATGGCGGTACCGAGGTATATAAATCGTTAACTACCGCGAAGTTCTAGTTTTCAAGTTCCACAGTTGGCCCGAGTCTACTGGACGTCTTGAGCGATGGTACCATCAGCTTGGTCTGTTCGCCATTTACTGCCAGTCCCACTTTGGCAGACGCCTTCTCTCTCAAAGGTGGCTATTACCGCTCACAATTTTCTACCTATTATGTCGATGTCGTCGGCGTAGGCGAGTACCATGTGTTGTTTGGTGTACAGAATGCCATTTCTGATAGCCTTTGCCACTCGTAAGACCTTTTCCAGCAGGATGTTAAACGCTCAAACGACAAACTGTCACCTTGTCTGGATCCTCGTTCGGTAATGAAGAGCACCGAGAGGTCATTTCGGACTTTAACTGCTGATCTTTTGCCAGTTAAAGTTATGACTTAGTTCTATATAAAACTCCCATTCAATTTTAGGTATTTCGAATTTTCACCTCACGGTGTTTCGGTCCTCCCGAATATTTACTAAATTTTTGCAACTTCTACTTTGTTAAATAAATACAATGTTCAACAATGTACAATGTTCAACATGTAAAAAAAATTGCGCTCCGTAAAATATTAAAGAAGTTATGAAAAAACAAAAATAATTAGTAGTCAAAATTAATGAAAATCAAGAAAAAAAGTGAAGATTGTGTTGCCGCTGATAAGTGAAATTAAATGCTATTGTATTTATATAATATAACCAAAATACGAGAGTAGAGCTGTGTCTGACTGCCTTGTTAAAATACCATAAGAAGAAGAAGAAGCTAGCATTTGCCGCCATATATTTTGATGTGATTTGATCGAAATACATTGTTATACTAATTTTGGAAATCTCAGCTTGGAGTATTTATACTTCTCAGCTTCCAATACCATTGTTCCTGTTTTCTCTTTGCGTTCCTGTCTTCTTGGATAAAACATTTTTTGTCAGCTGCTTTCTGCCATACTGTTGTTGTTGTATGCTATTTTTGGAAGCCGGTGCTTGTTGATCTGGTGAATTTTGCTGTTTGTTTTGTTAACACTTGCTTGCCCAATATCGGTAGATGTTTATTATCATTCCAATTCTATACACTGAGAGAATTGGCATATATTTATTTATTGACATCATGCCTACCATACCATCCAAGATATACACATGCCCCAAGTGCCTAAAAAGAGTAAGGGCTAATGAAAATAGCATTGGTTGTTTTTTATGTGATGACTTCTACCATATTGCATGTGTAAAAGTCACCAAAGAACAGCATTCCTTCCTCCATAAAAGTAAAATGTTTCTATACAGATGTACCAAATGCGCTAAACAGAACAAAAACAGCAGCTCCATCCATAATAAAACGGATGATCCTACTATGAATTCAGTTGATCTATGTGAAGAATGGCGCAGCCGCTTTACAGAATTTTCTAATGACATACAAAATCAGATTGTTGGCATTAAAACCAAAATGGATGAAATTTTAGAAGCCGTTAAACTTGAATTCAACGTCAAAATGCATAAGATTGAGGAAGATGTAAAAAACTGTTTTGCTGTTAACAAACAATTTGAGGCAATGTACGCCAAGAAAATTCAAGAGCTTGAAATTCAAAACGACATACAACGCAGGAGATTAAATAGGGCGGATATTGTAATTAATGGGCTACCTGATGCTATTCATGACCTTCGAGAGCCGGTTATCAAAATAGCGTCTTTATGCAAAGTAAATCTTAGTCCATCGGATATTCAACATTGCTGCTATATGGCAAAAGGAAAATCTGTATTGGTTAAATTTAATTGTGTTTATACAAGGGACTGCATAATGGCGAATTACCACAACAATTGTCACTTAATTCTCTCAGATATAATTGGTGGTGATATCAGAAATAAAGTATTCCTTAATGACCACCTGCATGAAGCTGCCTCTAAGCTGTTGTATTTATGCCGCAAACTTAAAAGAGAAGAGAAGATCGTGAAGTATAAACTAAAAAATTCTGACTTGCCAAAAGTGTATGTAGTTTACCCCAATGGCACTGAAGGGACTCTCGACTTATACCAATGTGCTGAATTTTTAGATCATGGTGGCTCTGATGGGATGCTTACCGCATCAACGCCTGTAACGAATATATAATTTATTATGGAACGAGAGTAGTCTCCATCATCTTCATCTTCTTTAACTTATTTTAATTTAAACTTGTTTATTATCTTTAATATTTTTCTGCGCCTATATATATTTTTCTGATCTCAAATTATGAATTTAAATAATATTGGCGAAATTGTCCATGATAATCAATTTTTCCGCAATTGTTTCTCAAACACAAAGCAAAATCTAAATTTAATGCATTTTAACTCTCAAAGTTTAAACATTTGTCCTAATTCATCAAAGCTTTCAGAAATCAAGAATATTGTTGAAGACAGTGATCTGGATATAATCGGTATATCAGAAACATGGTTAAAACCATCGGTTCCAGTGGAAATGGTTAATATTTGTGGTTACTCATTCTGTAGAAATGATAGACCTGTTCGCAGAGGCGGAGGAGTTGGTTTACTCATTTCAAAAAAGTTAAAATACAAAACTGTATACATTGGTAAAAATTATGGGTCTGTTGAATGTTTGTTTATTGAGATTATGGAGAATTCAGGACCTCTTTTAATAGGAGTAGTATATTTGCCTAACAGTAATTTTGTTGAATTTGAGAATGAACTTTCAGATCTCTTTGTGCAGTACAGTAATGTAATTATAATGGGCGATTTTAATAACAATATGTTTGACATATCACTAGCTTCTTCTGTTCGACAAGCATGTTCTAGAATTGGCTTGTCAATCATACATAATAATTGTCCAACCCATTTTGACACTTTCCACCAATCTACATCATTAATTGATTATTTTTTAGTATCGCAGAACGATTGTGTACAGTTTTCTGGCCAAGTATTATGCCCAAATATTTCAAAACATGCACTTGTTTTTCTCTCTTTTAAATGTCCTCTTAGGCGTAATGAAGCCTTTTATGAATTCTTTGATTATAGCAATTACTGCAGCGAAGATTTAGAGGATAAGGTAAATAGTTCCGGTCTGGATAGAATCTTACTTACATCTAGTGTTAATGACCAATTGAGCCTGCTTACCGAAAGCATAAACTATATTCACACATTATTTGTTAAAAAGAAGAAGACCATTTTATATACAAGTGATAATTGGATACGGTGTCCAGAAGTCCGTTACAGCCAATCTCTTACTGATCTGGCGTACAAAGCTTTCCTCGAGGAAAAATCCGAGGATAGATGGAAAATTTATTGCAAATTAAGGAATCGTACAAAGAATCTCAAAAGAAAACTGAAGAGAAACGCACATTCTCAACTTTTCGAAAAATGTACAGGTCCAAAGGACATGTGGAACGTTGTTAGAAACTTTGGTTTAATAAAAAATTGTGACAACGTTTCTGAAAATGATGAAATTAATGTCAATAACATTAATTTAAAGTTTGTCAATAACCAAATTGATCCTCAAGGCGACCTTGAAGATTTGCTACACTTTTCAGATTACGATGATGGATTTTCATTTTCCTGTATCGTACATAATGAATTGGTCGATGCATTTGCCAAAGTTAAATCAAACGCTTCTGGTTCTGATGGTTTTACTAAAAAATATATTAAATTGGTTTTCCCTTACATATCAATTTACTTATTACATATTGTCAATTCCATTATACAGACTTCAACATTTCCATGCTGCTGGAAGACAGCAAAAATCAATCCTATTAGGAAAAAAAGTAGCAATTTCTGTGAGTATCGACCTATTGCCTTGGTACCTGTTCTGTCCAAAGTTGTGGAATATGTTTTACAAAAACAAATAATATCGTACATTGAAAGAAAGAAACTATTAAATGATTGTCAATGTGGGTTCCGAAGTGGAAGAAGTACTGCTATGTTGTTGGTCGGTTTAACAGATAATATAAGAAGGTATTTTTCTAACAATAAACTATGTGTATTAATTTCACTTGATCTGGAAAAAGCATTCGATCAGGTAGACTATTTCTGTCTTATGCACAAGCTTAACAATGTGTATCGATTCAATAAATATGCCTGTAAATTATTGTATTCTTACCTGCTTGATAGAAAACAATTTGTCTTCCAGAAAAACAATTATTCTACCATACTCCCATGTAAAAGTGGCGTTCCGCAAGGTTCGGTCTTAGGACCTCTTTTATTCATTATGTTTTTAAATGATTTGTTTGATAAATTGAAATATTGGTGTATACCTTATGCGTACGCAGATGATGTACAACTTCTTTTTGTAGGCGAATTCGCTTACGAAAATATATTGCAATCTAAAATTGATCTTGTTATGAGAAATCTCAGTGATTGGATGTCTGCCAATCGTCTTTCTGTTAACCCATTGAAAACGAATGCAATGATCTTTGCCAATAAGGAAGTTAACAATTTGCAATTAATTTATCATGGAGTAAATATTAACATTGTACACAGCATGAAGTGTTTGGGTGTTATATTAGACGACAAGCTAACGTTTGAGTGTCAAATCAGTAGTGTAGTTGCCCATATAAACTTTTCCCTTAGGCAACTTTACAATTCCGATTTAATTCTACCACATCATGTAAAGAAGAGACTAATATATGCTCTTATTATGCCCAATATGCTATACTGTTTAGAGGTGTATTCGGGCACTTATGATAGATATATTTCTATGCTGCAGCTAGCTTTTAACAGAGTTATGCGCTATCTATATTCCAGAAAACGGTATGATCATATTTCCCCCTATGTATATCGCTTTCTCGGTTGTTCTTTCCGCGATTTTATCAATTTCAGAGTTTTGGTTTTATTTTACAAAGTGTTTAAACAACAATCACCTCTGTTTTTAACAAATTACTTTACTTTTTGTCATTCGGTTCGATTAAATCAACTAATCATGCCAAGAATTGGCCCCCATATGAATGAATCGTTTACTGTTAGAGTAACTCGTTTATTTAATATACTCCCAAATAATTTAAAGCTATTCTGTTATTCCTATAACTTATTCAGGAAAAAAATTCTTCAACACTATTCCGAAAATCTGTTCTAACTTTTTTATATACATTTTAAATCATTTATATGATTTGCCTTACTTGATTGATTATCATTTTAAAGCTACGTAACAACCACAATAGTATTCAATGTATTGTATTTATAAATTTATATTATTTAATATTTTACATTTGAGTAGCCATGATGTCACGAAGTTTTTTAAAATGCATCTGCATAATTACATTCATAATGTTTTATTAGTGTTAACATCATTTATTTATAATAACTTGTTTAAAAGTGGATATATTTGAGTAGTCATGATGTAATGCAGATTTAAACATGTTTAAAATATTTATTATATTATATTTATAAGAATTTGTTTTAGAGTAGCTATGATATAAGGTGGATTCTTTGTAATTATACATAAATTGGCCATTAAATTGTAATTTGGCTTCAATTACAAAGTAAATAAAGATAAATTAAATTAAATTAAATAATTTGACTCTAGACTCCAACCATGGTCGTATTGAAATTTGTTCAACAACTCCATCTGGTGATGGGCATCATATTCAGAGATAAGTGGAAAATATATATCTAAAAATCATTCCAATGTGTTTTTAACTGAGCGCTTTTCAATATTAGAACTCAGAGCTCCTGGAAACATAGATTTGAAACTTCGTGTACAAGTATTTCTTCTATTGAATTATATAACTGAAACGTTTATTATTTTTTTAATTATAATTCGAATGGCATCAAAAGAGGGATTTTGTGCATGCATGAGCAGCCGGTGTCTAAAACACAGACACACAAAATGGGGCACACATGTTTGTATATAAATGAGTATATGTAGATTCAGAAAACAAATGTAATATAAAAAACAACGAATTTTAACACAAAAAATAATAATGGGCAATTTAAAATAAGAAAATGGAATAATAAACAAATAGAGTGCAACAAGCAAATCCAATGGGGCGCAATAGGAATAAGTAATAATACAATCAATTAAAATATATATGTATAAAAAAAATAAACGCCTAAGAAACATAACACACACTCTCTCTAATAATTGCTGTGAAGTGGTCGACGTTCTCGTAACTGCAGCATTTCACGGGCCGAACTGCGTTTAATATCGGCACGGAATAGAGCATTTTGTTTGAAATTATAACCGCTGCTACATTGAGGCGGCATGTTCTGTTGCTGCTTCTTAAAAGCACGTGCCAATTGTGCTGCCGCTGCTGCCCTAGCCCCCGGTATTTCCTCTTCAACAAACATACCCGATTGTGTCCATTGGGGTTTGGGGAATATTTTCTTTTTGCCTCCTGCCTCCTCCACGTTTTGACGTTTACGTTTGCGATCTTTTGCCGCCATGGCAAAATGTGGTGTATCGAGTGCAGAAAATTCAATATTGAAACCATATGGAGTGGCGGGACTTTCATGAAATTCCATACCCTGGCATGTATGAATGGTACGTTTGATGGGTGTTATGGGTTCAACGCACACTTTTCCCGTAGCCAAACGAATGACTTTGGGTTTCTTTTTCTTTTCCGGTGTACGCATTGTTTCAATGACACTACCCGCCGATGTGGAATAATTTCGAAATTTACAATGTTCATTAGCATTATCAGCATCATTGGCAAGAGGAGCTGAAATAAAGAAATTTGATTTAATCGAATTTTCTTAAAATGTTTTTTTTTTAATTTACATACTTTTCTTTAATTTCTTTGATCTGCCTTTAAGGTTTTCATTGGCATTCGATTTGGTACAAATATTATTGTTGTTGTTTTCTTCTTGACTATCGTCTTCTTCGACCTGCAATGTCAACAAGTTAAAGTAAATTCCTTTATTTATTTCAAAACTACTTACAATCTTTATTTGCTTGCCAATTATCATATTGGCAGAGGCACGCAGAGCCTTCTTTACAGCAGCCGCTCTTTTAACTTTATCTGAAATAAATAATAAAACATGTAAAAACTTTGTTAACATTTGGGCGGATAGAACACTTTCGCTGAAAATCGATCGCAATTTTTTGGGACGCCAATATTCCGGAATGCCAATTATACAGCCAGCGTCTGAGCCACATTACAGCCTTCACGACATCCACAAGAGGAGTGAACCTCGTGAAAGAGGAAAACCGCGAACTTCCCACGATGCAAAACATCAGCAGTCAGCACACTCTCCGCCAACAACCTCCACCCGATGCAACCGACCGAGGACCACCTCCACTAAGTGCTCTCCTTCTTCTAAATGATTGACGAGCAAAACTACTTAAACAACTTAAGGTCCGGTCGTTTTCAAGAGTCGTACTGAAATCCCACCCTCCAGAACGGCTGCGTGCGTTCAGCAGCATCAGCACCGTCTTCTCGGTTGCCACCTCCCCTCCAAGCCAGCATAGCTTGCACACCATGTATTTCCAGTTCAAGGCGACGATCCCCTTAATGCTCATATGCACAGACCTTGAAGGAGGCAGAGCTAGCTCCCGCAACAGAGCATCCATTATGAGTTTTCATATACATTGACCATAAATGGAACCCTTTGGGCAACCACGCTACACATCTCTCCAGGCCGAAGCACTGGCTCCCACGACACAAGCCTTCCGGCCTCAAAAATGACTCGCCCAAAGAGCAATCTCCCTACACCTGACCTGTGACAACCTTGTGATCACGCCATCCCCATAAAAGGAAGTCAAATGCGCCTTTGAAATCCACAAATATCCCAAGGACTAATTTGGAATTTGACCCGTTCAGGCCATCTTGCACATGCCGCCATGCGTCCACAGTACCTCTACCCTCGCTAAAACCGAACTGATACAAGGACGTGCCTTCGCTGTATCATTCACTAAGCCGTGCCACCATAATCCTCTCCAGTACTTTTCCAAGAATTGAAAGAAGACTTATGCCCCGATAAGAGCGAGGATCACTCCTCAACCGATCGGGCGACTTAAGTAACACCACAACTCGGGCACACATTCAAGTACGCAATCAGCAATCAAAGAATTTTGTTTTTAAAAAATCCACGCCTATATTTCAGCATGAACAATTATTTTTAAAAAATTGCGGACCAAAAAGCAACCAGGTTAGAAACAGTTTTTCGAGGATATATAGGGTTACAAGAAATAAACCATATATGCTTGTACTCACCTTTCCGTTTAAAATCTTTGCTCAATGGTGCAAAAATACGTTCATGTTTGGATTCCGGTGACGAAGATAGACGTTGCTTTGCCTTTTTCTTATTCTTTTTGGGCATCTTATTCTGAAACGGAAACAAAGATAAACATAAATAAAATTCACAATTGAAAGACAAATAAAATTACTCACCTTTTTATTATTTAATTTAGCCTCAAGTTTGGCACGATTGGCGGCTTCCAAGATCTCATCACAACGATTCAAAATGCGTCTAATACTAGTATCACTCTTTTCGTTGGACTTCTTCTTCTCGTGCGGTGTTGAACTGTGTTTAACCTTCGAACTATTTGCCACCTTCGAGTGGTTTAGATTTTCCAAAGAATCGACCAGCAAACTGCTATCCAGTGACAATTTGGATCTCTTATGTAGATGGCGAGCATCTAAATCAATTATACTGGCATCGAGTAGACCACCTTCCGAGGTGGCACAAAAACTTTTCGATAAACGTTTACGTTTAGCCGATTGACGATCATATTCAGCCTTGCGCAATTCCAAGCTATGAACAAATGATTGTGATGGATTAAATTCATTGCCAGAGAGTACCGCCAGACTTTTACGTTTGGGTTTTTTGGCTGGCACCGCAATACCCAGCGAAGAGTTGCACAATTCCAGTTCGGGGTTGGAGGGCATAGCCAATGATTGGCGTCGGGTACGTACCAAAGGATTACCCAAAGGCATGTGTTTATAATTTTCCAAATAACGAATATCTTCGGTGCTTAACACACCGGTGGTGGTATCATCGGTTTCCTCATTGGCCGATGATGCGGAGGAGGAGGATGAAGGATTTGTGGAAGCATTTGATCCGTCTATACAGGGTTTAGCCTCAATAACTGCCGTATCGACTTCACCACCACTTATGCGTACACCAATGGTAAATGAACGCTGCAGTACACGTTTCTGCAAGGAGTCTTTCTTTTGGGGTTTAAAATGGCCAAAGGAAACACTCAAGCCACGATTGTGATGTTTCAATTTATTGGTGCTGGTTTGTTTCTTGTTACCATCATTTTCTTTGTCCTCATTTTGAATGTCGGAATCATCATTATCCCCTTCATCGGCAATTTCTTCATCCTCCTCATAATTATCATCTTCGGCATTGGTTTCTTCTTCATTTTCGTCGTCGTCGTTTTCATCTTCTTCGTCGGAGGTTACTCGCATAACATGCATACTTTCATTTTTGCTTTGAACCATTTTAGATTCACTTTCCTCACCCTCACCACCCTCCTCCTCCTCTTCATCTTCTTTTCCTTCTTCTTCTGAAGACTGTTGATGATGGCGATGTTTTTCATGACTTTCATCATCGCCAGTCTTATCAATTTCCGGGGAGGCCTCAACATCCGGATCTAAATCCCTTACCGATTTATTAAAACGATCCGATTGATTGAGTTTACGTAAAATCTCTTTACGTGATTTGTTGGTATCCTGGTCAGTGGAGGATGATGTTTGATCTTCCTCATCACCATTGGCTTGTAAGCGTAGCGCAGAATCACTTAGCTTGGAGTTATTTAGAGAATTCTTTTCAGCATCATCTTCTTCATCACATTTTTCTGGCATTCCTTTGTGGTTCTTCTTCGCCTCCTCCTCTTCATCATCATCCGAAGAGGAGTCATCTTTGGGTCGTTGTATGCGTTTATAGGATTTCTTTTTATCTTTACGTTTTTTGCTCTCCTTGCCATGTTCCACCAACTCATCAGCGTCCTCACCATCCTCCTCCTCCTCGTCTTCATCATCACTATCGGTGTTGGCTTCAAGATCCTCACCACCGTCGATTTCCTCATCATCCGACACAATAAATGAATCGTTTTCACTTTCCTCTTCATCGCCGGCATCCTCATCGTCGGTGGTATGACTACCAATGGATTCACCATCAACGGGTATTTCATTTTCCAACATTTCACGCCGTTCCTCCGAATCCATGGAATCGCCACTTTCATAATCTTCAGCCACCATGGCTTCATCATCATGGAAGGAATGTTTGCGGCGATAGGGGGCTTCATCGTCAACCTCATCATCGTCCTCATCTATCAATGGTTCATCATCATCATCGGCGGGAACATCTTCATCATCGGAATTCCATTCATCACGTTTGAGATATTTTTGTTTTTTCCTTTTTGATTTTTCAGCCTTTGAGGATGCAACCGCTGAATCCTTTTTAGTTTCCTCCGGTGCTGCTATGGTATCAAGCTTGGTGCCTTTGCTGGCCACACTTGGATTACACCATTTTAAGTTGGTTTCATTTTCCTCTTTCCTAGTGGAAGAATTTAGGGAAGATTTCGTGGATGTGGTTGTGGATTCTGATTCCGATTTTCGAATGCTGCTGGTATTGGCTTTAGAAGGTTTATCTTCTTCCCCTTCCTTATCCAATTCCTGTTTTTCTTGCTGCTCTTTTTGTTGTTGATCATTAGCCTCTGCTGTATCATCTTCCATATTGACATCCTCCTCCTCTTCAGTTTCCATTTCAATTTTGGTTTCCATCCTGGAGGAGGAGGACTTCTTCTTGGGAGGTGGTGAGTGGAGTTTCTTCTTGTTATTCTCTTTTACCGGTTGTTGGGTTTCGGGAATAACCTCATCATCACTGCCATCATCTACACTTACCACCGAATCATCATCACCATCCTCCTTCTGGAATGAACTATCCAATTCAATGAAACTTTTACTCTTGGCACTTCCCGGAGTCTTCGGGTAAATACTCTTTTCACATTCATCATCGGAGCCCACCGAATTGAATGCTACCGCTCGGGGCTTTGCCGAGCTTTGTATGGGCGTGGCAATTTGCACCTTGGACAAAGATTTTCTTTTCTTGGGTGAGGGTGTTTTGCAAACCTCCTCTTCCTCCCCCGCCGGTTCATCCATTTCCATGGGTTCATCTTCGTCCATGGGAAGAACATCATCTGGGTTGGATGCAGTGGTAGTATGGTCATCTGGTATTTCATCCTTAACGGAAATGTTATTAGATTTTTCTTCGCCTATGGTGTTGCTGATATCCTGGTGGGCTTCATCTTCATTCACCTCGGGCTTATGCTCAACTTCTTCGTCATGTTCATCAGCTTTTTCGCTGGTGTTAGCTTCTGTTGTGGTTGTTTCCTTTTCAATGGCCGTTTCCTGTTCCTCCCCCTCCTGCTGTTCTTCAGCTTGAGTTTCAGGTACCATAATGGATTGATCATCTTCATCCATGGGTAATATACTACAGGATTGATCCAAGTTGGATTTTTGCGTTGTGGGTCCTTCATTGGTGGCTTCTTCAGCAGCTGTCTTTGCTTCATCATCTTCTTTATTCTCATTATTTTCCACCAATATGGATTTTTCTTTATTTGGTTCTGTGGAGGCTGACACATTTCCAGCATTTACCTTATCAGCAATGACCCGTGATTCTGTGGGATCTTCTGTACTTTTGTCCTCTTCATTTGTAATTTTCTCCGCCTCATTGTCAGCCATTTTGTCATCCTTTTGATGTTCCTCATCATCATCATCCTTTTGATGATCTTTCGGCTGCTCTTCCCCATCTTTTTGGAAATTATTTTCCTGCTGCTCTTCCTCATCCTTTTGTTGGTCCTTTGGCTGAGCTGCTTCATCATTCTCAGCTGACTCTTTTGTAAGCTCTGTTTCCGTGATCTCCATTTCCACATCCTTTGGCTGTTTGGCTTCCGTGGTTGCCTCCTCTTTTTCATTCTCCCTTGTTAATTCTTTTTCCTTTGTAACTTCCATTTCTTTTTCGGAGTTAGCAGTTTCCTTAGCCTCCTCTTCCTGAGACTTTGAGGAAATATATTCTGGCTTCTCAGCAGCAGCCACCTTCTCTTGGGCTTTTCTTAATGCAGCCTCCTCCTCCTCCTTCGCCTCCTTTTCGGCAACAACATTGGAAGATGTTTCTTGTTGTTGTTTTTTAGCCGCCAGTGGATCAATATTTTCCAGTTGGTCTATATCATTGGATTTCTTGGCTGTAGCCGCCTTGGTTCCTCTTAGAGGAGATTTTTTAGCAACAGTCTTCTTTTCTTCGACAATTTCATTTTCCACCTTGGCCACCGACAAACCTCTCAAAGATTTCCGTGTACTCGTAGTAGCAGATCTGGCGACTAATACAACCACCTTACTTGTCGGCTCGGATTTTATTTGTTGTGGAGATTTCGATTTGGACCTGGTGATACGGCTTTGTGTCGTCGACTCCTGCTCTTCGGTTAAGGTATCAAAATTAGGAGCCTTGGAAGCAGTTGTTGCTGCGGGTACATCCGCATCCACGGACGATGTGCTGCGTCGCCTTGTTGTACGTCTGGCTGGTGAGGCGGCGGCGGTAGTTTTAGCCTCCGACTCGGTTATTGTGGCGATAGTGCCAACACGGGGTTTTGCCGGGGTTTTAACAGGAGTTGCAACACCCGATGTAGAATTTCGGCGTGTCATGCGTGGCTTCAGGGGTGAATCGGTAGATGCCTCTGTATAAAATACAAAAAATTAAATATATTAACATATAAATTCACACACACACACATAACCACATTGTGGAGGACATCATACTTGCGCTTGCTGCCGCTGTTAGTTTACTTTGAACGGGGGTTCCAGGCCTGCTGGTGTTGTCGCTATCAATGGATGCAACACGCTTACGCAAAACACGCGTTGCTACAAAAAAAAAACAAAAAAAAAAAACAAAAAAAAAAAACAAAAAAAAAAATCAAGAATCCTTAATTATTGTTCAAAATGAGAACCCTGGACCCTCAGGTTCCAGACCCAACCATTCTGCATGGACATGTCACCAACAATTGTCCATTTAACCTCCCTACATTCAATCTGTATGGCTTTCATTTTAAACACAACGGTTCTTTTTTCCGCACACACACACACACACACACAGATTTACAATACATTGAAACACCGAACAAGAAAATGTGCATGCATTCCTTTGCACAAACAAATTTCACAATTCTACATGGGCACTTACCTCGTCCACCAGAATCTGTAACTGAGTCCATTTTATTTAAATGTATTTATTTTCTTCTTTGATTGAAATTTTATTCAAGTTAAATAAAAGTACTTCCTTCCGCTTCGCGAAGTCTTCTTTTTGCCAAAAATTCCAAGACAAATTTTTGTTTAATGCTGCTGCACGCCAACAAACATCGGGCACGGTGTGTGTGCGAAATTCAAAAAACGTACAAAAAATCAATTGAAGTCCGCGGCTTATTCCATACTTTGTTGAACGCCGTTGTTAAGGACGACGCCTAAAGCAAAGGGCTGGAAAATTGTGTATGGTAGTAGTTTTTTAATTGATCATGTTTTTTGCACTGGTTTTAGATGGATTTTAGATGGTTTGGATGGATGTTTACATGGGGCAATTATTACCACAGTATTTGATTAACTTCCGGCAGGTTTTCATAGAGTTCAAGATCTTTAATATGGTCACCCAGCAAGCGAATGTTTTTTCTCAAGTGTAATGTCAAAAATTTGGACTTTGTTTACGTTTTCATAATGGAAGTTAGTTAATTCACAATAATGGATTTTGATAGCAAACTTGAAAAGCTGTTCTCCTTAAATTACCTTATTAATAGGCCTTGCTCGAATCGACAGAACACCATCTGTCAATTTTTTTAGTAATATTTCGACTTTGACAGTAAATCGAATCGTCAGCTGGAATAAATGGAATACCAAACTTTTCATATTGGAATTCATTCCACATTAATGAATTATAACGAAATATTTTTTACTTGGGAAAATCCATCCTTCCCGAGTTATTGGCCTTGAAACTTTCGGAACTCAACCAATATTGATATAGGTTAGGTTAAGGGATCTTTGCAGAGATAGACGAAGTTTAGAAACAGTGTAGAAAAATAATTTTTTTTAGCCATATCAGAGTTTTAACAAAGTTAAGGATCAGCTTGGGATCTATTCTAAAAAGGAATGCTAGATTATCAATGTATTTACCAAACAGCCGGTGTTCTCTGCTAATTAGCGTGGGTACCTAGGGAGTAAATATTCAATTCTTTCCAGCTCTTTCTATATATATACGGCAATAAACCACTCCGTTAATGTCCCATTTGAAAGTGAGATATCTAATCCTGCAGTCATTGTTATGATCCCCACAATGATTTTATCTTGGTCCCTTTTTCATCTCAATTGTGGACAATGACCTCCCCGTGGTGCCACCTGGGGAGCTATTTTCATCACCCGATGAAATAGTGAGCTAATATGTATGTGCTGCGAGTTCACCCATAAGAACTTAAAAAATTGGTTTGAGGCATTGGGTTAATGGCTCACTCTCGGAAAACCCAACCTACTATGAAAAAGCAAAGAAAAATAAAACCAAACCCCCCTAATGTTGACGACCCCCGCAAACGTATAAAGGGCCACGATCTGCGAATCTGTATTTGGAATGTGCGCACGTTGTACAGAACAGGCGCAGTGTTCGCTTTGGCGGATGTACTCAAGAAGTACAAAGCCGATATAATTGCCTTACAGGAAATGCGATGGAAAGGGACGGGCGTAAGTAAATCAGACGATTACGCATTGTATTATAGCTGCCACGAAACTATACATGAATTTGGCTGCGGAAAGACCTCGTCTCCAGATTCACTCCAGAAGATGAGCGAATTGCTATAATCGCCCATGCTCCGACCGAAGATAAAGATGAACAGACCAAAGATATATTTTACGAGCGCCTAGAAACAGCATATGATCGTTTCCCCGGCCATGACATTAAAATTCTGCTAGATTTTAATGCAAAAATCGGAAGGGAAAATATATTTGGTCTTACCTATAGAGTTTTTGCAGGAGTTGAACGCTATAAGACTTTTCTTAGTGCGTTCCTCGGCATTCTTTTTCACTTTAGTTTGTGTGCTTCTAAGGAAAGGGCTGACTCCACCCATGGCAATCGGAAGGTTGGGACGTTTCCTAGTGATGAGTATCATTTCTGTCTTTGTGGGGTTTAAGCCAGGTTCATTGGTGTGTGCCCAGTTGGACAAAGTTAATAAGGCACCCTGCATGATGTCAGAAATATTCGGCAGAAATTTCCCAACGATTAGCAGACTACATCATCGGCATAGGCTACAACCTTTACCCTGAGGAGATCGAATTTCAGAAGTATCTTATTTATCACTACGTGTCGCTTTACACTACGTATAGATTTTGGATTTTTAGATATAACTCTGCGAAATCTGACCGCTTCGTTCATTCACATTCTCCAGGACTCACGCTTAGCATTCTTGATTTAACTTTTGTACATATTGTTTTGTTCTCTATAAACGTCCCAACATGTACTATGTTTTTCCTTACTGGCTTTATTATAAGATTTCCAAGTTCTCCTCAAAGATGATACATTTTTTGCACAGCTTTCTCAACATTCTCAATCGTTCTGAGGTCTATGCGAGCAAGGGTTGTGGATGCTGTTTTAGCTTTGAATTTATCCCAGTTCGTTTTTCGGGGGTTCCTATAAGGCTTCTGTTTTCATCTGGAAAAGTATCATCCTATTGTCCGAGAAGGAATATTTAGAGTCGTCCATATTTGGCTCAAGGTAGTCATCGTATCTTTGTTCCTGGTTGAGCGCAATGTCGGTGTTTAAGGAGGAGAAGATGCCGATTTTCCTGCTGTCAGTTTCCTGTTTTAATGGCGGGTGACGAACTTGTAGTTTTCCCATTATATACACCCTTCTTCCTCCTTAGGTACTGTTCACCAGCAGAGTTGGTGGTCTTTCAGATAGCTGTTGACCAGCAACCATTTATGATCACTGATAATCCCGTCGGGGATTATCCAAGCTTGATCCATGATTGCTTCTCGCAGATCCTCCGGTACATCTGGTGGAGCATCAGAGTCGCTAGGTGCCGGTGTAGGTTTCTGGGCTACCTGCTTCGAGACAGTGTGTTTGGCTTTCACCAGGACAGTTTGGCTCTTGGCAGGACTCTCCATCGACACTACCGACGCGTACGAAGCAGAACTTTCCTTTTTACGGGCTCTCCGTCGGGTTGTCTTCGACCGTTCCTTACCCTCGGTTGGATGATGACGCCCTTAGAAGAATAAATGTGTAGAACATACCCTTGCAAAAATGTGCGGCGTAGTTCAACCTTTTCTAATAGTCCCAATATAATAATACCCCTATTTTGATTGTTTACCCAAATATTGGGTATAAACTATTTAAATGCCGAACCGCTTTATATAAAAACAACTTCTCGTATGGAAAATGGGGTCTTTGGGTCATGTTTTAATATAGACTCCATATAACCGTACCTCCCGAGTGAAGGAATTTTTTATCTATTATCCATATTTTACAATTAAAATGGCTGTAAGTTAAAATGGAGAGTTCACAATTGGTCTGTTCCCGTACTGAAAGAATCTACTTATTTTTACTATTTTTTCCGATATCATAAAGGAAAAATTGTTACCGTAATAAAAAATTGTACATTCTTGCAGGTTCTGGAACAAACCAAATGTGTACAAAATATCCATGTAAAAATTTGTCGGCATAGGTCCACGTTTTTTGGTAGTAAATGCCGTATCTAACCAAGGCCCTCTAACTTCAAAAAATAAACGCAATAAAGCCGTTGAACAATTTACATCGGCGTAACTAAGTCATTTTCAACGGCGTTTATACATTTCTTTAATGTCGGCAATGTTACTTTTTCTCTAGGCAAGTGTTATATAGTTCGATAAAATAATAGTAAATTGTTTTTGCTTTTAATTGGAAAATGTTGAATTCTTGTGGACCCTAGAACTCATAGCTTGGGAATTTCAACTCTTCCTTAAAGATTGGAATCCTTTGGAAACCATTACGACCATAGAGTAATTGAGTTTTTTGCCAATTGGCATGATGCATGGCCTATAAATAAGGTCACCAAGATAGCAATCGAAATCGGAAAACAGCTGTTTTTTTCTCAAGTCTAATGTCAAAAATTTCGACTTTTTTTTGTTATCACAATAATGCATTTTGACAGCAAACTTTGTTATTTTTTGTGGTCTATGAACAACTCGATCTATAGTCCACTACTATTGAGGTAACAAAAGAGAGACGACGAAGAAAAAAATAAATAATTTTGTATGATTTTGTTTCCGAAAAAATTGTGTATTAATTTGCAAAGAAAAGACGGCACGAAAGCGGAAAAGAACTCAACGAATACTACACAAATGTTAGTATGGCCACAGAGCAACGAATTTTAAAGCCAGATGGTTATTTGGATGTTACTTGCGGCGGCACATCCTCAAAATCTTCGACCAACAATGCAGCAGCAGCAGCAAACTCGGATTCACTGAACACCGAAGCTGACGAAGAGGAGACCATCGAGACGCGCAGTATTGTTTATCATCCGAATTTAAATGTGATATTGGTATTCGATAGCATCAATCAGGTCAAAGTACTCGATGTGCATTCCGGGGTTGTACTGCAGACATACCATTTAGGGAATGGTAAGTATTTGCTGCTGCTCCTCAGTATTTTTTTTTGTTCGCACTGTCTCCTCGTCACATCAGAAAAAAACGAGAAGAAGAATCAAAGAAAAGAAGAAAAAATAGACCCTTCGGTTGGGATCGATGGTTGGATGGATGTGTAGTGTTGTTTTTTATTTTACAGCCAGGAGGGGAACCCTGTATGTATGTGAGTCATGTTATGTGTGGTGGAAGTAAACTTAAAATTATTTGATTGATCACCACAAGGAACGAAGAAAAAAAACATTGTGAAATTATGCGGATTTCGATTTTTTATTACTGAATATGCTGTGAAAAAAAAATGAAAAAAAAACATAGCTACACACACTTATACAGGTGCGGTGGACTGTCCTGCAGGTGTTTTTCATCCTGAATGTAGCAAATAAAGTCCATTTAACAAACACACACGCAATCTTTTATTTAATTTTAATTTTGTTTATTATTTTTTTTTATTTCCAGATACCAATCACAATGTCTATGGCTATTTTATGCCACTACAGGAGAAAATCCTATTAACAGATGGTCATGTCATCGGTTTTCGTGGTGATTATAATGGTGTCCTATTACTTGATACGGTCCTGCAGACACCCGTACCAAATAACGATGATCCCATACGTCTGGAAATGTTATTGTCCGAGGCGATTATTTTCCAAACATGCCTTAAAGAGCTGGAACAGGATATCGAATGTCCCTACGATTTGCAAAATGAACTAATGGAGAAGATAAAAAATGCCCAAAGCAATTCGAAGAAAGGCATTAAGGCACAAAGGGTATGCGTAATCGAAATTAAAAAAAGTTTTTAATTTGAAATATTTGGTCTGTTCCCGTACTGCAAGAATCTACGAGTTTTTACTATTTTTTCCGATATCATAAAGGAAAAAAGTGTTATCGTAGTAAAAAATAGTAGATTCTTGCAGTGCGGGAACAGACCAATTGATTTATATTTATGTAGAAATATTTATGTACGTATGTGTAGTGTGTGGGGTTCAATTTATAGGGTGCAAAAGTGCAAACATTTCTAATTGGAAAATAATATTCAAATTGGATTTAAATTTTGAAAAAAATTAGCTGTACTAAATTTCATTACAATCTGATTGTAAATGCGACCTATACCAGAAAATCGGAAGATATTATATATGGGAGCTATATCTAATTCCGAACCGATTTTCACCAATTTCAATAGGCATCGTCCTTGGGCCATATAAATAAGCTGTTCCAAATTTCATCTTATTCTAATCATAAATATGACCTGTACCAGAAAATCGGAGGAAAGTATATGTGGGAGCAATATTTAATTCTGAACCGATTTTCACCAATTTAAATAGGGTTCGTTCTTGGACCAAATAAATGAGTTGTACCAAATTTCATCACATTCGGATTATAAATGTGACCTCTACTAGAAAATCGGACGAAATTATATATGGAAGCTATATCTAATTCCAAACCGATTTTCACCAATTTTTATAGTGGTCGTCGTCCTTGGGCCAAATAAATCAGCTGTACCAAACTTCATCACAATCGGGTCATAAATGCGACCTCTACCAGAAAATCGGAGGCAATTATATATGGGAACTATATGTAATTCTGAACCGATTTTGACCAATTTTTTAGTTTTTAGAGTACTGTCATATGCGTGGATTTTTTAAAAATATTTTTTTATCCTGTCAAAGACGTCGATTTAAATCTATTTAGAGTTCTGCCATCTTTTCAAAGTTCTGCCATTAGCGCAAATTTTTTAAAAATATTTTTTAGGACCAATGTGATTTTTTTCAATTCAAATAATTAATTTGATTTATTTTTTGTTTGTTTTTCTTTTCAGTGGAACACCATATGCCTACAGGTTCCCTATTCGAGTCTAAAATTTGTGGCCAATAATTTGGTTATAATGCTGAAACGGCTTGAACGCCATGTACCAGCATTGGCCATTGCATCGGCCATAAATGAGAGGCTCATCGATTTACTTGCCGGTGGCCGCACGTCGAACATTAGCTGGCATTGCAGCAATTTGCAGCGTGTCCTAATGCATTCGGAGGCAGTGCGTCGGCAAACATTTGAAAAATGGCCACACATGGACTATAAATGGGCGTTGCCCGATCAAATGGCACAAGCCGGCTTCTATCATCAGCCCTCGTCATCGGGTGAGGATCGTGCCATGTGTTTCACCTGCAATGTATGTTTGGTGTGTTGGGAAAAAACCGATGAACCATGGAGTGAACACGAACGTCATTCGCCAATGTGCCCCTTTGTCAAGGGTGAATACACCCAAAATGTTCCCCTCGCCGTCACCTATGCCACAAATCCAGCCGTGGTGGCTCCTGGTATTCTGGGATTCGATGTTATATCGAATAGCGATTATGCCAATGTCTTGGTAACAAGTTGTTCGGCAACGGGCGAAATTACCATTTGGAGCATTGAAAGGCATTTGAAACAAATGCACACCTTTAATATTTCATCGCTGATGAAGGATATTTTGGGAGGAGGAGGAAATGGTGGTAGAAGGGGCGACGATGCATCAGCCAACTGTGATGAAGAATCAGCCGACACCAGCTATGAATGGACACGCGTAACAGCCATTTGTGTCCTACCCAATGCCAGGGCCCAAAGTAAAATCTATGCCATGAATTTAACTCAAACAGGATCGGCGTGTTTGGTCGGTAGTGGGGTTGCAGTTAGTGGTAATTTGGCACCACCCTCAGTTACACCCTGTACATCGACATCCACCATGCGTGCCGGTGTCGTCGAATCGAAAATAATACTTGGTCTGAGTACCCGCAAAACAACTGGCGAACATTTACTCTCGATGGCAGTGTTGAATATTATCGAAAGTGATCGACCCAATGATAATAATCGGAATAAGGTGGATAGTGGTTTAAATGCCGGAGGAGGTGGTGGACTAAGTTCAGCGGCAAATGTTAGCACAAATGTGGATAAACAGTCGTCGTCAACTTCGAACAGCGTTAAAGGTAATTTTTATGTTGGTGTTTTTGTCTTTGTTTGTGGTTTTGTTTCTTATCCCTCCTCCTTTTGTTTAGTTTAGAGTACATTGAAGATCATAAAAATTTGGATCTGACAGCCTTTACACTGTTAAAGATCTCATGAAGTAATACATAGTTTTGTAAGAATATTTTTAAGGTCCAGCCATAGACATGGATTTTTTAATATTTTTTAAAGGTCCCGTTTTAGGCATGGATTTTTTATTTTTTAAAGGTAATGTTTAGGGCCTGGATTTTTTTAAAAATATTTATTCTGTCAATGAAATAGCCAATGGGAGGTTTTACAGATCGCCCAATCGGAAGATTGGACGACTGTGAGCCTCCTCGAGCAAGCTCGTCGGCTATCTCATTCCCTTCAATGTCACTATGTCCTGGAACCCAACATTAGCTAACTATCTGTCGTATATCATTCAGAGCGGACTTGCAATCATGAACTGCTTTTGAGTTTATAGTACGCGACTTCACCGCTTTAAGGGCCGCCTGACTATCGACATATATAGTCACCGGTCCCGTAATGTCGGCAGTAAATGATTTTACTATCTCGGCCGCTTTCGTAATTGCAAGGATTTCTGCTTGAAAAACGCTAAAAAGATTGTTAAGTTTATATGGGTTATATGTTTCTAATTCCTTACAGTAAACACCTGACCAGTGCCTTCCTCGATCCTCTGTAAAGAATGACAGACCTGGCAGAGGTAAGGAGCCACTAGTCCAGGATTCCCTACTAGGAAACTCTACTTTGATGTCATTAAAGTCTCTGTGAGAGGGAACATACTCACTAATATGACTATTCGCCCTCAAGAGGTTACAACCTGGCGTTATGGCCGTTTCCAGGAGCCTCAAGGCACACCTGGCCGCCTGGAATTTAATCAGAATGTCCAGTGGTTGGAGATTCAGGATTGCATTCAAGGCTGCCTGGGTGTACTTCTTAACGCTCCGGCGAACAGAATCGCTGTACAAAACTTAATTTTGTCAGCAGCATCTTTTTATTGAACCCCTGCCACCAAACAAGGCAACCATATGTAAGAATGGGGAGGGCGATCGTCAAATACAGCCAGTGTATGATCTCGAGTCTTAATCCCCAGCACAGATTTCCTCACGGAACGCTCTCCTAAGGATGAGTTCATAATTCTGCTTTCCAGCATTCTATCAATCCATTCCATTAGGAGTGAGGGGATGCCTGTGCTTACGAGAGCAGAATGGATGGCTTCCAGCTTCACATTGTTGAAAGCTCCCTCAATTTCGAGGAATGCTGCCAAAGTGTAGCCAGATGACTCCATATTCTTCTCGATGTATCCAACCACCTCATGTAAGGCTGTATCCACTGATGTATGCATGCTGGGAGTTGCTAAGTTTACTTTGGTCAATAGTGTGCCTAATTTCTGAGTCTAGTAACCTTTCTAAAGTCTTGAGTAGAAAGGAAGAGAGACTAATCGGTCTATAGTCTTTTGGCTTCACGGCTTTCGGATGAAGGTCACTGTTACCTCTTTCCATAGACTAGGTATATACGACAGAAGTAGACAAGCCCTAAAAATGTCCTGCAGAGATACCAATACTGGACCAGGAGACTTATGGGGTTGAAAACTATTTATCGCCCATACCAATTTTGGGTTGCTTATAGTATTTACTATCAACTTCTCCTCCTTCATCGTTCGAATTATAGGATGATGCGCACACTGCGCACCCTCCCTATAGTCCTAACAACGAGGAATGTGGGTTAACGATATAAGACCAAGGGTCTCACTGCTAGAGTTTGTCCACGTTCCATCACTATGCATAATACTACCTATAGATTTTCGATCTTTAGGAAGTACTCTGCGAAATCTGGAAGCTTCGTTAACTCCTTCGATTGATTCACTATAGCAGGCAGACTACCTCTCCAGGCTTTCGTTAACGCGGTCGAGAGTGGGACATGAGGCAAAAGGGAGGTCCAGGGGGTAGCTTAGGTCGTCAACACTTGAGGGGGTTCTTTGAGATCTGGCCTGTAGATCTGTAAAGTTCGAGACTGATATTGAGACTTGAGGGGGGGGGGGGGGTCGATCGTTTCACTTTAAAAGGTAGTGACCCAGACCTTTGAGATGGTTATTTAGGGGCGCCATTCTCGTCGGCCCAGGGATCATAGGCATTCGGTCATTGGGATTTGTGGATTTCTTAAATATTTTTTAAAGGTCTGTGTTAGGCCTGGATTTTTTAAAAAAGTTGTTATATGTCCAGGTAAAGGCGAGGATTTAAAACAAAAAATATTTTTTAAAATCCATTCAAAAGTTTGGAATTTTTAAAAATATTTTTTAAATGTCCAGCCTTGGGCTGAAGAAAAAGAGGGTCCAGTCTTTTAAGAATTAAAAAAATCACACAAATTAGTTATTGTGTTTGTATATGTATGTCTCCAAGGACCCAACAAAATTATCTACTCTAATATTAACATCATACCATGGTTTCCTGTAATAAATCTCCCACCATTGCAAAATTGGCATAATTTTTCGAAAAAAAAATCCCTAAATTTCCAAACAAAATTGGGAAGTTTTTTTGCGATTTTTAAATATCACACAAATTTTTGAATTTTTTGTAACTTCAAATACTCCTTGTTATTGTATTTATCATCATCGCATATGTATGTGTGTGTAGCAAGCGGTGATCCGTCTTCTTCGTCTTCATCATCAAACAACAACAATAATAATAACAACAACAATAATACTGAAACCCATCTTAATAATCTTAAAACAAAATATCACGATCATGAACGTGATGACGATGATGATGACAACAAAACTCAAAATTGTTCAATTTTTGACAAATATTTAGATGGCCTCGATAGCAATGGATTTGTGGCCGATATCGTACCGGCAACAACAGTCGAAGTTGTTGTCCCAGCAGCAACAGCAGCCGATAAATCCGATGTATTGGACTTTAATGATGCCTATCTGGAGGCGGAATTCAAAAAGATGGCCGAACAATTTAACGATTTGAATAGCCTCTTCGATTATGAATATGGACAACCGGTGGTGGTGGAGAATAATTCATTGTCTGGCGGTGGTAATGGTGGCGGTGGTACGGGTGGTATTGGTCCCAGTGTCAATACCGATGATATTGAAATGGATACCAGCTATTTCAAGGAAAGTCTTCTCACGGCCGCCAAGAATGTACAGAAGTCGAAGGCAGCCATGCAAAATGATGGCAGTGCGGTAAAGACAAATAATTCTCCCAACCCGGAGACAGGAGGTGTCGGTGGTGGTGGTGCTGGTGGTTCCTTAGCAAAGGCCACAAATGTCTGTGAAGATATTGATTGCATTGTGGAAAGTTGCTGCATACTCAAGCGTAGCAATTCCATGAAGGCGGATTTCCAGCCTCTGGCCGAAGATGAACTAGTTGAGATTACTGAAATTTTGCCCACAAACAGCAACTGTAATCAATTATTGGTGAAGCTGGTCAAGACCAAGGTCCCGGTGTCAAGACGCAGCAACAACAACAGCAGCAAAATGATTATAACCGAAGTCATGAACACCGAAGAAAGTGTCAGCGAAGAACGTGAGGAGGATGATGATGATGACGATTACGCCATGAATGAGGAGGAGCCAACAATTGGTGGCCAATTACTGCTCTTCGATTGCCTCAACGGTGTCATACCCAATGAACATAAAATTGCCATGACTTTTTCGCGTCAGAATTATCCCAAACAAATATGTATGTTGCCGAATTTCCAGACCATCAACATCGGTAGCGAATCATCATCTCTGGCATCATCGAACGGCAGCAGTGGGGCATTTTGTGTGGTCTGTGCTGATGGTTCAATTGAAATTATATCGCTGGCCGATTTCCAGCGTATCAGTACCATCAAAGAGGAGGAGCATCATTTTACATCGGTGGCCTATTGTCGCAGTTTGGAGAGATTGTGTTGTTGTACGCGACGTGGTTCATTGATATTCTACTCGCTGAATGATGCCGATAATGAGTCGGGTGATGAAATGATTGACATCGAAGAGGAGGCTTGTTCAGCAGCAGCTGGAATGATGGGTGGTGGTAATAATAAAATAAACACCGGAGGAGCAGAAGGCATAGCGGGTGGAAATAGTGGTTGTTGTGTTACCGATGGTGTAACGCCCCATAGTAAAAATTATGAACACCCGGGTGGTGGTGATGGTATTTCTGGAGATGAAATGAAATGTATCACACCCACAACCAGTGGTTTTACATCCACAATAAAGGTTGATTGTGGTTCGGCGGGCATCACAAGTTCCCTATCACAAGCCTCACCCTCACCATCATCGACTTCGATGAATTCGTCGTCAACCGCATCTAACCTGCTGGCCTATCGTAGTGGAGAACTATCACTCGATGATTTGCGTACCCTGTATTCGCTCACCCAATTCGATGATAAAGTTGTTCCCTACACAGCTGAGGTGCCCAGCTGTTGGAATGATTTGGTACAGGCCCAAAAGCAAAGGAAACAATCCCAGCACACTTGGCGTCTGCACAATGATGCGTAAGTATTTTATTTTTTATTCTCATTTTATTTAATTTTAATATTTTATTGTCTTTTTTCTGTTTCCAGGACCACTTGGGATGAACACATCATTGAAATAAATCTATTGGTGGCAGCCACTTTGGGTCACATAGATTTGAAATTTTCCTTGTATCAGCAGTGCCATAATCCAGCTGCCATACAGGTGACATTGCTGAAACAGAATACCAGTGGTTTTGGTTATCGCATGAAGGGACCACATTCCAGTTTTAAACATTCATCGGGAGCGGATATGGGTGCGGCAAATGAACAACCATCGACCAGTACAGAAGGTAAGGTTAAACAATAAAATGAAATTTTAAAGAGGGAAAATTCAGGGTAATAAAGGACTTTCCGAACTATAAAAGAGGATTGGTTAACGATATTTTTGAGGAAGTACCAGAGCACTATAGTTTGTAGTAGAATGTATTGGAACACAACTATTATTTCGTGTATTCACACAGAGTTTTATTTTTAATGTAAGAGATCAAAAGATAAGATGATCCACAAAATATAAGATGGGAAATAACGAAACGTCATTCCTGGTGTGACAGCGAAAGATTAAAGAAGTGTACCAGTTTTGGATTTTTTAAAGATATTTTTGAAGAATTTTCCGACCAAAATGCGTGGTTTTTTAAATGATTTTTTGAAGGTCTATCACAGCAATAGGCGTGAATTTTTAAATGGTATTTTATGAAGGACTATCGCAGCAATAGGTGTGGATTTTCAAATGATATTTTTTGAAGGGCTATCACAGCAATAGGCGTGGATTTTTAAATTATATTTTTTGAAAGACTATCACAGCAATAGGCGCGGATTTGTAAATGATATTTTTTGAAAGACTATCACAGCAATAGGCGTGGATTTGTAAATGATATTTTTTGAAGGCGTGGATTTTTAAATTGTATTTTTGAAGGACTATCACAGCAATAGGCGTCAATTTTTAAATTATATTTTTTGAAGGACTATCACAGCAATAGGCGTGGATTTTTAAATTATATTTATTGAAGGACTATCACATCAATAGGCGTGGATTTTTAAATGATATTTTTTGAAGGACTATCACTGCAATAGGCGTGGATTTTCAAATGATATTTGATTATCAGGGCATTAGGCGTGGATTTTCAAATGATATTTTATGAAGGACTATCACAGCAATAGGCGTAGATTTTTCAATTATATTTTTTGAAGGACTATCACAGCAATAGGCGTGGATTGTTCAATGATATTTTTTGAAGGACTATCACAGCAATAGGCTTGGATTTTTAAATGATATTTTTTGAAGGACTATCACTGCAATAGGTGTGGATTTTTTAAGGATACTTTTTGAGGAACTTTCACAGCCATAGGCGTGGATTTTTAAGAATATTTTTTGAGGAACTTTCCGAGCAATAGGCGTGATTTTGTGGATAGTTTTGGAGAGATTATTGAAGAAATAGGCGTGGATTTTTTAAGGATAGTTTTGGAGAGATTATTGAAGAAATAGGCGTGGATTTTTTAAGGATAGTTCTGGAGAGATTATTGAAGAAATAGGCGTGGATTTTTTAAGGATAGTTTTGGAGAGATTATTGAAGAAATAGGCGTGGATTTTTTAAGGATAGTTTTGGAGAGATTATTGAAGAAATAGGCGTGGATTTTTTAAGGATAGTTTTGGAGAGATTATTGAAGAAATAGGCGTGGATTTTTTAAGGATAGTTTTGGAGAGATTATTGAAGAAATAGGCGTGGATTTTTTAAGGATAGTTTTGGAGAGATTATTGAAGAAATAGGCGTGGATTTTTTAAGGATAGTTTTGGAGAGATTATTGAAGAAATAGGCGTGGATTTTTTAAGGGTATTATTGGAGATATTATTAAAGAAATAGGCGTGGATTTTTTAAGGATAGTTTTGGAGAGATTATTGAAGAAATAGGCGCGGATTTTTTAAGGATAGTTTTTTAGAGATTATTGAAGAAATAGGCGTGGATTTTTTAAGGATAGTTTTGGAGAGATTATTGAAGAAATAGGCGTGGATTTTTTAAGGATAGTTTTGGAGAGATTATTGAAGAAATAGGCGTGGATTTTTTAAGGATAGTTTTGGAGAGATTATTGAAGAAATAGGCGTGGATTTTTTAAGGATAGTTTTGGAGAGATTATTGAAGAAATAGGCGTGGATTTTTTAAGGATAGTTTTGGAGAGATTATTGAAGAAATAGGCGTGGATTTTTTAAGGATAGTTTTGGAGAGATTATTGAAGAAATAGGCGTGGATTTTTTAAGGATAGTTTTTGAGAGATTATTGAAGAAATAGGCGTGGATTTTTTAAGGATAGTTTTTGAGAGATTATTGAAGAAATAGGCGTGGATTTTTTAAGGATAGTTTTTGAGAGATTATTGAAGAAATAGGCGTGGATTTTTTAAGGATAGTTTTTGAGAGATTATTGAAGAAATAGGCGTGGATTTTTTAAGGATAGTTTTTGAGAGATTATTGAAGAAATATGCGTGGATTTTTTAAGGATAGTTTTTGAGAGATTATTGGAGAAATAGGCGTGGATTTTTTAAGGATAGTTTTTGAGAGATTATTGAAGAAATAGGCGTGGATTTTTTAAGGATAGTTTTTGAGAGATTATTGAAGAAATAGGCGTGAATTTTTTAAAGATAGTTTTTGAGGAACTTTCAAAGTAATAGGCGTGGATCTTATAAGGATAGTTTTTGAGAGATTATTGAAGAAATAGGCGTGAATTTTTTAAAGATAGTTTTTGAGGAACTTTCAAAGTAATAGGCGTGGAATTTTTAAGGATAGTTTTTGAGGGATTATCAGAGTATTAGGCGTGGAATTTTTAAGGATAGTTTTTGAGGGATTATCAGAGTATTAGGCGTGGAATTTTTAAGGATAGTTTTTGAGGGATTATCAGAGTATTAGGCGTGGAATTTTTAAGGATATTTTTTGAGGGATTATCAGAGTATTAGGCGTGGAATTTTTAAGGATAGTTTTTGAGGGATTATCAGAGTATTAGGCGTGGAATTTTTAAGGATAGTTTTTGAGGGATTATCAGAGTATTAGGCGTGGAATTTTTAAGGATAGTTTTTGAGGGATTATCAGAGTATTAGGCGTGGAATTTTTAAGGATAGTTTTTGAGGGATTATCAGAGTATTAGGCGTGGAATTTTTAAGGATAGTTTTTGAGGGATTATCAGAGTATTAGGCGTGGAATTTTTAAGGATAGTTTTTGAGGGATTATCAGACTATTAGGCGTGGAATTTTTAAGGATAGTTTTTGAGGGATTATCAGACTATTAGACGTGGAATTTTTAAGGATAGTTTTTGAGGGATTATCAGAGTATTAGGCGTGGAATTTTTAAGGATAGTTTTTGGGGGATTATCAGGCGAGGATTTTTTAAATATATTTTTGATGGATTATTTAAGCAATAGGCGAGGATTTTCTAAGGATATTTTTGATGGATTATTTAAGCAATAGGCGAGGATTTTTTAAATATATTTTTGATGGATTATTTAAGCAATAGGCGAGGATTTTCTAAGGATATTTTTGATGGATTATTTAAGCAATAGGCGAGGATTTTCTAGGGTTATTTTTTATGGGATTTTTTTAATATTTATATTTCTTTTCTGATTTTATTTTAGGAAACAATGAAAATCCCGTTTTGAATGAAGAATTTCTACAAACGCACAATGCTGAAATTTTAGCCGGCCCCATTGAGTTATCTTCATGCATTGATTTATGCGATCAAGGTGGCACAGTTATTTTAACATCACCGAAATTATTTAAAACACGCACCCGCAACTTTTTGCTACACATCAAAACAATGGGTGATCCAGCCAAAGATGGCCAGTGTAAAACAAGAGGTAACAATGAATGGATGGAATTTGAAAAGACATAGAACTAAAATTATGTTCCCCTATATTTTCAGGATGTGATTGGTTACATGAAATATCAATTTATGTACGCGGTGTAAAGTCGCAGTCGCACATTCCCAATGAACGTCTGCAGCGCATTGCCATGTTGGAGAGTAATCAATTGTTGGATAATCTCTTCCGTATAATAAGCAATGAAAAATCCTCAATGTTGGCACGCAATTATGCCCTCGACATTTTAACATGGATATGCTGTATACGCTTGAAACGCTTCCGTTCCCCGAAATCTGATCGACAAAAGGGTCAGCCGATATTGGCCCAACAGTTGGAATGTATTTGCCAGGCAGAGAAATATTTGGAGAATACTTTGCGTTATTGTATTATACACAGTAATCGTAGTATGGCACATAAATGTGTGAAGCTAATGTTGATGTTGACCGAGTAAGAAGATATGCCTGGTTGGGTGGGTTCTTTGAATTATTACTAAATATTGTGTTTTTGCAGTGGTTTTTGTAATTTACCAGCGAATAGCAAAGGGACATCCAAGCTAGATGTGGCATTGCGAAATGCCATTGCAACTACCTTTAATGAATTGCCATTTGCCAAACATGCCAGTGTTGTCCGTTGGTATGTTATGTTGGCCTGCATTACATCGACAAATAAGACCTACAACAGCATTTCGGAAATGTGTGTCAAACTATTGGTGGATATATCCGAGGAAATTAAAAGGCGTTGGGACCCATATGGGGCATTAATTGGAACTAGGTAAGTTATTACAAAAAATGTACACAATTATAGGCGTGGATTTTTGAAAAAAAATTCTTAAAGGATTATCACAGCTTTGGCGTGGATTTTTTAAATAAATTTCTTGAATGACTATCAAAGAATTAGGCGTGGATTTTTTAAAGAAATTTCTTGAATGACTATCACAGCTTTAGGCGTGGATTTTTTTAAAGAAATTTCTTGAAGGACTATCACAGCTTTAGGCGTGGATTTTTTTAAAGAAATTTCTTGAAGGACTATCACAGCTTTAGGCGTGGATTTTTTTGTAAGAAATTTCTTGAAGAACTATCACAGCTTTAGGCGTGGATTTTTTTAAAGAAATTTCTTGAAGGACTATCACAGCTTTAGGCGTGAATTTTTTTAAAGAAATTTCTTGAAGGACTATCACAGCTTTAGGCGTGGATTTTTTTAAAGAAATTTCTTGAAGGACTATCACAGCTTTAGGCGTGAATTTTTTTAAAGAAATTTCTTGAAGAACTATCACAGCTTTAGGCGTGAATTTTTTTTAAAGAAATTTATTGAAGAACTATCACAGCTTTAGGCGTGGAATTTTTTGAAAAAAAATAATTTTTTTATAATATTAAGATTGTGTTTAATTATATTACAGATTCGGCCTATATGGTTTCCCCTTTGAACCGGATATCTTTGACTATGACCTACCAAATGTAAACAAGAATAATGTGAACTTTTCTTCAACCCTAATGAATATTATTCGCAACAATGCTGGTTTGGTACAAGCGGCCGGTATTGATATCAAAAAATTATGCTCAATAGGTAATGCGTTGATACTGAAGAAAATATTTATAAATCAATCCAATAATCTCCAAATTTCTTTTCCTCAATAGATGGTGTTGATTTCCGCACTTTCCCCCACCTAATCAAATGTAAAAGTGTTAGTAATCAACTGCGCGGTCTATTAGAAGTCGAACAATTACATTTCAATTGTGCTGCCACCTCAGAAGCCACACGTATAGATAATATGGATACGGTATCGTCTAGTGCCAGTACATCGAATGTCAATATGGATGATTTGCTAATAGCCCCCATGGTGGTGGAAACAGTCGATCAAATGTATTCCGATAAGGTGGTAAATGAATTCTTATTTCATTGAGAGAACAGTTGTTTAATTTTTCTCTCCTATTTTATTTTAGATGAACGATATTTTGAATAATGTCAAAAACAAGTCCAAAAATCTGGTCGACAAAACAAAATTGGAAAAGAAAATGGATGGTTCGGAAAGTGTTGACTTGAAACCAAATGGAATTGGACGTAAGTACTTTAAAATGTTATGGATTTGAAATAAAATTTTTGAAGGTCTATCAGAGCTAAAGGTGTGGATTATTTTGAGGGACTATCACAGCAATAGGCGTGGATTTTTAAATGATATTTTTTCAAGGACTATCACAGCAATAGGCGTAGATTTTTAAATGATATTTTTTCAAGGACTATCACAGCAACAGGCGTGGACTTTTAAATTATATTTTTTCAAGGACTATCACAGCAATAGGCGTGGATTTTTAAATATTTTTTCAAGGACTATCACAGCAATAGGCGTGGATTTTTAAATGATATTTTTTGAAGGACTATCACAGCAATAGGCATAGATTTTTAAATTATATTTTTAGAGGGATTATCAGTTCATTGGACGTTGATTTTTTAATGACATATTTAGAGGGATTATCAGGGCATTGGACGTTGATTTTTTAATGACATATTTAGAGGGATTATCAGGGCATTAGGGGTGGATTTTTTAATGATATTTTTAGGAGGATCAGGGATTATTCTTATGACATTTTTTTAACAAAATTATGTTTGTTCTCCCCCTCCTTTCTATAATTCCAGCCGTTGTAATTGATTGCACAAGTAGTTCCGGCGAAAAATTTGCCATCGAAGAGAAGTCATCAAAACTAAAAGCAAATGCTAGTGGTAGCAGCGGCAGTGGTGGTTCTTCCCTGCCCAAATTCAAATTCATTTGCGAATACATTGATCAACAATTGGGTTCTAATGTAAAACCCATCGGCGAGGATAAGGATAAAGAAAACAATAAAGACGATGGAACCGAACAACAAAGTGGTGCCGGAGAGAAGTCAACGAATGCACCAGCTACTGGGGATGAAGGTGTTGCTGCTGCTGATAATTTAAATATAAATTCATCATCATCCTCCTCCAATGTTTTCCCATGGCATAAATTGCTTTCACCGCCATCGAAACAAATGATTGTTATCGATCGTATGCATTCGGGCGCTAGACGATTTGTCGTACTCGATTTTGGATCACCTATCCTTTTGACAGATCTGATTATACCAGCATGTGATGAATTGGCTTCGCTGCACATTGATATCTGGTGTTTCGATGAAGAAACCGATTGTGTTCGTTTGGTAGTGGCACCGGATATTGGAACAAAAACCCTCGTACTTAGTGATATCCAGCCACCACCCATATGCCGTTATATGAAAATAACAATTATGGGACGTATCGGTATGTCATCGACTAAATGTAAAATACCATTGGGATCGTTTTTCGGTCATGTCATCATTTTGGAATCCGATGGTTATGGTGATATGTTTATGAAGTACATGAGTCATAAACCGCAAAATATTCAGGCTCAAATAAAGGCACTGTATTCGTTGCACGAGGATGTCCATTGTCGTTATAGTTTGGCCAGTTGCAAGCTGCTGGAGCTATTAACACCTCTGCTGAATTCAGATGTATCCAATGTCGCCCATATGCAGGCATTTATCAATAAACAACGTAGTGAAGATGATACGAACAACACCATGGAGGGTGGACGAATCACATCAATTTATGAGGTATAGAATTATTTTTATTTCAAATCGACTAACTGGAGACTTTTAATGACTTTTCTTTTCTTTTAGGAATGCATTGTTCTTCAGCATGAAATCAATGTTATCCGAAATGTCATCAATCGCTTGGAGTCCTCGTTGCAAACAAATTCCATTGACATCAATGGAACATTATTGGATAACTCGCAGGCTCTGCGAACAGCATCCAGAGATAAATTACGTGTCTTGGGACAAGCTCTAATTGAGATTCTTTTGAATTTCTCGATTGAGTACAGTTTGAAGGTAAGGTAGCTTTTTTGTCGAATCCGTTGGGAGAATTAAAAATGTTAAATTTTTTAAGATCCGCATTTTTTTCAGAATTTTTTTTTCTAATCTTCGAATATTTTTTTAATAAGGTTTCACAAATATTTATTTTTGCAGGATATGATGGCAATGCAACAACTGTTCACAGCCGATGTGGCAAATATGTTATTCAATTCATTTGTCGTCTATGGAGATGCTCACATTCAATTGGCCACCTGTTCTCTCCTGGTACGCATGTGTTGTGTTCAAAGCTGGTGGGGTGATTTCCTGGCCAACATTTTCTGCACACTATTCTCATCACAAAATAGTAAAATATTTCCACAGGATAGGTAAGAAGATCCGATAAAATCAATCCGCCCGCATATCCAATAGAAATTTAAAATTATTGTCTTCCATTTCAGGATTTTCTTTTTACTCACCTATTTGGGCAGACGTAGCATATCGATGGGCAATTGCCGATCCATTGTTATTGATGCCATTTTGAAAACATTGGCCAAACAATTGGCACCCATATCGCCACGTTACCAGGAAGCAACAGCCTCCGGTCTTAATATGTCCGATGCTGAGTCGGCGTCAGTTGGTAGCCTGTGTACCAAATCCGATTTACAACTTATAACATGGCTATTGTTATTCCTGTCCGTATGTTTGGACGATAGGAAAGACAAATGTAAGAAATATCGCAATAGGTTTAATAATGGTAAGACTAGTTTAGCTAACAATTCAAATCCCACAGCTGCCAATCGTTGGGACTTTATGAGTTGTGAAACCGATTTTGCCAAAACTCGGGGACAATCCTCAAATAGTTCCGGTAAACAGCTGAGGTGCTTTAAAAAGCGTATAATACAACAGAATAAGTACAGTGTACAGCCGTATGCCGATTGGGGCAAGAAAATCTATATGATTCAAAATGAGGTGGGTTGAAATATTTTGAAAAAATATATTAAAAATAATTTTAATATAAAAAATATTTGTTCTCTAGCATCCTGGTATCTTCATGGAAATAACTGGCAAACCCAAATCCTCCAGTAAGAGCAGTAAAAGTAGTATGCTACCCAAACCTAGCAAAGAAACGCCACAAGAACCGGAAAATAATTTCGATAAGGGTCTAAAGAATATTCGCCTTAACAATATTTTAATTGTTATAAGGGGCCTGATTGCCTTGCTGCTTGAAATGGATTTCACCTGCAATATGGATCAATTTTTATTGACATGCAAGGTAAGTTAACGAACATCTTTTTTTATTTTATTTTAAAAATTAATTTATGATACATAGCCTTAAGGCCTTTAATACGTATCTGCTGACCAAAATACATAGCATACATATATTTTAAGCTTAAATATAACTTGTAATAAAAACAGTTTAACATATCGTGACACATGTCTATCTCGCCTGAGATTATAGACAAACCGCGTTATAGAATTTACAATCCGTTTTACTCTTTCCATATTAAAAGCAATTGTCCCTGAATATATTTCAAGCCCATATAAAACCTGAGACATTAAAAGGGAATCAGCTAGGATTTGCTTTATCCGCTGATTTAAGTACAGAAAAATACCATCAACAAATAAATATGTCGTACAGCTTCAAGTGTTTATGTGAAGAACATATATAAAATAAAAAGCAGTGGTCCAATGGTAGATCTAGAAAGAATTAGACTTGGCACCATTTAGAACAACAAACTGACTCCGATCTCTCAAATAAGACAATATTAGCTTGCAGTTATTCTTCAGTTTCCATACGAGTTTCCATGATCAATAGAATTTAATGCCTTAGACAAATCTAATGATACCAAAAAAAACCTTAATTTGTCCTCCTTAATGAATTCACGGATAGAATCAGTGATTTTAAGAACAAATGAGTGGTGTTGTAACCATGGCGGAAAGCATATTGAGAATCACAAATTCTAGATAAACAAACCTCAAGCATTTGTTTCTTAATAATATACTCCATAACCTTTGATAGTGCTGGTAAAATTGATATGGGTCTGAGATCACCTGGTTCATTAACCGAACGCCATTAACCGAACGCCACTCGAGCAGTTTTCCAACATAGACGAAAAGTAGACGTAGTTAATATAGTATTTTCCAAGTCCAAGATGATCTCAGATACATAGGGAAAACGATTTTAATATAGGTAATGGGGATTTCATCAACTCACCCTACATAAAGCATCTAAACGTTTAGATTCATCCACGCAACGAAACGAGAAAGATGTATCAAACTCAGTAAAACTTTCTATATCAAGGGTAGAAACATAAGTACTAGAAGGGGTACTAGAGAAAAATTCATTTATCATATTAGCATCCATATCAATATGCTCGTGATCATTGCCAACACATCCAGAATCCTTTAATATTCTCCATAGACCACGAGAATCCATTTCTCTATAGAGCCTTGAGAAGTGGTATCTTCTTTCTCGGCGAATGATAGCTTTGGTGATAACAACATATGCGCCTATTATCTTGTGATCGATAGTTTTGAAAAGACAAAAAAGCTAAATTCCTTAATGACCTGGCAAATCTAACATCTCTAGAATTCCTCCATGGATCAACCGAATATTTAAATTGTGTTTTTTTAACAATTTTGTTAACAAATGAATAATTGAATCCAAAAGAGAACATATAGAAGCACATTTAGAAATCCACATCAATATTTCCAAAAAAACATGTCAGGCTCAACGGTTCCAACAAACGCACACAAACCATTCCAATAAATGCTATTATTATTATTATTTCATTTCTTTATTCATAATACAAAAGCCTCCTGGGCCTATTTACTGTATTAATAGTATTATTAAAAACCTGATAGTTTAAAATTCATTTTTATTTACAACATTGGCTCCCCAGCCTAATTTACTTTAACAGTAATATTATTAAAAAAAACATACAAATGTCCATTAGCAACGTACGTAGTACGAAGATCATAAAACACGAATGAACTAATTCTCTGAAAGATTTAAATGAAGTTTAAGTTTTAAACGAAACGCATTATTCGAATGCGAAAAAATTCGCAATACAATAGGTAGGTAGTTCCAAAACCTCGCAACACGAACAACATACGATTTCTCATATAAGGAGCTATGAATTAAAGGTATATTAATCTGTGGGTTTCTGCTAGAATGTAAAAATGTAAACAACGCACGTAACGACCTAGGTATACCAGTTTTAATAATTCTATAAAAATAAAAAGTATTACGAAAATCGACAAATTTACGAAACGAGGTGCCTAAAAAGTTAACAACAAACTCTGATATATGCTCACGAACTCTTACATTATAAACAAATCTAGCAATCATATTTATAATTTGCTGTAACTTATGAAAATTATATTCCGAAGTTCCAGATATAACTTCCAATACATACAACACATGTGGCATCATCAGTGAACAGGCAATTTTCGTCCTAACATGCAAAGGTAGATAAATACTGGTGGAATACAATTTACGTAACACTGAATAAATTTTACTGTGTATACTGTCAATATGGGATCCAAAATTTAACTTGTTATCCAAGATAACACCTAAACACTTGTGTTTCTCAACAAAGTCAATCCTTGAATTACCTATACATATCCCAAGATCTTGAACATGAGAACCAAACATAATAATTTTTGTTTTCAGTGGGTTTATATGTAAACAGTTAGCGTTGGTCCATCTCAGTAAATTCCCCAAACAAGAATTCATTGCCTCTTTTAAATAATCAATGGAATTTGTTTCAGACTTGAATAAAAGCATAACGTCATCAGCAAATATAAACAATGAGCATACATCAAGATTAATATATTCTGGCAAATCATTTATGTATAGAATAAACAGCAAGGGGCTCAAGACCGAACCTTGAGGTACCCCTGAAGAAAGAAAAGCACTCCCAGATCTAACACCACCCATCTCAACATATTGTGATCTACCGCTAACATACGACATTATCATTTTGCAGGCTGAAAAGGAAAAATTGAATTGATTTTTATGTTTATATATAAGCGTACTATAGGAAATCGAATTAAAAGCCTTGGATATATCCAATGAAATAAGTGAGCACATTTGCTTATTATTAAGATCACTCCTGATAGATTCTGTTAGGTGTAACAGCAGAGAAGTTGTGCTCCGGCCACGTCGAAATGCATGCTGCCCATCAAAAATTTCGGAATTAGTGTGCGATAGAATTTGGTCTTTTAATATATGTTCACAAATTTTCGACAATGTCGGGAGTATTGAGATTGGTCGTAAGTCCTCAGGACCCCGGACTATAGTAGATTTAGGAATTGGTACAACTCGAGCCATTTTCCATAATTCATTTATCATATTAGCATCCATATCAATATGCTCGTGATCATTGCCAACACATCCAGAATCCTTTAATATTCTCCATAGACCACGAGAATCCATTTCTCTATAGAGCCTTGAGAAGTGGTATCTTCTTTCTCGGCGAATGATAGCTTTGGTGATAACAACATATGCGCCAATTATCTTGTGATCGATAGTTTTGAAAAGACAAAAAAACTAAATTCCTTAATGACCTGGCAAATCTAACATCTCTAGAATTCCTCCATGGATCAACCGAATATTTAAATTGTGTTTTTTTTAACAATTTTGTTAACAAATGAATAATTGAATCCAAAAGAGAACATATAGAAGCACATTTAGAAATCCACATCAATATTTCCAAAAAAACATGTCAGGCTCAACGGTTCCAACAAACGCACACAAACCATTCCAATAAATGCTATTATTATTATTATTTCATTTCTTTATTCATAATACAAAAGCCTCCTGGGCCTATTTACTGTATTAATAGTATTATTAAAAACCTGATAGTTTAAAATTCATTTTTATTTACAACATTGGCTCCCCAGCCTAATTTACTTTAACAGTAATATTATTAAAAAAAACATACAAATGTCCATTAGCAACGTACGTAGTACGAAGATCATAAAACACGAATGAACTAATTCTCTGAAAGATTTAAATGAAGTTTAAGTTTTAAACGAAACGCATTATTCGAATGCGAAAAAATTCGCAATACAATAGGTAGGTAGTTCCAAAACCTCGCAACACGAACAACATACGATTTCTCATATAAGGAGCTATGAATTAAAGGTATATTAATCTGTGGGTTTCTGCTAGAATGTAAAAATGTAAACAACGCACGTAACGACCTAGGTATACCAGTTTTAATAATTCTATAAAAATAAAAAGTATTACGAAAATCGACAAATTTACGAAACGAGGTGCCTAAAAAGTTAACAACAAACTCTGATATATGCTCACGAACTCTTACATTATAAACAAATCTAGCAATCATATTTATAATTTGCTGTAACTTATGAAAATTATATTCCGAAGTTCCAGATATAACTTCCAATACATACAACACATGTGGCATCATCAGTGAACAGGCAATTTTCGTCCTAACATGCAAAGGTAGATAAATACTGGTGGAATACAATTTACGTAACACTGAATAAATTTTACTGTGTATACTGTCAATATGGGATCCAAAATTTAACTTGTTATCCAAGATAACACCTAAACACTTGTGTTTCTCAACAAAGTCAATCCTTGAATTACCTATACATATCCCAAGATCTTGAACATGAGAACCAAACATAATAATTTTTGTTTTCAGTGGGTTTATATGTAAACAGTTAGCGTTGGTCCATCTCAGTAAATTCCCCAAACAAGAATTCATTGCCTCTTTTAAATAATCAATGGAATTTGTTTCAGACTTGAATAAAAGCATAACGTCATCAGCAAATATAAACAATGAGCATACATCAAGATTAATATATTCTGGCAAATCATTTATGTATAGAATAAACAGCAAGGGGCTCAAGACCGAACCTTGAGGTACCCCTGAAGAAAGAAAAGCACTCCCAGATCTAACACCACCCATCTCAACATATTGTGATCTACCGCTAACATACGACATTATCATTTTGCAGGCTGAAAAGGAAAAATTGAATTGATTTTTATGTTTATATATAAGCGTACTATAGGAAATCGAATTAAAAGCCTTGGATATATCCAATGAAATAAGTGAGCACATTTGCTTATTATTAAGATCACTCCTGATAGATTCTGTTAGGTGTAACAGCAGAGAAGTTGTGCTCCGGCCACGTCGAAATGCATGCTGCCCATCAAAAATTTCGGAATTAGTGTGCGATAGAATTTGGTCTTTTAATATATGTTCACAAATTTTCGACAATGTCGGGAGTATTGAGATTGGTCGTAAGTCCTCAGGACCCCGGACTATAGTAGATTTAGGAATTGGTACAACTCGAGCCATTTTCCATAACAGTGGAAAATTTGAGGTAGTTAAAATTGTATTTATTAAGTCCAAAATCAAATGAGAGGTATGAGGCCAAATTAGTTTCAAAAATTCAATAGATATTCTATCTACACCAACCGACTTTGATTTAACTTTGCCAATAGCAACATCAATATCATAGATTGTAACACATGAGAAAGAAAATGAATTGTCAGCATCAAGAAAAGGTTCAATGTCAACACTATCATGTCCATCCGATGTCACATTAGAAGCAAAGAAATCATTAACAGATTCAGCATCACAACCATACACATCATCATTATCCCCAGTACAACCATGTCTTCTAAGTATCCTCCAGAAACTCTTGGGATCAAGGTTACGAAATTGCTTTGTGTAATAATTGTATCGTTCAGTGCGCATAACTCTCTTTGCCCTATTTCGGTATTTGCAATAAACTCTCCACCTTAACTGACATCTGTTTTCTAGATATGCCCTGTAAGAACAATCCATTAAAGACTTAGCATGTGCAACATTTTTGGCATTAATCCAATTATCAGGCTGTAATGTAAGATATCTCTTTACAACTGGAACATTGGAGTAAAGGTTTTTAAATAAATTGTTAATAATCTGGCACTTATCATCAGAATTATTGGCCTGATAATAATGCGTATGATCAAAATCTGATAAACATTCGAAGATACCATTCCAATCAATGTTTTTAAAATCATGATATTCAATTCTATCATCCACGGCATTCATACTTAAATCAAAACATGCAATTATAAGTGCATGATGCGAAATCGAAGGACAGTGAACTTGTCCTGAATAGCACGTCGAATCAATATCACTAAGCAACATGAAATCTATTAGGCTGCTACTACTATGCGCAACATCGAAATGGGTCGGTCTTATGTTATGCAAAACTGATAGATTTAACCTTAAACACATAGATCTTAATAATATTGCACGGGTGGGATTAAATAGATCACAATTAAAATCGTCAGCAACTATTATATTAGTATATTTCATAAATAAATTGTGATGCTGTTGCTCAAATGTTAAAATGTCTCCTACTGGAGGTAAATAAACCACACCGAACAAAATTGTTACATTGCCGGAATACAGTTCTAAAAATATGGACTCACATTTTCCCATTATTGACGTTTTAAAAACAATTTTATGTTTGAACTTTTTAGATGCATAAATAGCTACACCACCCCCTCTCAGACATCGTCGGTCATTTCTGTACATTTTGTAACCGGGAACCTCAACTGCACGATTAGATACCACAGGTTTGAGCCATGTCTCGGAAATGCCAATCGCATCTAATTGTGATCCTAACAAAATTGATTTAAAATCGTCAAATTTAAATGAATTAACCGAAGGTCTTATACTTTGGCAATTTATATGTCCAATTCTGAATTTTCCATTAAATGCTGTTAAAACAGACTTCAAATACGCACTATTGCTAACTACCGGACCAATGTCTAAATTAAAAGACATCAAAAGCGAATAAAGTAAATATAGAGGGGAACCAATTTACAATAACCAAAAAATATATTATTCTCCACATTAATATTTCAATTCAACAACTAACCATATTACCAATATCAATATTATTTCTCATAAATCAAAGAGTATTTATATATCTATATTACAAGCACATAATAAGCATATTTGAAAAGGTTTAAATCAAAATTAGAAAACAAGATATAACCAATTTCAATCTACGACCACCATTCCAGAATAAATTATGTTATTTACGGACTAATAAAATTTTGTTTGCATTCATAAGTGTACATAATAATTTCAAATCATTTAAATGAATTAATTGGGGGTAATAAAAATCGGACGGACAAAAAAGATATTTTAATTACACTTTTGCCTTTAGTTATGGGCATACATCAGAAAATAAGCATAATCAACCCTAAATGGACAGACAGATAAATGATTCAAATATCATACTATCATCAAGAACGGTGGTGTAGTGAAAAAAGTAAATTTACTTGACAATTTATTAAAATCCACTAATAGTTAAATTTTAAAACGTATTCTCATTGTTGAGAAGCGCCCAACATTCATCAAACTCACGAGTCACCTTCTTCCCATCCGCAAGTATTAGTATCGCTTTGGGTTTATCATAATTTAGAATTTTAAATTTCGATACCAACTTTTTATCTCGTAGCTTCCTGCAAACTGCGTTCAATTCTGAAGCTATCGGAGGGTAATGATCATTCAGGTATAAGCGTTTCTCAATATCAGATCCAACACCTTTAATAATATCCGACACTTTAAGCTGGCGTTCTTTAAAATATTCCTTCATTATAGCATCTCTTGTCTGCACGGAGTTAAATTTTATAAGTAACATCTTTCGTTTATACATATAACAAACGTGGTTAATATCATATGTGGAAATAGGAACCTTATAAAATTCAGCCAAACCAATAGCAATGCTAACGAGATCAGTCATATTTTCAGGTAATCCACTAATTAGTATGTCCCCACGATTTAGCCTTCGATGCAGGATATTATTTTCCACTTGCAAGTCAGAGATCTTTGACGAATAAGATTCAATGTCATCAATTCTTTTATTGCATTCAATTATGTCTTTTTTCATGTCAATAAGACAGGTGGCCATTTCAGTTTTGATTTCCTCGAGTACTCTTCTGATTTCATTTTGCTCGGTTTGATTAGACGTGATGAAATTGTCAAATTTCATATTAAGGGAACGAATATCATCAGAGGTATGACTTATTTCTAATCCATCATCCAGATTACTATCGCACTTGGCACAAATATATACAGATTTTTTAATTGCTTTTAATGCAGCCAGATCTTTTTCGGAAATATTTGCACAGGCTATATGAAACCACTCCGAACATATTCTACACCTTATGCATCCATTCTTGCCTATTGCAGCATTACAGGATCCACATACAATTTTCGAAGCAGCAGGCATTTCCAATCAGCATACAAGAACAGCAGGAACAAAACAAATCAGCGATCAGAAAAGCGAATAGCCAACAACAGTTAATTTTCAATCCAACAAGAGATTACACCTTTTACAGCAGCACGTTTATCATTCAAGCAAACCAATGAATAAAATTCCAATTATAAAGAAATTATATGGCATTCACGTTGAATTTCATATAAATGAAAAATTTTCAGTAATAAACAATATGTTTAAATACTTCTATGATTTATAAAGTTACGTTTAGCGCTTTAATTTAATAAAATGGTCAGCCGCGAATTCTCACACTTCTATTCAGGCATAGCGTTGCCAGATATTCGGGTTATTAGTCTCTATATTCAATGAAATCAGGTGAAAAATTAGATTTTATTGTAAGCGATGCAAAAATAAAAGCATGCTCTGATATAGCAGGAAACTGAATCTGAACTGTGTAAGCTACCACAGAAGGATGGCTAATTAGCATATAGTCAATTAAGGACGTAGAACGGCTAACGAGGTCAAAATGTGAAGGTCTGGAACAATGATCGAATTTATGCGAGTACATAGGGCGCGAAACAAATTTGCCTTATTGGGGTTGAACAAATCGCAGTTAAAGTCGCCAAGAATAACAATGTCTCTGTACTCTGCCAAAAGATCATAAAGGAGGCTTTCGAACAAATCAATATCACCGGAAGGCAAATAAGCAACACCAAAAATAACTTTCATACTCTGCAAGTGTAACTCTACAAACAATGATTCATAATGATAAACTGACGTTTTAAAAACAACTTTAAATTTAAGACTCATAGATAAAAATATTCCTACATCACCACTTCTGCTCTGCATCTAACGATCAGCACGGCAGAAGTTGTAGCCCGGAATAGAAACCGAAGAGTCTAGAATCTCAGGAACAAGCCATGTTTCATAATATTGCCATAATGTCAAAGGTATTTTGTCCTACTAGGCTCTTTAACTCATCTAGCTTCGTAACAGGTCACATACTTCTGCAGTTTAAATGTGCTACATTTAAATTAATTTTATGTTGAAAGAATGATTTTTGTGGAAACTATTTACATATTATAAACACTTTTTATAGGTTATAGCCCGTCTGGTATCTGCATGTAGGCCAGCTGTACAATTATCGAAAATTATCACCATAAATCAATTGGAACATTTAATACGTATGGCCGTGTGGAATGATCAGCAACAACCATGGGCTGTACATGCCATTACATGTCTGTTACAGGTAAGAAGAAGAAGAAATATGAACAGTTTTTAGGAGTGCACCAACCATAAATGATTTTTTTTCAAATATTTTTAGGATCTTTTGGATGCTGATCGTCATTATAAGGATAACGATGCTACACCCACAAACGATGGACAAAGAACCATGGATAGTTTCCAGGAAACCAAAGATCTATTTGCTGATTATACATGTAAGTGGAAAAAACCGGGACTTTGTATTTAAAGATAATTTCAATTCAAAATGCATTTTTCATATAGCACTCTACATGTCTCAAAATATTGGTTCCTCACAATCAACCAGTAGCGAGATTCCCTATTCAGACGGTGAGAGTCGTAACATATATATTTACATTCACAATTGCCACAATATAACTAATAAAAATAATATAATTTCTCTCTCTCTCACTGCAGCTGTCAAATATCCTTATTTACCCTCATTAATTGAATGTGAGGATACCGAATTCGATGATATGCTAAATGACATCGATGTTATGGAACGTAATAAAACGATCACAACCACCAAAAAGGATAATAGCAATATGAACAAAAATACCGTTAACTATTTTTGTAAATCAATCTCAAGTGCTATGGATTCACGTCTCGACATTGGTTTGGATCTGAATGTTGAAACTGATTTGAGACGTATAACAATGGTATCATCACTGGATATGTATTCATCATTGCCACAAATTGCAGCCAGTGAATTTAAGACAACATCGCCAGAGGTAGCTGTCTGGCCAGATTATATCGCGGATATGTGGTCGGGACCGGAATATAATTGTGGTGTCAACACCTATACCATGTTTAAGAATGTATTCGATTGTATATTGGCTGATTTACATTTGGAGGTGAGTTGAAAGAAAAAAATCTAGAGTCCCTCAGAAAATAGTCTTAGTAACAAATTCAGGCAATGCGTAGCATCTTATAAATATTAGCAAAAAAATACACGACCATAGATAGTCGTTCAAAATTAATTAAAAAAAAATGCTCGCCTATTAAGAGACCCTTTAAAAATCTTTTTAAAAAATCCAACCCCTCAAAAAACCTTTTTATAGACTCTCAAATATATTTTTAAAAATCCTTACATACTTAACTGGCTTGTGACAGAATTTTCGTTCCATAAGCCGAGCTTACAAAATATATCCAGGCGCGTCGGTCTTTTGCGCAGGTTTTCCAGTTTGAAAGATCATATTCGGCAATGTTGTCTTCCACTAGATCTTTCCATCTTATTCGTAGTCTTCCCCTTCAACGGGGACCATCAGTGGGCTCGCTTTTATATGCCTTTTGAGCTGGGGCATTCTCATTCATTCGCACAACATGACCTAGCCAACGTAGTCGCTGCAGCTCAACACGGAGAACTTTTCTCTGCTTACGCAAGTACCCATACTTCAGATCCATATAACAGTACGGGTAGTACCAGCGTCTTGTAAAGTGAGAGTAGCCTTGCTTTTAAGTTGTTCGATCAGACCATAGTAGCATCTATTCGCCATCACAATCCTTCTCCGAATTCCAAAACTGATGTCATTAGTTTTATTTATGGCGGTAACAAGGTATATAAAATCTTTAACTCCCTCGAAGCTGTAGTTCTCAAGTTTCACAGTTGCCAAACACATTTTGGCATACTCCTTCTTAATTCGTTTGAAGGAGGCTGTTACCGCTCGCAATGTTCGACCCATTATATCGATGTCATCGGTGTAGGCGAGTAGCATGTGTTGTTTGGTGTACAGAGTGTCATTTCTGTTCACCTTTGCATCTAGTATGACCTTTTCCAGCAGGATGTTATGTAGGTCACACGACAAACTGTCACCTTGTCTGAATCCTCGTTCGGTATTAGAGGGCTCCGAGAGGTCCTTTCCGACTTTAACTGCTGATCTTGTGCCAGTTAAAGTTATCCTGCATTTTGCAGGAATGCCATACGCAGACATGGCTTTATACACCTCTGAACGGATAGGGCTGTCGAATGCGGCTTTATAGTCGACGAATAGGTGATATGCGTCGATGTCTTTTTCGTGAGTCTTTTCCAGGATTTGGCACAGAGTGCAAATTTGGTCAATAGTGTATTTGTCAGGTCTGAAACCGCATTGGTATGATTAATTGGTCATTGATCATTGGCTTCAATCGTTCACACAGCACACTGGATAGCACTTTATATGCGATGGGAAGGAGACTTATTCCTCTATAATTGGCGCATATTGTCTTGTCTCCTTTTTTGTGCACGGGACACAGGATGCTGAGGTTCCAATCATTTGGCCACCAGTCTTGAATAGTTCGGCTTGTAAACCATCGGCACCTGCTGCTTTATTATTTTCAGCCGATTGCTACTCTGCTGACCTCATATTGTCATCTATTATTTGTTCTGGGGTATCATCTTCACTGCTACTATTTGATACCAGAAGCTTATCAAAATGCTCCTTCCAGATCCTCAGCACGCTGTCGGTATCTGTCACCAGGTTTCCTTCTTCATCTCTACAGGAGGATGTGCCTGCACCAGAGCCTTCGGTTTGGTGTTTTACCCTTGGTATAATTTTCGGACTTCATTATGACTCCTGTACATCTCGATCTGTTCACGCTCACGTTTTTTTTTTTTGTTCTTTCTTCTATCTTCTGAAAAAACGTTCCTCCTCTCTCCTTTTCTCCCGGTAATTCTCCATCGCATTACGTGTTGCTACTGTCTGCAGGGTTGCCCTATACGCTGCGTTTTTCACATCAGTAGCATTACGACACTCCTGATCGTACCATGGTTTTCTTGATGGTGGAGTAGGCCTCTGCTACCTGTTGTGTTTGCAGCTTTTCAACGTCGAGTTTCCATGTTGTGTTAGATCGCACCTTTGCTGCTACATTAAGACGCCTCCTATTAGACCCTTAAAACATTTTTATAAAAATGCACGCCTCTTTTTAGACCCTTAAAAATATGTTTAAAAAATCCACTCCTCTTACTAGCCCCTAAAAATGTTTTTAAAAAATCCAACCCTGTTATTATAGACCCTTAAAAATATTTATTAAAAAATCCACGCCTATTTTCTCACCACTTTTTTTCAGGAAACATGGGTCCACCTGGAACAAGTATTACAAATGTGGCTAACATTGAACGGAGAACTGGCCGATAAACCCTACAGTTCTGGCATTTCAAATGCGGATGTACCAAAAATACCATTCGGTGCAAATGCTATACAAGGCCTATTGCTGGCCCTGGCCTGGTATAATGATGTTAAACTACGTACATGGTGTTTGGGTTTCCAATGTCTTCTGCTGGCCTGCAATTCCCAGACATTTGGTCAAGAGGATGATGCCGATCGTACACGAATCAATGAGGTCATTGTCAACGATGAGAATTTCGAAAAAATGCTATTGAGATTTTTCTCAGGCTATGGCATGAGTTCGGTTATCATTACAAATCGTTGTGTAAGTTGAAATAGGTTGCCAAAAAAGAAAAATAAAATATTTAATAACTTGTGTGTTGCTTCAAATTTCAAGGCTGGTCCCACCATATGCAAACATTTACATGAACTTCTACATTGGCTACATCGCAAGGGCGAGTCTACGGATGGTGTAATATCCTGCAAGCGTAAGCTAAAAGATACCCTACTGCATGTTATACTGCAGCTGGTGCAGCCCGGCGGTGCAATCAGCAATCAATTGGGTCCCATTGATGCCCAAAGTCAATTGGTGCGTGATCTGCTGATAATGCCCAATGATAAGGCTGATTTAAATATATCATTGAATATTATTGAGTGTGTTTGTAAGTTGAGCAATTTGTTGCTTTCTTTCCCAGTCTCAATGTCCATTTTTTTAAAAATTCCAGCATTTTTGGTATTCAATAACATTTCCAATGGCGATAAGATACAGTGTCAACGTACCTCGGATACAAACAATACTGGCAATTCATTTAGCAGTCTTTTCGCCAATGTTTTGGGTTCCGATCATTCAAAGCAAAATTGTCCAATTTCGGATAGTTCATTGATCATTAGTCTGCTAAGACTTTGTTCATCGTTAATACAAACTGAATTGCCAAGGCAATTGACTGTAAGTTGCTGCACAAAACATAGCCAATAGATGCAAAAATAATGTTCTGTTTTCTGTTCCTACAGGATGTTACAATACCCGAAGAAGAAGAACTAACTACTAGTATCTGTCAAACAGATGAAACTAAAGCTGAACAATTAAATATCGAAGGGCATCGCGTTAAGACCCCGTGTATTGCTGATACAGGTAATAAGGAGTTCAATCTGAATCTTTATTTTTTAAATTGTGTTTTTTTTTCATTTTGCAGTTCTTCGTCACTTCCCAACCATGAAACGTTTGTTGGGTTCTCTCTCCCACTGTTCCAGTTCATCATTTACCCTGATGACTTCATCGGACCTCTATGGTACCCATCCAGCTATATCAACATTCTTACTTGATGAACCACAAACTGCCGCTGATGCTGTCTTTAATATGCTCCTAACTCTATGTGAAAAGGCTTCAAGCTCTCGATTGATTGTGGCACCCATTTGCCAATATTTAGAAGCATGTAAGTTAAAAAAATCTTTAGCAAGTAGAGGTATTAGACCACCCAATATTTATATGTATACCCTCCTATATGCCGATCGTAATGTATTCGTATAATTTTATGATCATGGCGTCGGTTCCCACTATTAGGATCCGAATATGAATGCGCGAAAGCCCCGCTGACGACAGTATGTCCCAGCAGCTAAGTGCTGAAATAGATGTTTTAGTTCTTGAGCATAAGTGCTCTAAATGGTTATTACACCTTAACCACTGCAATATAAATTCCACAGCTATGGTCTACAATTAAGAGTCTATCTGGTTCCAAAAGAAATACAAACCTCTCTACTATTTCATTCAATAACATTCAGCATGTAGACGTCAAAAAATGTGCATTGCAATTATGCCGCCAATTCATTGAGCATCCATCTTCCGCAGAACAGAATCAAACATGCAGTTATCTAGAGATGTAATAATCCTAAACGAGACTTGTAGGCCCCTATCATTCACATCCAGCAAGGTAGAAATCGAATTATTGATTACACTGTCGGTAATTCCAGATATTTGGAAAGTTTTCCGGATTATTGCAGTTCCGAAAACCAGATAAATCCGGTACTAATGGGGAATCCAGTAGCCAAGGATTTAGAGTCCCTTCCCTTGCTTCCTGAAACGTCATTTCATTCTTGCCTCCCACTGGCATGGTTCAGGGAAACATATAGCACAACAACATGACCTGCTAACGTAGTCACTGCAAGTCGATACGTCTATGTCGATGTCCGAGAATAGATGGTGCACCTCATGGTGCCATCCGAAACGACCCTAGTCTTACTCGGCCAACGTCGGTCACCTCAGCCCATTGTGATCTGGCGGTAGGTGGCCTTGCTTTTAAGTTACTTCTTCATCCCATAGTATCATCTGTTGGCCAACACTATCCTTCTCGGAACTTCAAAGCTGATGTTATTAGTTTTGTTTATGGCCGTACCGAGGTATCGTTAAATCGTTGCTGGATAGCACTTTATATGCGATGGGAAGGAGACTTGTCTTGTCTCCTTTTTTGGGCACGGGACACAGGTTGCTGAGGTTCCAATCATTGGGCATGCTTTCCTCTAGCCAAATTGTACTAATCAGCTGGTTCATGCTGCTCCTGACCAGCATCTTCGAGTTCTTGGGGATCCGACAAAGCATTACCTGCATATTTAGAAGATTTAACTAATTCCATTCTTACCTGTTTTCCATTCATTTTTTTTCAGGCACTTCACAACGCAGCACTTTGCCACGTCTACACTTGTCCGAGCCTCTCCTATGGTATATATCCAAAGTTTTGTATCTGTCATCATCGGTACATCTATTCACACAATTAGGCGGAATTGAAATAATTTGTAAAAATTTAGTTAAACTAAATAAAATACTTATTAATGTACAGCCAGGATTGGTAAGTAGACGACGAAGAACGGGTTTTTCGATAATTTCTAAAAATACATCTCTCTCTCTCTCTCTCATTTTTCCTAGATCTCCATGATTATGCAGCATATGACAAGAAATGCCAAACTGAAACTAGTTTCGCATGCATGCTCCAATGGCAATAGTAAAAAATCCAGCTCCAGCAGTAGTCAAAATCATCGTTATCTGCAGGATGGTCTTATCAATTTTGCCCCGTTTTGTACAATATCGGCGGAAAATGATACCGCCCAGTCGGCAGAAATACTCATAATGAACCCGGTGGCATCACATCGTCGACCAAGAACACCAGCATGGAGCTACATGTTCTATCCAAATGAATCACATGCTGATCTAACAATAACCTTACCCACCGCTATTCTGTTGCGTGAGGTACAATTGCAGCCGCATGCACCCACATTGGCCTCATGTCCATCCGCTGTGGCTTTGGAGATATCCAGAGATTTTGGTTTGGGCCCTGTGCCAGTGGGTCCGCCATTAACCACAACTGGTATGACATGTATACGTTTGAAACTGGCCAAACCTGAAATAGCCACAAGTATTGTGTTGCGTTTGTATAGGTAATGGTCCATTCAGAAATTCCTATGTCAGAATTTTTATTAAATGTATTTCCCTTCTCCATTAGACCAAAAGACAGTCCCAGCATTGGCCTAACACAAATTGCCGTTTTGGGCAATACCATATTCTCGTCGCACGGCACAAGTAATGGCGGCGGCGGTGTTGGTGGTGGTCTGGTCTCCAATTCCAGTACATCGGCCTTTGATCAGGCCATGGATGATGATTCGTTTGCCAAGACAAGCGTGGGTTGGGTACGAATTCTATCACGCTGCTATAATGTTGCATCAAAAGTCTCCTCAGCTTCGAAATTAGCAGCCGATGTTATTGGGGCTTCGGCAGCTTATCCTGGATTCTTGGATGCCTGCTGCTCCCTTATGAATATAATGCCAATGATACCGAATGCTGCAGTGCAAAACTTGGGTTCGGTTTTGCTAACATTGGGTGCCTATAGTAAAGATTTGTGTTTGCAGCTGATACGTACGCTGTTGTGGAATACCAGTCCTCAAAGTAAGTAACTTATTATGGGTTATAACAAGTCAGTTAGTAAGGACTGATTTTTAAGGTTCTGAGTGTCAAAAATAATTTTCAAATCCCAAAGCCCCAATGAGCTTCGGTTTTTTTAAATAATTTTCAAGGGTTGAAGGTCTAATAGGCATCGGATTTTTAATAATAATTTTTACAAGGGGCTAAAGACCGAAACATTTGAATATTTCAAGAGTAGAGGGGCCAAAAAATTTGAATTTTGAAATTTGAAAGGCCGAAGGACCAATAAATGTGGATTTTTCAAGGTCGAAGGACCAATAATCATGGGGGGTTTGTGAATGTAGATTTTCATAGGTGGAGGTGCTAGAAAGCCTGAAATTTCTTACATAATAATTTTTACAGAGTCGAAGGATAAAAATTTTTCAATGGTCGAAGGACCGATAAAGTGATCATTAATAATAATTTTTTCCCGAATCGAAGGACTAATATGAAATGATCAATAAGCTTAGATTTACCTAATAATATTTTTTCCAGAAATTAAATTCAAAGGTCGAAGGACCAATAAACATGTGTTTGCTAAAAACAATTTTTCTAGAGTCGAAGGACCAATGAATGGGGTTTTTAAGGGTCGAAGTGCCTGTATGCCTGATTTTTTTTTTAATAATAATTTTTCCAATGTCGAATGATCAACATTTTTCAAGGGTAGAGGGAGCGATAAAGAAAATTTGATTTTTTTCAAAAGTCAAAAGACCAAGATCGAAGGACTAATAAGCATGAGTTGTGAATGTGGATCTTCAAGGGATAAGTGATAGTAAGCCTGATAGTAAAGTCGAAGGGCCAATATTTTTCAAAATATTTTTTCATAGTCGAAGGGTGTAAGGACCAACTCAGAGTCCAATATTTTTCAATGGTGGAAGGGACCAGGTCCGAGGGACCATAAGCGTGATATTTTTAGTAATATTATTTTAAATAATCACGAAAGTATTTTAAATAATCATTTTTTAGATTTCAAGGACCAATATTTTTCACGGGTCAAAAGATCAATAGGCGTGGTTGTTTATTAATAATCTTTTCCGATTCGAAGGACCAATATTTTTCAAGAGTCGAAGGACCAATAATAGTGGATTTTTTAATAATAATTTGTCTAGAGTCGATGGACCAATAAGAATGGATTTCTTAATAATATTTCCAGCGTCGAAGGGCCAATATGCGTGGAATTTTTTATAATAATTTTTCCGAGTTCAAGGACCTATATTTTTCCAGAATCGAAGGACCAATAATCATTTCAGAGTCGATGGGCCAATATATTTCAAGGATCGAAGAATTTTTTAATAATAATTTTTCTAGGGTCGAAGTACCAATAAACGTTAATTTTTAATATATTTTTTTTATAATTTTTCACATCATAATCTTCTCAATTTTCTTGTTCTTCCTTTTTTCAGTTTATAAACTATCCAATGATAGCATATGCGATCTACTCTATGATTTGTGTACCACCAAAGATACCTATGTTATGGACAAAGTTAAGGTACTCCTCGAATGGATTGATAATTTACGACAGAATTTCAGCAGCAGCAACACCGCACGTTGTAATAATCCGCAGAGTGGTTTCGTCAAGTGTATTGCCTCCATATTATGGCATATATTCGAAGAAAATAGCGTACCAAATCTGTCCGAATTAATTACGGAGAATGTCTTCGAGGCCTGTATGCATTGGATTGATCGTCTGGAGAATGAGGAGCCATTAAAAGTTGCCTTCGATTCGTTACTATGTTCGCTGTGTTATATTCAACCGAAATTCTTTAATCATATGCTAATGAGATTGAATGTTAAAATAGCCCATACAACAGCTGGGGGTGGTAATGATGGCGCCGCATCAGGAATGGAAGAAGGAAGTGGTGGCGATGGAAATTTAATTAACCCTGCATCTGCTGAAAAATGTGGCCTAACCGATGACAACAAAGAGATGAGTGGTAAGGCCTGGTATGCCAATGTGGCGGCCGATAATTTATCTACCCTCTTCCAACATCCATCGTATTTGGCCACCATTGCCTTGGCCTGTCAATCATCGAATGCTGTCTTTCAACTTGTCGACTCGGGTTTGCCTAAACTTTTGGCCTATGCCTTGTATGAATATTGTTCGACGCTGTTGAGTCAGGATATGCCGGCAAACGTTCAACGTTCAAATTCTCCTCCCCCTCCTCCAAGTGAGGTTGCTGGTACAGCTTCTTCGTCGTCATCATCCACCACCTGCATGACCGATGCCGATAAGGTTGCAGGCGATCAACAAATGGAAGATATGCAAACCGATCATGATGCCACAGGCGGCAGTCCACAACGCCAATTGATGTCCTTTGAATTGGTGCCTAAAATTTTGGACTTTTTCACCGACTGCTGTACCGAAGGTCATATGCGTGATTGGTTGGGCACCCAACAAGGTTCAATATTCTGGAAGCCATTACTGAAATTACTATGCAATCATCGGCCCATTGATTTCATATCTCCCCAAAATAATGCCACCGGAGGAGGAGGTTTCAATCAGCAGGAACCCACTCAACAGGCATTCATACGTATCGAAAGGGCAACAATTAATTTCTTTTCCCATGTCACCGCCTGTCATCCGAATAATCAAAATATTCTCACAATGCTACTAATCGAAGTAATACGCGAACCATCCACTTCGTTGGCTGCCAAGTCTGGCACCAATGCCGATGGCAGTAATAAACAGACCATATCGGGTTTTACACGACAACTGGTATTACAATTGTTGTTGGAAAATGAACGTATCCTGGTGTCGGTGCGTAGCAAGCAACCGCTACAGAAAAAGGATCCACATGCCACGTTTATGTCAATGGCAGCATCGGCATCAAATTTACAAAATTCTTCTTCATCGTCCAGCAGTTATGTGACACCGAGTAGTAGTGTTAACATCTCCTTGGTCAATCATCATCCGGCGAAGCGTATTAACACACAGCATTTGCTGTTTTCGGTTAGCGCCAATACCAAGTGTCAAGAAATTATACAGAATTGTCTGTCAGGTGAGTGTTTCGGGGAAATTTTTCTCAAGGTTCGAAGGACCAATAAGTAGGGGGATTTGTTATTAAATTTTTTCCAGGGTCGAAGAAACAATATTTTCCAATGGTCGAAGGACCACTATTTGTAAAGCGTCGAAGGATCAATAAGCGAGAATTTTTAATAATAATTCTATTCGAGTTCAAGGGTCGAATAATATTAATTTTTCCAAAGTCGAAGGACCAATAAGCGTGGTTTTTTCAATAATAATTATTCCAGAGTCGAAGGAACAATTAATAATTACTTCTTCAAGGGTCGAAGGACCAATAAGCGTGGATTTTTTTAATAATAATTTTTCCAGAGTCGAAGGATCAATATTTTTGAAGGGTCGAAGGACCAATAAGCGTGGATGTTTTAATAATATTTTTTCAGAGTCGATGGGGGTTGAAGAACCAATAAGTGTGGATTTTTTAGTAATAATATTTTCCGAGCCGATTCTTTTTAATAATAATTTTTCAGGTGTCGAAGGACCAGAATAAGTTTTGATTTTTTAATAATAATATTTCCAGAGTCGAAGGACAAAATAGGCATGATTGTTTAATTATAATTTTGCCAGAGGCCAAAATTTTTCAAGAGACCAATAATCTTGAATTTTTTGATAATAATTTTTGTCCAGAGTCGAAGGACCAAAATTTTTCAATGGTCAAAGTACCAATAAGCGTCTATTTTTAAGTTATAATTCAGAGCCGAAGGACCAATAATTGGGGATTTTTTAATAATAATTTTTTTACTGTTTACTTTCAAAAGCCTTTTTAAAACTATTTTTTTTTTTTAAATTTCGCCCCCTCTACCCCCTTACCACTAGAAAATCGACGCAACGATAGTGGTGTGGCCGCAACAACAACAACGACAACATCAATTGTCCCGGGTGATATATTCAAGGATGACAGTGAGAAAAATCAAAATGATCCCTATAAGGATATAACAATAACATTCAATGGCCTTGAGAATGGTATGGAAATTTTAAGTGTGGCAGCCGGTGTAACGGCCAAGGATAAACGTATCAAAGATGCTAAAAATCAGGTTGCTGCCAATAAAGAGAATAAGGACATGGTGGCAAATTTCTCAAGTAAGAAAATCGAATCCTTGTGATGAATGATTACAAAAAATGATGATCTGCATTTTTTTCTTTTTCAGAACTTGTCAATTTGGAAGATATTCTAACACCCACCAATACTGCTACGGCTGCCACAAACTCCTCCAATAATTATGTACAGCTAGTACATCGCGATTATCCGGAAATACAAATTGGCAGTGATACAACAATATCACAGCTACTGGCGGCATTGCAAAGCAAAGGACATTCGCTGGCTAAGCCATGCATAAATCTTGAATTGGTAAGCAGGAATAGGTTCTGATAATTAATGTTACAAAATAATTACAAATTTAAATTTATATTTTTTAGATCTCTGGAAAATCAAGCCATGCAACAGAAGCCGGCGGCAGCGGTGATGAGCCACCAACCATTATTAAAGCCTCTTCCGTGGAACCTTTACCATCTCCACTGCAACGTTTCTCCAGCCGTGGTGGCCTCTCTCTGCTGGCACAATATTTACCCACGGTATATCCCGAAATCACCGCACGTAAACATCAAAACAATGCCCCCGAAAAAGAAAAAAGTCCACCAATGAGCGATTGGGTTAAGCTAGAACCAAACGATGATATCTATGAAGATTTGGAGGATCCACTGTCGGAACCAACAACCAAACAGGCAACAATTACCGCTGTACCACAACATTCTTTGGCCGCATTCGGATTGTTTTTGCGTCTTCCTGCCTATTCGGATGTTTTGCTGCGCGACAAATTGCGAGCTCAGTGTCTATTGCGTTTGGTATTGGGCGTGACCGGAGATGGAGAAGGAAGTGAGTTTGGTTTTGGAAATTTGGTAATCTGCATAAAATTAATTGTGATTTCTATTTGGTTGATTTTTTCAGATGATATTTACAGTCTTTCATTAGCTCCCACATTGCCAACATTGCCTTTTGAAGTTTTCCGCCAGCTCTTGGATAGTTCCCCGCTAACAACCGATGATGGTATGCTGTTGCGTCGTATGGTTATTGATGTTGGTGCCATGCATTTGATCTTGAATTGTTTGAGTATATTTACACATCATTCTCCGGTTTATTCATTGGGCAGTTGCCAGAATGAGGTAAGTTTGTTCATAGGTTTTGACAATTTTCTGTAAGTTAAAAATCGATGTGCTTCTCGAGGACATACAACATCTGAACATAGAGGGACCAATATTTGTCAAGGTTCAAAAGGTCAAAAAGGCGTAGATTTTTTAATAATAATTTTCCAATTTAGTCAAGAGTCGAAGGACCAATATAGCTGGATTTTTTAAAAATAATTTTTCCAGAGTCAAAGGGCCAATAAACGTGGATTTTTTTAATAATAATTTGTCCAGAGTCGAAGGGCCAATATTGGACAAGGGTCGAAGGACCAATAAAGGAAGATTTTTTAATAATAATTTTTCCCGAATGGAGGTAGACTGTCGGCAAGAGTGTAGACCCTCTTGACCCTCAAATCCTCAGGTCCCTGACGACACTTTTTCTATAGAAAAAAATCCTCGTTCGCAGATTTCAATTTCCATATCTTTAACTTTTCTATCATATAAAGTATTCGGCGGAAAATGAAGCTCTATATCCGAATCCTTGGTTCGGATGGATATTGCTTATAACATCTATTTTTTCTAATATTTCAGACAAACAATGGCGGTAATGGTAGCAGTGGTGGTGGCGGTATCAAACCAGCCATGAATTTAGGTGAAGATGCCTCAATGGCAACATCCGACGATAAGGGTCATATGTATTGGGCCAAGGGTACCGGGTTTGGTACAGGCTCCACGACACAATCATGGAATGTGGAACAGGCTCTGCTGCGACAAAAAAGCGAAGAAGAACATGTCACTGTTTTACTACAGGTAATAACAACATGCTAACATAAATTTTTACTCAGACATAATTAATTTTCAAAAAAAATGTTTTTCCAGGTCCTTGCCAGTTATATAAATCCGGGCGATCGCATTCCAACACCCGAAGAAATGCCCTATCATGAAATGATGAATGCTTCGAATGAACTTCCCAATGAATTTCTAACACTGCTGAAGCAATCGTGTCTCATTCCAGCGCTTAGTTCCTACTTACGCAATGATTCCGTACTTGATATAACCCGACACATTCCATTATATCGAGCCATATTACAGCTATTGCGATCAATATCGTTGTCACAGGAGCTGGTGACACTGCTGCAGCCGCAGAATATGGGTGAAAGTTCACCATCGATATCGGAACTGCTGAGCAATATGAAAACCTGTGTGGATACCTATGCCAAACGGTTAAAGTAGGTGCCACAATATTGTTGTTAAAACACAACAAAAATTAATTGTTTTTGTTTTATTTTTTTTTCAGATTAAATAAAAAATCCAACATTAAGGGTCAAACCCAACAAGTCACCGTTAACATAGATGACGGTGATGATGAAGGCCTAGCCTTACTTATACCCGATATACAAGAGACTACGGTATTGGTACAAAAAACCACACAACGTTCAGCAGCAGCTGGTCAACAGCAACAACCAAATCAGGCCGGTGGTAGCGTCACAAATGAATCAGGCCAGCCAATGGACTTTGAACGACCTCTACAAAGTAAATCGATCGAAGAACGTTATTTGGCAGTTATGAAGAAACTGCAGTTCGATACATATGACATGATTGTGGAGGCCGAGAGTAATGGTTATCGTTTTGTTGTCTCTCATCATTTTGAGAAAATGGTACGCATGGCCGGTGATCGTTATCATCCGTCACGTGTCAAACGTTTGGCCCAAGAAGCTGTTACCCTCTCCACCAGTTTGCCATTGTCGTTTAGTAGTTCGGTGTTTGTACGTTGTGACACCGATCGTTTGGATGTTATGAAGGTAAGTAGCAACAAATCGCTCCAACTTGTTAGAAAATTACCACGAGCTTAATGATTTTGTATATATGGATGGTCCCGGTAATGAAAATGGTGTTTGTGTCTAGGTTTAACCTAAAACGAAAGACGGTTATATGTTTTCTATAGATATAAATGTCCTAGGAGACCTGAGGATTTTTCCTATATAAATAAATGTTCTCAGGGATCTGAGGACGATTTTTCTATAGAAAAAAATCGTCAGGTCCCTGTGGACGTTTTTTTCTACAGAAAAAAATTCCTCAGGTCCCTGAGGACATTTATTTCCATAGAAAAAATTCCTCAGGTCCCTGAGGATATTTATTTCTATAGAAAAAAATCCTCAAGTCCTCATATTTATTTCTATAGAAAAAAATTCCTTAAGTCCCTGAAGACGTTTATTTCTATAGAAAAAATCCTCAAGATTCTGAGGACGTTTATTTTTATGTGAAAAATAAATCCTCAGGTCCCTGAGGAGGTTGATTTCTATAGAAAAAATCCTCGGGACCCTGAGGACATTTATTTCTATAGAAAAAAAGTTCCTCAGGCCCTGAGGATGGTTATTTCTTTGGATAAAATCAGGTCCTTAGGTTTTTTTAATGTCACTTTTTTTATTTGCAGGTCCTCATAACCGGCCCAGCCGATACTCCCTATGCCAATGGTTGCTTTGAATTCGATGTGTTCTTCCCACCCGATTATCCAAATCTACCAATGCTTATCAATTTGGAAACGACCGGTCGTCATTCGGTACGTTTCAATCCGAATTTATATAATGATGGTAAGGTTTGCTTATCGGTGTTGAATACCTGGCATGGACGGCCCGAAGAGAAATGGAATGCTCAGACATCCAGTTTCCTTCAAGTATTGGTCTCGATACAGTCGCTGATTCTGGTGCCTGAACCCTATTTTAATGAGCCTGGGTTTGAGCGTAGCCGTGGCACCCCGAGTGGTACACATTCATCGCGTGAATACAATAGCAATATCTATCAGGCCTGTGTCCGTTGGGCTATGCTGGAACAAATACGTAATCCTAGTCCATGTTTTAGGGATGTAAGTATATATCAGTTTTGAATGATAGCAAATGAATCTTAACTTCTTGTTATGTCCTCCCTCCTTCTCAGGTTATTCACACCCACTTTTGGCTGAAACGCAATGAAATTTGTGCCCAAATTGAAAACTGGATTGAGGAATTGTGTAAGCCCCAGTATAACGAGCGTAGCAGCCGTACTATTTCCTTTAATTCCATGGTGCTGCGTAGACAATATCGCCATTTGCGTGAGGAGTTGGCCAAATTGAAGGTACCCGAAGGCTTGGAGGACTTGGATGAACCCTTCAATCCCAATGTAACCCTACCAGCCATGACTGAAAGTGCAAATAACACAGGAGGAGGCAGCAGCAGCATTAACAGCAGCAATGGTGGAGGAGGTGGTGGCGGCGGCGGAGCCAGTGGTAGCGGCGGTGGTGCCACATCCAAACAACAAACCGACAGTTCGATTATCTCCACAACCAGCACAAATGCCAGCAGTTCAAGTGCCAGTGCCATTGCGGAAACCAAATCCAATGAAGGTTCGGAGGAGACCACCGTCGAATCGTTGAGTTCGCAATTGTGTAGTGGCAGTGCCCCCCTTGCACCCCTGGAAATCAACACAAATCAACCGTACATGAGCTGTGCCATGGATGAGGATAGTGACTCGCCGGCGGCTGTATTGCCGCAGTCTACAATGTCGGCCTCGGCCACAGCTAAGGTGGTCGTGGGGGATGACCAGCAACAAAATGAAGCAGATGGTGGTGGTGTTGATGACGACGACGATGATGATGATGGGGAGGAGGATGGTGATGGCGATAACGACGGAGATGATATCAATGCTGCAGAGGAGGAAGATGCCGATGGCATGGATGCCAATGAATATAAATGTGTGGGTGATCTTATGGAACAGTTGTTCTTTGCCGGTTCCGATAATACCATGCACTATGATGATTAAGGAAAAGGAAGCACATTTCAAACCCGACCCCAACCCCCCAACATGATGATGATGTGGATGATGAATTGAAATGAGACTCCTCATTTTCTTTTACAGACACCACAAACACACACACACACTATTGTGCATTATTGTTCTGCCTTCTTGTTTATTCTCTATATATAATTTTTGTGAATACACAAACTCTACCCCAAAAAAAGATACGAAATTTAAAACAAAAAAGATTATATATATTTTTTTCTAAAACAAACAAAAATGAATTCGACTAATTGCATATATAGAAAATAAAACCTACATAACTACTACATACATACGTAGATTCATAACAACAAATTTATTATATCATGCTTAGTAATTAATAATACATTTTTTTTATCATTATTATTATGTACTTTATAGTACTCTCTCTCTCTCTCTCTTCCTCTCTCGATTGGCCTCAGCATGTTCTTTTTCTTGCTTCTTCTTTTTATAACTTAATTATTATTACCATTATTATTATTTTTTATTATTTCATATTTAAAAGAAAAAATGTTTTTTTACTTCCCCCACAAAAAGAAAAAAACAAAACAAACTACAACAAATATATTATTCAATAAACTACAAAAGAAAAAACATCAATTGGAACTCTATGAAAAAATCAAACGATCGGTGATCGTTAAAAAAAGGCAACACTTGTTGTTTAATAAAAAAAATAAAAACACACAAAAAAATCAATAAAAGAAATACCTGCATATTTATTGCACTACAAAGGATTTCCAGAACTACCCTTCCTCTCCTTCTTTTTTCTTATATTTGATTTTTTTCTTTTACACCCCGCCGCCATCCATATTCATTCATGACGAATACATATAGCATACATACTATATATATATCAACAACAAACTCTTTCTCATTGCATATTTTATGCCAAGACTTAAACAGAAGTAAAAACACAGTGCTTTGTCGCTGTTTAAAAATAATTAATAATATAATACCTATACAAAAAAAATATATAATAATAAAGATGGCTGATTATTAACAAAAAAATAATTAAATAAATATAGTAGTTTTGATCTGGCATATTTGAAGAGGTATTAAATTCACTAATTTCTTAGCTGCATAATAAAGCAACTTATATGCCTTTAGAAGTCCACGCAAAAAATATTCACCCCTATTCCGTATGTCGTCGTAGTTGTCGACGACGTTTCTCTTTCGACATCACTTCGCATCGACATCGACATCACTTCGACACTGATTTGGTATTCTGTAACACTCATGCGACGATGTCGACTATTTATCGATAATATCAATAAAAACAAAAAAATTGTTGCATATTTTTGGGCAAAAATGTGTTTGTATCCGTCACTTCACTGTGGCACAGGGTAAATGTGTCTGCAATGACCAAAAAGAAACGAGATAGACCCATAGTTTCTTTTTATTATATATGTACATAAAATTATTTTTCAGTCGATTTATGCATGTCCCTCCATCCATGTATTATTTTAAACAAGTTACATGCCACCATTATGATCCGAATGGGATGAAATTTGGAAAAGTGCATCCAATTGGGATGAAATTTTATTTGGCGCATAGACGATTCCTGTTGATATTGGTCAAAATCGGTACAGATTTATATATAGATCCCATATATTTTTCTTTATTTACACTTTATTTTGCATTAAGTATTGAATAGATTCTAGAATGATGTATCCTGTTCTTGTCCAGTCATGTTCTTTTTTTAATTTCTAAAAAAAAATGTCGTCAACAAAAGCTATGACGAAGAAATCTTCGACATCGTCGTCGTCACACATTGTTACGGAATACCAAAAATGTTTCAATAGTTATCGATAAATGTCGACAACGACATAGGGAATACCAATTTGAAAAAGACGACTCTCTTCGACGTCGTTTCGTGTCGACGACGACATACGGAATAGGGGTGATTGTTTAAAAAATCCACGCCTTGGATAGCTTTTGAAAAATATTGTTTAAAAAATCCACGCCTTGGATAGCTTTTGAAAAATATTGTTTAAAAAATCCACGCCTTGGATAGCTTTTGAAAAATATTGTTTAAAAAATCCACGCCTTGGATAGCTTTTGAAAAATATTGTTTAAAAAATCCACGCCTTGGATAGCTTTTGAAAAATATTGTTTAAAAAATCCACGCCTTGGATAGCTTTTGAAAAATATTGTTTAAAAAATCCACGCCTTGGATAGCTTTTGAAAAATATTGTTTAAAAAATCCACGCCTTGGATAGCTTTTGAAAAATATTGTTTAAAAAATCCACGCCTTGGATAGCTTTTGAAAAATATTGTTTAAAAAATCCACGCCTTGGATAGCTTTTGAAAAATATTGTTTAAAAAATCCACGCCTTGGATAGCTTTTGAAAAATATTGTTTAAAAAATCCACGCCTTGGATAGCCTTTGAAAAATATTGTTTAAAAAATCCACGCCTTGGATAGCTTTTGAAAAATATTGTTTAAAAAATCCACGCCTTGGATAGCTTTTGAAAAATATTGTTTAAAAAATCCACGCCTTGGATAGCTTTTGAAAAATATTGTTTAAAAAATCCACGCCTTGGATAGCTTTTGAAAAATATTGTTTAAAAAATCCACGCCTTGGATAGCTTTTGAAAAATATTGTTTAAAAAATCCACGCCTTGGATAGCTTTTGAAAAATATTGTTTAAAAAATCCACGCCTTGGATAGCTTTTGAAAAATATTGTTTAAAAAATCCACGCCTTGGATAGCTTTTGAAAAATATTGTTTAAAAAATCCACGCCTTGGATAGCTTTTGAAAAATATTGTTTAAAAAATCCACGCCTTGGATAGCTTTTGAAAAATATTGTTTAAAAAATCCACGCCTTGGATAGCTTTTGAAAAATATTGTTTAAAAAATCCACGCCTTGGATAGCTTTTGAAAAATATTGTTTAAAAAATCCACGCCTTGGATAGCTTTTGAAAAATATTGTTTAAAAAATCCACGCCTTGGATAGCTTTTGAAAAATATTGTTTAAAAAATCCACGCCTTGGATAGCTTTTGAAAAATATTGTTTAAAAAATCCACGCCTTGGATAGCTTTTGAAAAATATTGTTTAAAAAATCCACGCCTTGGATAGCTTTTGAAAAATATTGTTTAAAAAATCCACGCCTTGGATAGCTTTTGAAAAATATTGTTTAAAAAATCCACGCCTTGGATAGCTTTTGAAAAATATTGTTTAAAAAATCCACGCCTTGGATAGCTTTTGAAAAATATTGTTTAAAAAATCCACGCCTTGGATAGCTTTTGAAAAATATTGTTTAAAAAATCCACGCCCACGCCTTGGATAGCTTTTGAAAAATATTGTTTAAAAAATCCACGCCTTGGATAGCCTTTGAAAAATATTGTTTAAAAAATCCACGCCTTGGATAGCCTTTGAAAAATATTGTTTAAAAAATCCACGCCTTGGATAGCCTTTGAAAAATATTGTTTAAAAAATCCACGCCTTGGATAGCCTTTGAAAAATATTGTTTAAAAAATCCACGCCTTGGATAGCCTTTGAAAAATATTGTTTAAAAAATCCACGCCTTGGATAGCCTTGGATTGAAAAATATTGTTTAAAAAATCCACGCCTTGGATAGCCTTTGAAAAATATTGTTTAAAAAATCCACGCCTTGGATAGCCTTTGAAAAATATTGTTTAAAAAATCCACGCCTTGGATAGCCTTTGAAAAATATTGTTTAAAAAATCCACGCCTTGGATAGCCTTTGAAAAATATTGTTTAAAAAATCCACGCCTTGGATAGCCTTTGAAAAATATTGTTTAAAAAATCCACGCCTTGGATAGCCTTTGAAAAATATTGTTTAAAAAATCCACGCCTTGGATAGCCTTTGAAAAATATTGTTTAAAAAATCCACGCCTTGGATAGCCTTTGAAAAATATTGTTTAAAAAATCCACGCCTTGGATAGCCTTTGAAAAATATTGTTTAAAAAATCCACGCCTTGGATAGCCTTTGAAAAATATTGTTTAAAAAATCCACGCCTTGGATAGCCTTTGAAAAATATTGTTTAAAAAATCCACGCCTTGGATAGCCTTGGTTTTAAAAATAGCCTTTGAAAAATATTGTTTAAAAAATCCACGCCTTGGATAGCCTTTGAAAAATATTGTTTAAAAAATCCACGCCTTGGATAGCCTTTGAAAAATATTGTTTAAAAAATCCACGCCTTGGATAGCTTTTGAAAAATATTGTTTAAAAAATCCACGCCTTGGATAGCTTTTGAAAAATATTGTTTAAAAAATCCACGCCTTGGATAGCTTTTGAAAAATATTGTTTAAAAAATCCACGCCTTGGATAGCTTTTGAAAAATATTGTTTAAAAAATCCACGCCTTGGATAGCTTTTGAAAAATATTGTTTAAAAAATCCACGCCTTGGATAGCTTTTGAAAAATATTGTTTAAAAAATCCACGTCTTGGATAGCCGTTGAAAAATATTGTTTAAAAAATCCACGCCTTGGATAGCCTTTGAAAAATATTGTTTAAAAAATCCACGCCTTGGATAGCCTTTGAAAAATATTGTTTAAAAAATCCACGCCTTGGATAGCCTTTGAAAAATATTGTTTAAAAAATCCACGCCTTGGATAGCCTTTTAAACATATTATTTAAAAAATCCACGCATTGGATAGCCTTTTAAACATATTATTTAAAAAATTCACGCCTTTAGAAGCCTTCAAAAAAATATTCTTAAAAGATACATGCCTTTACAAGTCCTCCAAAAATGTTCTTGAACATCCTCAGAAGACGCTCAAACAGGTCTATCGTAATTATTAGTGGTCTGCCTGAAGGCATTAAAAATTTTGAGAGACTAGTTGTAAAAATGTCTTCTCTGTGCGGCATTGATATGCATCCTAGGGATATAAACCACTGCTGTTACATATCAAAAGGAAAGACAGTGCTTGTCAAGTTTAACTCTGTCCGATTTTGTTGTGTGATGTTACTGGTGCATCCATTAGGAGTAGAGTTTACTTGAACGATCATTATAATCGAACGGCATACATTTAATATAAAAACAAATTATGGGTTACTTCGACGAGTCGTCTCTTTGCACGATAGTCAGTACGGCATTCGATGCAATCGTAGTACCACATCCCTCTTAATTGGTCTAACAGAGAACATCAGGAAAAGAGTCAGTGATGGAGGTTGCTGTGTGCTCTTGTCACTGACCTTGAAAAGGCGTTTGATAAAATCAATCACGCTGGGTTGGTCGAAAAACTTTTCGAAGACTTTAAATTTTCTTCATCCGCGTGTAGACTTATGTTCTATTATTTGTGTGATAGAAAACAGTATGTTAGTAGTAAAAATTGTGTGTATAGTATGTTGTCTGTGAGTAGTGGGGTGCCGCAAGTGTCCAAAACTTCCTACATGCCCCAATTCTACACATCCACAAATTGTACCAAATTTAGTACAAAGTAGTACGAATTTCCAGAACCTCTTTCGTACCCCCAAACCAACACCCACACAGTGATCCAAAATCCAAGTTTCAGGATTCAAACTCTATCAGTTCACCCACAATTCAAATTGTACCAAATTTAGTACAAAGTAGTAGGAATTTCCCGAACCCCCTTCTTACCCCAAACCAACACATCCACAGTGATACAAAATCCAAGTTTCAGGATTCCAACACTATCGGTTCACCCACAATTCAAACTGTACAAAATTTAGTACACAATAGTACCAATTTCCAAAGTTTCCTTCATGCCCACACCCACAATTTAAATTGTACCAAATTTAGTACAAATTTATAAAACTTCCTACATATTTCAATCTTACACCTTAACAGTGATCCTGACTCCAAATTTCATGACTCTAGCTGTATTGGTTCACCTAAAATAAAGTTGTACCAAATTTTGTACCCATGAGTATTAATTCGTTAAACTGAATCCTGACCCTAATCCTACATCCCTACAATGATCTTAACTCCAAACTTCATTGTTCCAGCTCTATCGGTTCACCCAAATCCAAATTGTACCAATTATAGTACGATTAAGTACTTTTCGTACACATAAGTAAAAATTTCCAAACTATTCATCTATTCTACACTCCATCAGTGACCCTTAATCCAAATTTCATAGTTCTAGTTCTACTGGTTCGCCAAATACAAATGATACCATATTTAGTACTTTTCGTACCGTTCTACTACGAATTTCCAAAAACCTAGCCTTATCTGTCACATTTGGACCAAGAGTGACACTCACCTAAAATTTTAAGATTCTATATTTAGCCGTTTCGTCTGTGCGTTGATGAATCGTTAAATCAGTCAGTCAGTCAATCACTTTACTCTTTTATTAGAATATATTATTATTATTATTATTCTAATATACTGTTTTGAGCAGGGATGGTCCGTATGACGAATTTTTAGGTTTTCGACTGTCAAAAAGGTGTAAACGTCATATACCTGTATAAAATGTAGAAAACATCATTTATTCGAATATTATTACCATATACCGTTATTTTCAAAAATACATATTATTTTTACATATATCTGTCTGTTCCTTACTAGAACTAATACAAAATTCTAAACTTTTTGGAGAAAATTTTTTTATGGATTTTATATGGATTTCAGTAAAGCATACGTAATTTCCAAATTCATTAATGGAAATAGGTATTTTGTCAAAAACCTAATGGTTTTGGGTGGGTTTCCGACGTTTCTGGCGAAAATTAGTTTTATAATGGTAAATGTAGAGAAAAACGTGGTCTCATATATTTTCAATTTGAAACGCGATTAACTTATTTACTTTATAACGGATTTATAGGGTAAGTGTACAAATCGTCGGCACTTTGAGGATTTACGAATTTTAAATTTTTCACTCCGGGTGCATTATTTCCACTATATTGTATTTTGGTTCATTTGATTCGAAATTTAGTTTACTTGCCGATGGCATAAACAAATTTTGAATTATTTTTTTTAATAATAAATTTTGATGCCGGCTTTGGGACACATTTATTCAATACACGGCATGGCTAATACACTCACTTTATAGGTTAAATATGTTTGAGATTAAAACTATGCATATTGTGTAAACCCACTCTAAACTGACTTTTATGCCGAATATAGGAAAATCGTCCATTTTTTTGTTCCTAAGGCATCCATAAAAATATCATAATTGCAAATATTTCTTAATAATTTTAAATTTTAAAGTGTTCCTAGGAATGTTCTTAAAAAGTATATAAAAAATCCGGGTGAAGAATTTATAATAATTTTAAAGACGGCATGCTTAATATTTTTTCGTAAGAAACGTGTGTTGTCGATAGTGGTGAAAGAACCACATTGAGAAAAACTCAAATTACTGCCTTAATAAATGAACTTAGCTCGATGAAATTTTACACAGAGATAGATGACAATGTTATTGAAGATTATTTAAAGGGACCCCCCAGCCTCGGGTCAAAAATTTTTTTGATTTAATTCGAATCTACACTAATTCAAGAATGTCTTTACAAAATTTCATGTGAAAATCACAAGAACTCTTGAAGATATAGCCGATTTATTGTGTCAGCATCCAATGACGACTAAAGGGCTTCTCAGACTTTAAACGCGTTTTTCTCTTTGCGAATGGCCGGCACGATACTCAAAAACTAATAACCCAATCGACTCCAAATTTTTACACGTTTCTCTGTGAGTGTATAGCTATCGTATGAACTAGGATAAAGCCAATCGGTGAATATCTTCCTTATTTTTTAACTGGTTTTTTGGTCAAAAATCGGCGATTTTCGAAAAATATTTTTTCTAAGTTCCGCCATTTTTTTAATATTAGAGCGATAAATATATTTTTTCAAAGGTCCGCCATTTTGTTAATTTTAGATCGAGAGCCAGACATGTACTCTTTCTAACACCGTTGGAATTTTCGGATTCCGATGTTCCAGTGAGGAGTTATCATGCCCGCCATCAAAAATAAGGACTTCTCTTTAATTACAAAAAACAACAACAAAACAATTACAAAATTTTTTTGTAAATTATTTTTCTTCTATTTTAAATCTTCAAATATATTTGTGCAAAGTTACAAATCTTAACAAGCATTGGTATTGATTTACCAGCCCATTGAAAATCTTAAAAAAAAACGAGAATGGGGGGGTTGTGTGTTTCCTTAACCCAGTTTTCATATTTAGTGAAAGCATTTTTTAGTTATTTGAAGTTATATACAACTGATGCCGAGTACTGGTACTTGCCGACATTAGGAGCACTTACCCTATAATTCTTTTCTTTTCTTTCGAAGAGTAGAATTTTTCCTTTCAAACAAGATAGATATTTGGTAAATCGGTTGAGGATTGGCTGAGTTACAGTGGTTGAAATGTGAAAAAATACGCATGAAAAGATAAAATTTATTTTTCTTCAGACCGTACGATAAAATTATGATATCAATCCGTATAAGTTTTGTTATATTACGGGGAAGAACCTGGGACATTTTTGTGTAATAAGTTTTCGAAAATGAGAAAAATCTAATAAAATCGGTTAAAAAATTGATGACTTTTACACATTTTTGTATTGATTCTAGGCATATTCTCTAAAGGAACTATGGGTCTATCTCGTTTCCCTTTGCCTGTTACAAACATAACAGTTTCTCACCATTAAACAGGTGTCTACCTGTGACCACATTAGAGAAGGTTGATGATTTTTTTGATATAACTTAATAAAATAATCAAGTGGTATCAGAGACCCACTAAAACTATTTTGTGATAAAAAATCGTGTTATTTTTTGTTCTTGCTATACTGCAAGATCAATTGCCCCTCTCATCGTTGCCGAGTTGGTTATCGCTTTGCGATTTCAGCCTACTCCCTTTATCGATTTTGTTCTTTTCTTCTGTCGACTCTGCTCTTTTTTGCTTAATGACGCAGTGACGATGCCCCGTTAATTGGCATCGACAACCAAACAACAATTGCAACTACAACAAATAGTTGTAGTTGCTTTGTGAAACCTCACAGAAGTAAATTAGAAAGAAACGACAACAAAAATCTTCGTTTGGCTCGGAAGGGTTGCTGGGTTAGTTGTTCTGTTCGTTGGGTCGCGCATCGATTGATCGCTGCCTTCCCCATCAACCATATTCAGTTCAGATGTTCATCGTCATTTCGTTAAGACACTTCAAAGGAATCGGTCGTTAGGTTCGGAATTTTATCATTGTCGTGTGGTCGTCGATTTTAATTAGTTTTATCTAAGTGTAATAAATAAAAAATAACAAGAAGAAAAAAAGGAAAAGGAAAAAAGAACAGCAAAAGAAATTTTTGTCTTAAAGAATGTGCAGACTATAAAACCTTCGACCTCTAAAAATGGAATTAAATAATGTTACTATCGAGGGGGCGGCTGCTGTTGCCCCACAAGTTCCTGCTGCTGTAAGTTTGCCAAATGCCGTCTTGACGCCGCCAATTTAATTTTGTCTTATGACGATTTTTCGAACGATTCGAATGCCAGGAAAACAAATTAAAAACACAAAGGTGTTAAAAAGCTGAATGAAAATAAAAAATACAACGGAATAGTTTTGAAAATTTAGTTTTCAAATTGAAACAAAAAATAAAATAAAAGTGATTCATATGGGGGTATTTAATTCATCAATTAATTGATTCGATTGTGGATAGGACTTCTAAAGGCGTGGATTTTATAAAAATATTTTTCAAGGACTTTTTAAAGAATATTTTTTGGAGCACTTCTAAAGGCGTGGATTTTTTAAAGAGGACTTCTAAAGTTGCGGATTTTTTAAAGAATATTTTTGTGAAAGACTTCTAAAAGCGTGGATTTTTTAAAGAATATTTTTGGGGAAGACTTCTAAAGGCGTGGATTTTTTATAGAATATTTTTGTGGAAGAAGTCTTCCACGGCGTGGATTTTTTAAAAAATATTTTTGTGGAAGACTTCTAAAGGCGTGGATTTTTTTAAGAAAGGCGTTTATTTTTTATAGAATATTTTTTGGAAGACTTCTAAAGGCGTGAATTTTTTAAAGAAATGCGTGGATTTTTTAAAGAATATTTTTGTGGAAGACTTCTAAAGGCGTGGATTTTTTAAAGAATATTTTTGTGGAAGACTTCTAAAGGCGTGGATTTTTTAAAGAATATTTTTGTGGAAGATTTCTAAAGGCGCGGATTTTTTAAAGAATATTTTTGTGGAAGACTTCTAAAGGCTTGGATTTTTTAAAGAATATTTTTATTAAATTATTTTCTAAAGTACTATAGAAATATATACCAAATAATAAATTATGAAACCTCTGAGAGAATAAAAACCCATATAAAATATGCCGAAGTCAATTAAAATTTAAAAATATGCTGGCGGTTGCCCACCACTCACTCATCAGACCGCTATGTCAATATTTTATCAACAACTTAATTGTGTTTTGATTTGAAAGAAACGACGCCTTAATATTAATTGTTAATAAATTGTTACAATCGATGTTTATTATCTGTTAACGAAAGCCAAAACCGAACCGAACATATAATTCTACATTTTTTCGTTGATGACAGCAAGGAACGTAAGAGGGGTGGGGGTACGTTCTAATAATATGTAAGGGGATATCATTCTCTCTTGTCTTTTTAAATAAATACTATTATTAAATCAAGTTACAACAAAAAGAAAAAACTTCACCCAGCATCATTAAATAATCAGCAGCAAATGTCAATTATGGAAATATTGTCCACAATCGCCATGGATGGATGCATTTATCAGAGTATTGCTGAGGGAAAGGGAAGGGAGGGAGGATTTAGATGGCGACGTATTACGAGTAGCTCTCGTATATCAACTTGCAGCAAGTGGTACTATTTAATATTTTTTGGCATAAATTTACATTAATTAACTGTCATATAATCTTAAATATGCATTGGTTTTTTTATTTATTTTAGCTGTTTTAAATCAAAACGAAATAATTTTGTTGTTGTTTTTGGTTTATCAATATTTAATCGACAGCGGGAATTTATTTGCTTCGTTGCCGTTAGTGGGTTACTTTGAATTCCTTAATAAATAATGGAGACATTTATAGATGTGTTGGAGAAAATAGCAGTAGTGACAGATGTAGATTTTTTAAGGACCAAAAAATATATATTTTTTAAATCCACGTCTAAAGTAGTCTTTGAAAAAATATTTTTTAAAAAATCCAGGCCATAAGCTTAAAAACTATAGCCCTAAAGTAGTTCTTAAAAAATATTATCTAAAAAGTCCACGCCTAAAGAAGTCCTGAATAAATATTCCTTAAAAAATCCATGCCTAGTTTAGTCCTTGAAAAAAATTTTCCTTAAAAAATCCACGCCTTTTTTAGTCCTTTAAAAAATGTTATTAAAAAAAAATCCACGCCCTTAGAAGTCCCCCAAAAAATATTCTTAAAAAGTCCAGGCCTTGTTTGGTCCTTGAGAAAATATTCCTAAAAAAATCCATGCATTGTTTAGGCTGGGGGCATCTTCATCCATTCTCTCAACATGACCTAGCCAAAGTAGTCGCTGCAGCTAAATACGTCTAACAATGTCGATGTCCGAGAATAGCTGGTACAACACTTGGTTCATTCGACGGCGATATTCACTGTCGACGCAGATCGGGCCATATATCTTTCGGAGAATTTTTCTCTCAAACACCCCCCAAGAGCTGTCTCATCTGTTGCGCAAGTATCCATGTTTCAGATCTATATAACAGCACGGGCAGTATCAGCGTTGTAAAGTGTGAGTTTCGTCTGACGGGAGGTGGCCTTGTTTTTAAACTGCTTACTTAGATCATAGTAGCATCTGTTGGCCATCACAATCATTCTCCCAATTTCAAAACTGATATCATTCGTTTTATTTATGGCGGTACCAAGGTATATAAAATCTTTAACTACCTCTAAACTGTAGTTGGTCCGAGCCTACTGGACGTCTTGCGCGGTGATACCATCAGCTTGGTCTTCTCGCCATTTACTGCCAGACCCACTTTGGCAGACTCCTTCTCAATTTGTCCAAAGGTGGCTGTTACCGCTCGCAATGTTCAAACCATTATATCGATGTCATCGGTGTAGGCGAGTAACATGTGCACATATTGCCATTTCTGTTCACCTTTGCGTCTCGTATGACCTTTTCCAGCTGAATGTTAAAAAGATCACACGACTAACGGTCACCTAACCCTCGTTCAGTATTGACTTTCCGACTTTAACTGTTGACCTTGTACCCAGGGATGCAAAAGTTGGTACAATTGTACTAATTTTAGCACTATTGGGAAGTCAAAAGTACAATAGCACCCCAAAGTATTATACGTGCTTAAACATAGAATATGAAATAGATCGCCATCCCCTGCCGTCGTTAAGAATGGATGAATTTGCCACAGTTTAAACGTAGTGTCCTATGCCAATTCAGAATTCCCGATCAGGTTGATAAATTCAGTAAAGATATTAATTATTATTTTTGTAACAGTTCTATGAGAGAGATGATTTTTCATTATTTCAGGAATGTTTCGGTACAGATATGCATGTTGTTTTTAAATACTCAACAACTCGATGGCTTTCACGTCAAGAAGTTATTGAAACAATTTTGGCGCAGTGGAAATCACTTCAATATTATTTTACACTCAATGATTTTGAAGCTGATTCCCAAAAGTTAAGGCTCGATTCTATTATTTCAGAATTTTCAAATCCTTTTTAAACCCTTCACAACACTGTGGAACAGGGTATTATGTCTTTGTACATATGTTTGTAACAGGCAAAAGGAAACGAGATAGACACATGGTTCCTTTTGAAAATAAGCATAGAATCACTTTTTAAGTCGATTTATGCATCTCCGTCCGTCTGTTTGTCCATGTTAAATTGTAAACAAAGTGCAGGTTGCATTCATGATCCGAATTGGATAAAATTTGGCATAGGTCACTTATTTGGCCTAAGGACGAACCCTATTGAAATCGGTTCAGATTTAGATATAGTTCCCATATATTTTTTTGTCCGATTTAATGTAAATGGTGTACCAAAGTCCCTATATATATTTCGAATTGCTCGAAATTTGGCATAGCGTAATGAATTAGGTCTAGAACGATGTATGTGAAGTTTCCTGAAAATCGGTCTAGATTTAGATATAGCTCCCATATATATTTTCGTCCTATTTAATGTAATTGGTGTACCAAAGTCCCTATATATATATGTATCGATTTGCTTTAAATTTGGCATAGTGTACTGAATTAGGTCTAGAAATATGTGTGTTAAGTTTCAAATTTTGCACAACGTACTGAAGTTAGTATAACCTAGAAGTTGGATATAAATGCTTCACCAAAGTGGGTCCAATCGGCACAAGATTTAGCGCTACGTACTGAAGTTACTATAACATAACGTGTGGCAAGTTTAGTTAAAATCGGTTTTTATTTAGATATAGCTCCTATATATAGTTTCGTACGATTTTAAGTCAATGATTCACCAAAGACCCAAGTACATGATACACCAGGATCTCAAAATGTGCAGGATGACATGTTTAAGGATCCATTTCCATGTTAATGATCCTTCAAAAATTCGATGTCTGTTAGGATCTATCTGTTGAATATACACAAAGTTGTGAAAGGTATCATATAGTCGGCGCCGACCGACTTTACTACTTTCCTTACTGGTTACTGTTATTTTTGTTCTTGCATATGTACAAAAATCATAAATAATATAAAAATAGAAATGCAGTCTGAGGGTGCCAGAATGCATGTAGAAATTATTAAGTCTTCAAAAACGACAATATATGCACTTGTGGGTCAAAGGTGACTGAAGTCAAAAATGAACTAAACGAAGATATGTTTCCTTATATATCACAAATTTTATAGAGAAGAGAATCTACAAATATGGAAAGGGTATTTTCATATCAATATATAACTAAAACCAAAGAAAGGAACATAATACATACTTCGACTGCTTCAAATCTTAATTAATTTTTTAAGTATGTTTTTATTAATTGTTAATAACAATAAAAATTTTATTTAAAAGTATATAAAAAGTACAATCGGACTGAAAAAAGTACACTTTTTATTGAAAGCCAGTACAATTTGAATAATTTCGTTTCGCATCCCTGCTTGTACCACTTAAAGTTATCCTGCATAGCCGAATTAATTTTGCACGAATGCTAAACGAAGACATGACTTTAAACAGCTCTGAACGGATAGGGCTGTCGAATGCGGCTTTATAGTCGACGAATTGGTGGAATGTGCCGATGTGACCATTGGCTTCAATCGTTCACACAGCACACTGGATAGCACTTTATATGCGATGGGAAGGAGACTTATTCCTCTATAGTTGGCACATATCGTATTGCCTCCTTTTTTTGTGCACGGGGCACAGAATGTTGAGGTTCCAATAATTGGGCATGTATTCCTCTAGTCAAATTGTAGTAATCAGCTGATGGATGCTCCTGACATGCATCTGGCCACCGATCTTGAATAGTTCGGCTGGTAATCATGCTGCTTTATTATTCTTTTAATTGCTTTTATGAACTCATCTTGGCTAGGTGGTATACACTCTATAACATCATCTCTTATTGGTTCTGAAGTATCTTCTTCACCGCCACTATTTGATACCAGAAGCTTTTAAAAATGCTCCTTCCAGATCCTCAACACGCTGTCTGTATCTGTCACCAGGTTTCCTTCTTCATCTCTACAAGAGGATGTGCCTGCGCCAGAGTCTTCGATTTGTTGTTTTACCAGTTGGTATAATTTTCGGACTTCATTCTGACTCTTGTACATCTCGATTTGCTCACGCTCACGTTTTTCTTCTGAAAACACGTGGCCTTGTTTATCGAGATGCTTGAATATGGTGCTGCTAACTACCATGTTTTCTGCTGCCGCGAAGTCAATCAACCTCATGCCGTTGTCAGATGTTTCTTCATGAAGGCTGATTTTTTTGCATTAAAAGCTCCTACCAGAATTTTAATTTCATGGCCAGGACAGCGATCATATGCTGTTTCTAGGCGCTCATAAAATATGACTTTGGTCTGCTCATCTTTGTCTTCCGTAGGAGGAGGGGTTTTCCGAGTGTGGGCAACTAAACCGACGCCTCAACCCATTTTTTTAAAGTTCTTATGGGTGAACTCGCGGCACATATCAGCACACTTTTTCAATAAAGTGATGAAAATAGCTATCCTAGGTGACACCGCGGGGAGGTCAGTGTCCACAATTGAGATGTAAGAGGGATCACGATAAGCCTTAAAAAATCCACGCCTTGTTTAGTCCTTGAAAAATATTCCTTAAAAATCCAAATCCAATCCTATTAGATTGTGCTATAATATTTCTCTACCTATAGTTTGCATGCTGTTCACCATTTACCTACCTGTCGTCTACGACACTTCTGATCGGTGTTGACAGATGCTCGTGACGAAGTGAGCGGTAATTTTTCACAAACTCGTTAATAAAAAAACACCCAATTTGTGCATTAATTCGATGAAAACAATTTTAATTTAGTAATAAATTAATACTAATTACAGAAGAAAGAAAAAATAGTGTTACGGAATCTCGAAGTATTCGAGATAGACACAACAAAGTTGATAGTTACCTGGGTAGATAGGTATGTGTGTAGACATATTTTAGAAAATAATGATTAATTTTATTTCGCCTCAGAATCTTTTTTAATATAAGTGTGTGTGTGTGTCTGTTCTCAGAGGAAAAAATGTCGATTGTTCTAAATATGTGTGAAATAAATCACCACTATAAGTTCGAAAAAAAAAATAAATACATTTTTTCACAATTTCTTCATCAGACGCAAGAGTTGATATTTCAAGATACGCCAAAAAGCGTTGATTTTTTTAAAAAAAATATTTTTTTCTCAAACACCTCCAGTTCTATAGGCGTGGATTTCTAAGGAATATTTTCCAAGGACCTCAAGACCAATAAACGTGGATTTTTGAAATAATATTTTTTTAAGGACTTCAAGACCAATATGCGTGGATTTTAATTTTTTCCAAGGACCTTAAGACCAATAAGCGTGGATTTTTACAGATTATTATTCCAAGGACCTCAAGACCAATAAGCGTGGATTTTTACAGATTATTATTCCAAAGACCTTCAAACCAATAAACAAGGATTTTTACAGATTATATTTTCCAAGGACCTTCAGACCAATAACCGTGGATTTTTAAAGAATATTTTTTCAAGGACCTTAAGACCAATAAGCAAGGATTTTTAAAGAATATTTTTTCAAGGACCTTAAGACCAATAAGCAAGGATTTTTACAGATTATTTTTTCCAAGGACCTTTAGACCCATAACTGTGTGGCTTTTCATCATTTCCCCATTTTTTCTCTTCTAGGTCACAACGCTGGATGGTAAATCCACAAATGATCTCGAAAATAAAGCAAATGGTAACAAGAGTAAAGAGACGAACAAATTGCTATACGGAATCAACGATAATCCACCATGGTATCTGAGTATTTTCCTGGCATTTCAACATTATCTGACAATGATCGGTGCCATTGTCTCAATACCTTTCATTTTAACACCCGCCCTCTGTATGTCCGATGAGGATCCAAATCGTGGCATTATCATATCGACAATGATTTTTGTCACCGGTATTGTTACCTATTTTCAAGCAACATGGGGTGTCCGACTGCCAATAGTTCAAGGTGGCACGATATCATTTTTGGTGCCCACCTTGGCTATTTTGGCATTACCACAGTGGAAATGTCCACCGGAAAGTGAAATAGAGGCAATGGACGATGATTCACGGCAAGAGTTGTGGCAAATACGTATGCGGGAGTTATCGGGAGCTATAGCGGTATCGGCTATGGTACAGGTTATTTTGGGTTACACCGGTTTGGTGGGGAAAATTTTACGTTTTGTAACGCCACTGACCATAGTGCCGACGGTATCGTTGGTGGGGCTGACACTATTTGAGCATGCCGCTGAAACGGCTTCGAAGCACTGGGGCATTGCGGTGGGAACCACGGCCATGCTAACGCTATTCTCCCAAATAATGTCAAATGTTGCCATCCCGGTGCCGGCATATCGGAAGGGACATGGCATTGAGTTTAGGCCCTTCTTACTGTTTCGACTATTTCCGGTAAGTAAGAAAACTTACCTCAAAAACACATTTAATTTGATCCTTCTTATAATCCTGTCAGGTCCTCTTAACCATTATGATTATGTGGGGTCTTTGTGGTATTTTAACCCTGACAAATGTCTTCGAAGAAGGTCATCCCTCGAGAACGGATGTTCGCTTGAAGGTCTTAACAAATGCCAAATGGTTTTATATTCCCTATCCTGGTCAATTTGGTGTACCTTCGGTCACCCTGTCCGGGGTATTGGGCATGTTGGCTGGTGTACTGGCTTGTACCGTGGAATCGTTAAGTTATTATCCAACTGTCTCACAAATGTCGGGTAAGTCAAAAATGAATATTTTTCAATAACCTGCAGACATGGAATATTTTTCGAAGGCTGAATTTTTTAAAGAAAACTTTTTCGAAGACTACCAAAGGCGTGGATTTTTTAAAGAAGACTTTTTCGAAGACTACCAAAGGCGTGGATTTTTTAAAGAAGACTTTTTCGAAGACTACCAAGGCGTGGATTTTTTAAAGAAGACTTTTTCGAAGACTACCAAAGGCGTGGATTTTTTAAAGAAGACTTTTTCGAAGACTAACAATGGCGTGGATTTTTTAAAGAAGACTTTTTCGAAGACTAACAATGGCGTGGATTTTTTAAAGAAGACTTTTTCGAAGACTACCAATGGCGTGGATTTTTTAAAGAAGACTTTTTCGAAGACTACCAAAGGCGTGGATTTTTTAAAGAATACTTTTTCGAAGACTACCAATGGCGTGAATTTTTTAAAGAAGTCTTTTTGGAAGACTACCAATAGCGTGGATTTTTTAAAGAAGACTTTTTCGAAGACTACCAAAGGCGTTAATTTTTTAAAGAAGACTTTTTCGAAGACTACCAATGGCGTGGATTTTTTAAAGAAGACTTTTTCGAAGACTACCAAATGCGTGGATTTTTTAAAGAAGACTTTTTCGAAGACTACCAAAGGCGTGGATTTTTTAAAGAATATTTTTTCAAGGACATTCCGACTAAATATCGAACTTTTCAGATTTTGAAAGTGTATTTTTTCAAGGACATTCCGAATAAAAATCGAACATTTCAGATTTTGAAAGTGTATTTTTTCAAGGACATTCCGAATAAAAATCGAACATTTTAGATTTGAAAGTATATTTTTTCAAGGATTCCGATATTAAAATAATATTTTCCCCCTATGAAAATTTATTTCAAAAATCTTTTTATATTACAGGCGCCCAATCACCGCCCCTACATGCTATCAATCGTGGCATTGGTACTGAGGGTTTAGGCACCGTCTTGGCTGGCCTCTGGGGTGCGGGTAATGGCACAAACACATTTGGTGAGAATGTTGGTGCTATCGGTGTCACCAAGGTAAGTCAATTAATAGGCAATTATGACACTAAATTTACCAATCGTTTATGACGTTTACCATACCGCTCTCAGTTTAGATAAGGTTTTGATAATCGGTCGATACCTTCGATAGGCTCACAACAAACGTTATTACCAAAAGAACGAATAATTTATATTGATTAAATTTATGGAAATATTGATAAGCAAAAAAATTATGTGGGACCAATCGGAAAATATCAATTTAAATACGAGATAAAAATCGAACAATGGATCCGATTCAATTTTTGAATTAATTTTATTTATTTTATTTATTTATTCCAAAAATGCAATTTGAAGCCATTAAGGCCGATTTCAATTAAATTGCAAACTATACTACTCCATATTTTAATAATATTTCTTATCACTCTTTTCAGATCGGTTCCCGTCGTGTCATACAATGGGCTGCCTTTATAATGATTCTCCAAGGTGTCATTGGGAAATTTGGTGCCGTATTTATCCTCATCCCCGACTCCGTGGTGGGTGGTATATTCTGTGTTATGTTCGGTATGATTGTTGCCTTTGGCTTATCCACCCTGCAATATGTTGACTTACGTTCGGCACGTAATCTCTATATATTGGGTCTGTCGATATTCTTTCCCATGGTATTGTGCAAATGGATCCAGCAACATCCAACGGCTATCCAGACGGGTAATGAAACAGTGGATTCAACATTAACGGTGCTTTTGGGTACGACAATTTTAGTTGGTGGCCTGTTGGGTTGCTTTTTGGATAATGTAATACCGGGTAAGGAGGAGGAGATAGTTTAATGCGGCTTCTTATTAATAAAAAAATATTTGTTATGTATTCTTAGGTACCCCCAAGGAGAGAGGTCTTGTTGATTGGGCCAACGAAATGCCTCTGGGTGATGATAACATAAATGATGGCACTGCCACCGATTATGATTTCCCCTATGGCATGGAGACTCTGAGACGGTAAGTCAATGCAATTTTTTTGAAGGGATGAAAGACAGCTTTTGGATTTTTTTCATAGCAAAATCAGAACAATAAGCGAGTATTTTTAAAGGTTATTTTTTTCAAGGACCTCGAAGTCTATAAGCGAGAATATTTTGAAGAATATTTTTTGGAGGACTTCTAAAAGCGTGGATTTTTTAAAGAATATTTTTTGGAGGACTTCTAAAGGCTTGGATTTTTTAATTTTTTTGCAGGACTGCTAAGAGCGTGCAGTTTTTAAAGAATAGTTTTTGCGAAGACTTCTAAAATGGTGTGGATTTTTTAAAGAATATTTTTTGCAAAGACTTCTAAAAAGGCGTGGATTTTTTAAAGAATTTTTTGGAGGACTTCTAAAGACGTGTATTTTTTAAAGGATTTTTTGGAGGACTTCTAAAGGCGTGTATTTTTTAAAGAATTTTTTGGAGGACTTCTAAAGGCTTGTATTTTTTAAAGAATATTTTTTAAAGGACTTCAAAAGGCGTGTATTTTTTAAAGGACTTCTAAAGGCATGGATTATTAAAAGAATATTTCTTCGAGGACTTCTGAAGGCATGGATTATTAAAAGAATATTTTTAGAGTGCTTCTAAAGGCATGGATTTTTAAACAATATTCTTTAAACACCCACGCCTTTTTGGTGTGGGCATTCCTGAAAAAATATTGCTTAAAAATTAACGCCTTTTTGGTGTAGAGAGGTCCTTGAAAAAATATTCCTTAAAAATTCAAGCCTTTTTGGTGTGGAGGTCCTTGAAAAAAAAATCCTTAAAAATATTCTTAAAAAATGCACACCTTTTTGGTGTGGAGGTCTCTGAAAAAATATTATTTTAAAATCCACGCCTTATATAGGTCTTGAAAAGTCTTCTTTTAAAATCCACGCCTTATATAGGTCTTGAAAAAAGTCTTCTTTTAAAATCCACGCCTTATATAGGTCTTGAAAAGAGTCTTCTTTTAAAATCCACGCCTTATATAGGTCTTGAAAAAAGTCTTCTTTTAAAATCCACGCCTTATATAGGTCTTGAAAAGAGTCTTCTTTTAAAATCCACGCCTTATATAGGCCTTGAAAAAAAGGCTTCTTTTAAAATCCACGCCTTATATAGGCCTTGAAAAAAGTCTTCTTTTAAAACCCACGCCTTATATAGGCCTTGAAAAAAGTCTTCTTTTAAAACCCACGCCTTATATAAGCCTTAAAACAAGTCTTCTTTTAAAACTCACCCCTTATATAGGCCTTGAAAAAAGTATTCTTTTAAAATCCACGCCTTATATAGGCCTTGAAAAAAGTCTTCTTTTAAAACCCACGCCTTATATAAGCCTTGAAACAAGTCTTCTTTTAATACTCAGGCCTTATATAGGCCTTGAAAAAAGTATTCTTTTAAAACCCACGCCTTATATAGGCCTTGAAAAAAGTCTTCTTTTAAAATCCACGCCTTATAAAGGCTTTGAAAAAAGTCATCTTTTAAAATCCACGCCATATATAGGTCTTGAAAAAAGCCTTATTTTAAAATCCACGCCTTATATAGGCCTTGAAAAACATCTTCTTTTAAAAAAAAGTATTATTTTAAAACCCACGCCTTATATAGGCCTTGAAAAAGTCTTCTTTTAAAACCCACGCCTTATATAGGCCTTGAAAAAAGTCTTCTTTTAAAATCCACGCCTTATAAAGGCTTTGAAAAAAGCCTTATTTTAAAATCCACGCCTTTTATAGGCTTTGAAAAAAAGTCTTCTTTTAAAATCCGCGCCTTATATAGGCCTTGAAAAAATGACCACGCCTTATATAGGCCTTAAAAAAAGTCGTCTTTTAAAATCCACGCCTTATTATATTCTTATAAAGGCCTTGAAAAAAGTATGCTTTTAAAATCGATGCCTTGCATAGTTCTTGAAAAAAATCTTCTTTTTGAAAATCCACGGGCACATCTAGGAAAAAAGAAAGATAAACGCAAGTTATTTTCATTCATTGTGGAATATTTTTAGAATTGAAATTTTTTTATTATTCTTTTACAATATCGTATTCCTACGTCATGGAAAGATGTGAACAAAACCACTAGTCTTTTTAAAACAAATATAATAAATTATATATGATGCATCGACAATCGACAACGACGTTGTATGTCATTATTTGCGGGTTTATATTGCACCAAGCACTTGATAAGGCTGCAGAACCCTCAAAAACAAGAAAATTAAAAACTCATGTTTGTGTTTTGCAAACAATAAGAAAAATAGAAAGTACAAATTGCACCAATTCCATGGTGCTGTAAATTAAATAAATACACCGCGTTAAAATGTAATTTTTACTTTATGAAAATGGCAAACAGAAAGTTGCTCTGAAAAGATAAAAACGTTAAGGGACTTACTCAACATTTTTAGTTTATTGTATTCTCTTCCATTGTATATAGCTAAATATAATTTAAAATGTTTATACTATTTTCGTAAATTTTAAGTTAATAACAATTTAATAAATAAAATTGTGTTCGCTTTCTTTTCTTACAGCTGGAAATGGACGTATCATGTGCCCTTCTTACCCACCTATAAACTACAAAAACAAAGTTGATTTTCCAACACACTTTACCGCTTAAATAAAATACATAGTGGGAAAATCCGAAATATTTTTTAACCAGTACTTATTGTTATTGTAATTATTATTTTTTATTGTTTTTATTACCATGTATATTTTTTTTTTCTTGTAAATTTTAGTTTGTACAGATTGTTTTTTTTTTCTTTTTGAAATGTTTATTCGAAATGTACTTAAAACAATAAAGAACCAAATGTTTTATTAAAAAATAGTTAGTTGTTGTTGTTTTTTATTATTAATTATAGGTTGTCAAATTTGTAAAATATCTATCTAACAACATTGTAATTAAGTTATCGATATCCCTGCACACACCAGCCAGCCATCATAAACAATAGAGAAATGAATAGCTGACTGATTTCAACACATTATTTATCTATTTGTTTGCATAAATTAGAAGTGATTTAAATTGCGACAAATTGCAGCAAAGGCAAATCAATTTGTTATACGTTGTTTGTGTGTGTTTTTTATAGCAGGGAATTGATAAAATTTTAGATATTGTTGATATGAAGATACAAATATGCAATACCTTTTTTTATCCCTCAATCTTAGTAGGGAGGGTAGATATAATGAAGTTATTTTTCCATTGTAACTCATAGTAATAATTGCACTGTGCTTTATTATTGAAGATTTTCTACAAGGTTTTGTATTGAAATTAACAAAAATTTTGTTGTTTATGCGCTAGGAATACATATACGCCATTGAATGCAAATTTTATATTTTTTCATATACAGCCTCGCCCGATTATAATTTCGAAATATTAGAGTCATACTTTTGGCCTCTAGAGTGGCTAGAAAACTGACAAAACCCACCGGTTGTTGTCCCCCCTAAATATTAACAATCATTATATAGATATTGTCTTTGGTCAGAACAGTAATATTTCGAGATATTCGGTTCATAGTTAGTGAACAGAAAAACGGAACAATGGACAGAATCGAAGCTAGAAGAGCTATGACGATCGATATAATAAAATATAAAAATATATATTTCGTAGAGTTACAAATGGCTTAAATGCACTATCTGTAGAAAAATTTCAAACGTTTCGGAGTGGTATTCTTAAAGATATTTAATAAAAAGTGGGGGTGTCTTGGGAAATTTGGAGCCCCATATCTCGGGAAGTATTGATTTCCGCCCCAAAATAAATTATGTTGTTGTAATCAGCATCAGAACGGCTACTTACGGTACAAATGATCTGAGAGGTGTCCGTAAAGTGTATTTGGGAACAACTCTAGTTTCGTAAAAACGATCAGATTTTTTTGAACATTTTTTTCCTGAGGTAGGTATTTTTACCCTAATTATGGGAATATATTTTTTTCTTGGGGGACGTACCTGATCACCCGGTTATTAGAGCCGGAAGTTCGGGTACTCAGTTATTCCCGGTTCCGGTGAAGGGGTTATCTCAAAACGTTATGGATATACATTAAAAAAAACTGGGTTTTGGGTCTCGATTTGTTTTGAAAAACTCCCTAAAAGTTGAACTTGGTTCCATTATGGTCCGTCTCCAATCTTGACTCAAATGATAGACTACACCTCTTCCATGGTGCTGTAAATTAAATAAATACACCGCGTTAAAATGTAATTTTTACTTTATGAAAATGGCAAACAGAAAGTTGCTCTGAAAAGATAAAAACGTTAAGGGACTTACTCAACATTTTTAGTTTATTGTATTCTCTTCCATTGTATATAGCTAAATATAATTTAAAATGTTTATAATATTTTCGTAAATTTTAAATTAATAACAATTTAATAAATAAAATTGTGTTCGCTTTATTTTCTTACAGCTGGAAATGGACGTATCATGTGCCCTTCTTACCCACCTATAAACTACAAAAACAAAGTTGATTTTCCAACACACTTTACCGCTTAAATAAAATACATAGTGGGAAAATCCGAAATATTTTTTAACCAGTACTTATTGTTATTGTAATTATTATTTTTTATTGTTTTTATTACCATGTATATTTTTTTTTTCTTGTAAATTTTAGTTTGTACAGATTGTTTTTTTCTTCTTTTTTTTAATGTTTATTCGAAATGTACTTAAAACAATAAAGAACCAAATGTTTTATTAAAAAATAGTTAGTTGTTGTTGTTTTTTATTATTAATTATAGGTTGTCAAATTTGTAAAATATCTATCTAACAACATTGTAATTAAGTTATCGATATCCCTGCACACACCAGCCAGCCATCATAAACAATAGAGAAATGAATAGCTGACTGATTTCAACACATTATTTATCTATTTGTTTGCATAAATTAGAAGTGATTTAAATTGCGACAAATTGCAGCAAAGGCAAATCAATTTGTTATACGTTGTTTGTGTGTGTTTTTTATAGCAGGGAATTGATAAAATTTTAGATATTGTTGATATGAAGATACAAATATGCAATACCTTTTTTTATCCCTCAATCTTTGTAGGGAGGGTAGATATAATGAAGTTATTTTTCCATTGTAACTCATAGTAATAATTGCACTGTGCTTTATTATTGAAGATTTTCTACAAGGTTTTGTATTGAAATTAACAAAAATTTTGTTGTTTATGCGCTAGGAATACATATACGCCATTGAATGCAAATTTTATATTTTTTCATATACAGCCTCGCCCGATTATAATTTCGAAATATTAGAGTCATACTTTTGGCCTCTAGAGTGGCTAGAAAACTGACAAAACCCACCGGTTGTTGTCCCCCCTAAATATTAACAATCATTATATAAATATTGTCTTTGGTCAGAACAGTAATATTTCGACATATTCGGTTCATAGTTAGTGAACAGAAAAACGGAACAATGGACAGAATCGAAGCTAGAAGAGCTATGACGATCGATATAATAAAATATAAAAAATATATATTTGGCTTAAATGCACTATCTGGAAAAATTTCAAACGTTTCGGAGTGGTATTTTTATTTAATAAAAAGTGGGGGTGTCTTGGGAAATTTGGAGCCTAATTGTTGGTTGTTGTAATATATTTTACAAATGATCTGAGAGGTGTCCGTAAAGTGTATTTGGGAACAACTGTTTCGTAAAAACGATCAGATTTTTTTGAACATTTTTTTCCTGAGGTAGGTATTTTTACCCTAATTATGGGAATATATTTTTTTCTTGGGGGACGTACCTGATCACCCGGTTATTAGAGCCGGAAGTTCGGGTACTCAGTTATTCCCGGTTCCGGTGAAGGGGTTATCTCAAACCGTTATGGATATACATTAAAAAACTGGGTTTTGGGTCTCGATTTTTTTTGAAAAACTCCCTAAATCTTGACTCAAATGATAGACTACACCTTTTCCCTTTTCAAAATGGTGCGATATATGTCTATATCACTTAAGGATCAAAAGATATAAACCTTAGAACCCTATAAAAGCAAGGGAATTCTTTCTACAGGATAGAATATACTTTTAAATAGAACAGTTTTTTGGATTGCAGGCCTTCGGCCGAGGAGTTAAGACTTTCTCCTATGGACAGATACCAACACCGGCTTCGCGACAGTATCTTCTGTTAAATAACAGTTTTGTATGTGAACGGCCTTTGGCCGGGGATTTAAGACTTTCTCTTATGGACAGATACCAACACCGGCTACGCGACAGAATTTCTTTCCAGATACTTCCACAAATCGCACCATTTTGGAAAAGGAAAATTGTAGTCTATCCTTTGATTGGAAGCTGTTTGGTGTAGAATTGGGCTATGTAGGAGTTTTGGAAATTCATACTAATGTGTTCTAAATGTTACTAAATTATTGGAACAAGTCAAGTTTATGGGGCTCCACTCGGATCATTTTGAAATTTTTACCGTAAGTAGTCCTCCTAAAGCTGATTACAGTGATATACATTTTATGTGGGGAAATGTAGAGTAACTTCCGGTAATGTGGACTATACGTCTAATGTGGGCCCCTCCCATATCTTAGAAAATGGTTTGAATCGGATGCTGGGACTCCAAATGAAACTGAAACGGACACTAAAACGGATTTAATCCCAAGAAATATGGGGTCTAAAAACAATATTTTGCGAATTTTTGACGTCGTCATATTTTTCGTATGAGGCTATCAAAGTGTATATACCCTCATTAGCCATAAGACAGAGGGTATAAAAATACCTTATTAACAAATCATTATATCAGAACCGTTATATTTCGAGATACTCGGGTGAACGATTGTCGGTCAGAACTGAACGGAATTGCGTGACAAATTATAATTGACGGACGGATACATATAGATCGATTCAGTTAATTAAGCTATGAGAATCAGTATATCCCTCAGCGGACAATGCCATACATTCCCCCTTAATAAACATTTGTTTTTCATTAAAACAACAAACTGAGATTCAGCCTGAATATTTTTCAAAAACAAAATACAAATGGTATCCCCAATAACCCGCCAACACTACTGAATATAGTATAAATATTTCGTAGCGTTAAAAACTCTTGGATCCCCACACACACAATGAACTGGGGTGACAGGCTTTGGTCGTGTAACATTCAGGCCGTAGAATCCACTGTCGTAGAAACGTTTATCATACGATCTTCTTCATCGCCTTTGTGCAATAAAAAAGGTAATAAAATGGACTTACCATATTTGAAGTCTCATTTTGAATATCGTTGAATCAAATTGGATCGAGATACTATCAGCTGGTACCGCATATATTTTGAATGCAGAGGATCGCCAACCACTCTCTCCACGAAGAGCTTACCCTTGCTCGAAAAGTTCAAGTTTAACATAAGTATTACAAACTTATGAAATATTACAACACTTATTATATACAGATATTTACACAAACAAATTAATTATTAACAAATTGCACACATTTCAATAGCAAACTTTTCGCAACTTCAAAAAAAAACGATAGATTTCTAGTGAATGCGCTGAGCATGAACGGTTCGGCATAAATACAGAGTTGTATTAATTAGGTTGACAAGTGGCAACACTAAAAAAGAAGCCATGCTACAATAGTTGTGTTCCAGAATCTGAGTAATTTCAAGTTCTATTAATAATAGTGCATTTACATTCGTTTCAGGATTTAGAAAATCTTGAAATTAAATTAAGGTTATTAACACTGGCTTTGAAATCATTACAAAATCGTGGCGGTGAAGAAGATACCCCAGAAACCCCTGGTCAGGAGCAGTCACTAGCTGATTTGTACAAGTTGGCTAGAGGAATGCATGCCCAATGATTGGAACCTCAGCATCCTGTGTCCCGTGCACAAAAAAAGGAGCCATGACGATATGTGCAAACTATAGAGGAATAAGTCTCCTTCCCATCGCGTATAAAGCGCTATCCAGCGTGCTGTGTGAACGAGTGAAACCATTGGTCAATGACATTATTGGGCCATACCAAAGCGGCTTCAGGCCTGCCATAATAACATCAGCTGTGAAATCCGGAGGAGAATAGTGTTTCCCAAAAGATGATACTTTGGTCTGAGTAAGCAGCTCAAAAGCGAGGCCACCCTTCGCCAGAGCAAACTCACACTCTACAAGGCGCTGATATTACCCGTGCTGCTGTATGCATCTGAAGCATGGGTACTTGTTCAAGCAGATGAGTCAGCTCTTGAAGTGTTTGAGAGAAAAATTCTCCGGAAGATATATGGGCCGATCTGCATCGATGGTGAATATCGCCGTCGAATGAACCATGAGCTATACAATCTATTCTCAGACATCAACATAGTCAGACGGATGGAGCTGCAGCGACTACGTTGGGTAGGCCATCTTGTACGAATGGATGAAGATGCCCCAGCTCAAAAGACATATAAAAGCGGCCCAAGTGATGGTTCACGCGGAAGGGAAGGCCACGAAAAAGTCAACATCTCGGAAAATGGTCTTTCAAATTGGATGAGATGCGCACAAGACCGACGCGTCTTGAAATCCTTGTAAAGCTCGGCTTATGGAACAACCGTTCTGCAATTTTTTATATCTAAAATTTATTTTCTTAATGTTTTAATAAATATTACTATGTAAAAAACATATATCTGGAATCGACTGTATGTTAAAATTCGCCCAGCTGTTCTTACAAATAACATCAACTTGTATTATCGGCCTTGAAATCCCTATTGGTCGCTTTCGATTGTTAGATCCCTAATTATCGTGATTTGTTTTGTTTCCTGATGTTTATCAGACATTTTCTATTAAATCATATTCTCGAATTAAATCCGGCCAACTCAATATCTGCTCCAGCATAAAACAAAACTTAACAGGCCTTAAATATAATTTCCGAATCAAATTTGAAAAAAAAACATGATCGAGTCAACAAAGAACCCTTTGACGAGGGAAACCAATGTGGGCGAGAAATTGTGTTTTGATAAAAATGAATTTTTGAAGGTATGTGGCTGTGCGGACGGACATAACTTTTGACGTGGTTTGTTTTCATCTTTCCCTCCCTTCCTTGCATTTCAGACCAACTTTTCCGTGGATGAATTTTTACACAAGAATCGTAATGTCTCGAGCTTGGAACTACTGCGTGATGACTTGGGATTGTATTTGAAAAGTCTACGCGCCTCCATGATTGATTTAATCAATGAGGACTATGAAGATTTTGTTAGTTTGTCGGCAAATCTGGTGGGACTGGATCAGCTGATTGATACCATTGAAAAGCCGCTGGAACAATTTCGCGAAGAAATACAGGGCATTAAGACGATGATCGATGAAAATATTTCAGAGATACGACAAAATTTAAATGCCAAGGCAGAGCTACGGAATACCCGGCGTAACTTACAAAGTCTTAAAAAGGTCTATGAAACAACACACAAGCTGGAAGATTTGCTGGCAAATCAATTAAAGGATGAAACTAAAATTGTGGATTTGGAAAGGGCGGCCCTAGATTTAGTCCAGCTGAAATTCAATGAAAAGTTCTGCAGTAATTATTTGAATACAGATCTACAGACAAATATACGGAATCTAGAATCGGAAGTTCATAAAAAATTGAGAGCCCTGCTGAAGGCCTCTGTGAATAAGTCCAGTGCAAATTGTTCGGAGCTATTGGAACGTTGTCTAAGAATCTATTTAACCCTCGATGCCTGCCATGAGGCAGAGGTGGCCTTCAAAGAAGATGTTGTGGCTCCATATATGTCCGATATTATATCCGAACATAGTCTGCAACAAACACCACAAGGACTGGCGGGTATTTATAGTAAAGTTCTCAACTTTATATCGCTGCATATGACCGATTTGTTGCGGCTCACCCAATACACCGATAAGCTGAAGGGTTTCAATTTTGTGGTTAATAGTTTTTGGTCAGATGTGGAGATGCGTTTGGAAAATCACATGTCCTCGATATTTGCACCGGGCAACTCGGAGGTGTTCTATGCAAAATATAAATGTACTCAAGATTTTCTGAGTAAAATTGAAGAACTTCTAGCCAGTGCGGAGGCTATTGAGGTGTTTCGCCAGCACAAGCAGACCAAGACATTTCAGGGAAGATGGAATTTGCCGGTCTACTTTCAAATATGTTTTCAGGTGGGATAAAAAACTTAACTCTTATTACTGGAAATCATTTTAATTGTTTTTTGTTTTTCATTACAGGAAATTGCTGGCAAATTTGAAGCCATATTGGAACCACCCGTATCCGATGATATGCTAAACACAAATAAAGACGAACACTTTCAATTGAAACCCTTCACTAAAGCCCTACAAGCCATAAACTCCTGTTGGTCTGAGGGTGTTTACCTCGCAGAACTTTTTCCCAAATTCTATAAACTTCATGTCCAAATACTATTACGTCTATCCCACTGGATTCAGGTGGTCCTGAAGAGTATAACATCGAAGCAAACCTCTACAACTCATTCGTTAAAAATGAAAAATACCATCCTGCTAACAGCTTTACATTCCGATATTAATAAATTGCTGAAAATGCTTGCCACGCAAGAAAACGAAATGGTCTTGGCCAATTTGAAGTTGACATCAATGCAAAAAATTCCACCAAATCAATTGGAACTTGTTAAAGATGCTGTGACAAAATCATTTAAAGATTTACAATCGAATTTCTCGGAATATTTGTTGGGAATTCAGCGAGCCATTGTCGATAGTTTAATTGTGGAATGTGGTCCGGATAATGTGAAGCAAGTTAATGATTTGCCACGTCTTTATCGTAAAACAAATCGTGAAGTACCAACACGTTGTTCCACCTATGTGGAACAAATGCTGAAGCCAATGAAAGTATTTACCGAGGAATACAATGAAAAATTGGATAAATCGACGGTGCATAGTATTTTGGAATTGGTGCTAAACAAAATCACAACAGAGTGAGTAGAAAAATTTGGAATATCTTTTCAAGGGATGTTTTTTTTTTTATATGCACTTTGTATGCAATTCCATAGTTTAGGGTACCGGCTATATATCTAAGAACTCTTTTAACTCGAACTATGTCTTCAGAAGATGGGTTCTCCAGTGTTCTTGACAAAAATTCGATGCTATACGATAATTATGGTCGGCTACCAAGCATGTGATACATAGAACCATCTGGCTTGGTCTTTACCTTATAGACCCTTTTTGGAGGAAGAGCCTTGCAACTCTTAGGAAGTGTTTCAAGAGCCCATGTATTATAATCACGAAAATATTTCATTTCAGAATCCATCGCGGCAATCCATTGAACGCCCTGCTTGCTATTGATTGGTTCTTTATAAGTCAGAGGTTTCTCTAATCCATTCGAGTTTGATATTAACGTCCTATCACTTAAGGGGACCCCACCCATTCTCGGGGTCAAACATTTTTTTGATTTAATTCGAATCCAACAAAATTTCAAGTGAAAATCTCAAGAACTCTTGAAGATATAGCCGATTTATTGTGTCAGCATCAAGTGACGGCTAAAGGGCATCTCAAACTTTAAACGCGTTTTTCTCTTTTGTGAATGGCGGGCACCATAACTCAAAAACTAATAACCCAATCGATACCAAATTTTTACACATTTCTCTGTGAGTGTATAGCTATGGTATGAACTAGTATAAAGCCAATCGATGAAGATCTTCCTTACTTTTTAATCTTGGTTTTTGGTAAAAAATCGGCGATTTTCCAAAAATATTTTTTCAAAGGTCCGCCATTTTGTTAATTTTAGAGAGAAGTCAATAATCCTAGTTCATACGAGAGCGAGACATGTATTCTTTCTAACACCGTTGGAATTTTCGGATTCCAATGTTCCAGTGAGGAGTTATCATGCCCGCCATAAAAAATAAGAACTTCTCTTTAATTACAAAAAACAACAACAAAACAATTAAATATATATGTGCAAAGTTACAAAACTTAACAAAATTATTGGTTTCTTTAACGAATATTCGATACCGTTCGCCTTCATTATACCCAACCAAATAGCCTTTGACTGCTTTTTGGAGTCCACTTTCTTTATTTTCTGGTGTGGAATATGAACAAAACATTCACTTCCAATAATTCGTAGATGATTTTTTCTTGGCTTCCTAAGGAGTCTTGCCTTCTATTGAAGACTTTTCAGTATGATTTAGTATGTAAATATATGTCCTCACTAACTCTGCCCAAATTGCATCTGAAAATTCAGCATTTTTATTTGAATATTTGAAAGTTCGAGCCATTTCTACTACAGTACGATTGTCGCGTTCACTTCCACCATTTTGTTGAGGTGTATATGAAGCCGAATTCTCGTCCATTAACAGTCAGCAACACTTTAATGGGGTGACCTTGGGTCTTTGCTAAATTTAATACCACCTTGAGTGCATCTTTTACTTCGGATTTATGTTTTAGAAAGTAACCGAAACGATACTTCGTGAATGTATCTTTGAACATCAACAAATATTTATTTTTACCAAACGATTCCACGAACGGTTCACATACGTCCGCCGAAACTAATTCACCAGGAGCTGCGACATTAATTCGTCTTCCAAAAGGCAACCGATTGGATGAAATCAATACATTTATTAAATACTTGATCCTTAGATTGGGCTTCAAACTGTAACTTCAAAGCATCCCAGGTATCTACTTCTGAAACTTGATCCATAATTTTCTCGTAGATATCATCACTAACTGCACTTACCAAAAATGATTTTGCGTAGCTGTTGGCTTTTCTATATAGATCGGACTGTGATTTAAATATTCATTTCTCTCCTGCTGATGCATTGTTCTCTAACGTTGTTAGCTTCAATAATTTTCTGTCTATTACATCCAGGGCTCCTTCGTGGCAATCCAAAATGTCTCGGATTTTTCTTTTCCACATCGGCCAATCTGTTTCCTTCTGTAACGGCTTTAAAATTTTTCATTTTTTTACAGATTCATATAAAAATATTAATTTTTGAAAATAGATTTCTCAAAAATATATTTTATTTAATATTTTTATATATTTTTCCCCCTTTCCAGTTATCTGGAGGCTGTTAAAGACGTCTTAACATCTGTCCAAAAAACCGAAGAATCTTTGCGCCGCCTCAGAAGTCTCAAAGGTGGAAATGGCCAACAACAACAACCACCAGTAGTAGCTGGTGGTGCTGCGGGTGCGGCTTCTGCCATGTCAGATGATGACAAAATACGTTTACAATTACGTGTGGATGTATCATCATGGACCAATGAGCTATCAAAATTGGGTTTTATGCCCACCGAAGTTGAGAAATTAATGGAATTGAACAGCATTGTTGAAGAAAGTATTAAGGGAAAGTAGTCGAAAAGTAATTTAAAATAAAACAAAAAAATATACGCTAAATATTTTTTTTTAAATAGTTGCAATAATTATTCATAATAGAAAACACACATATACAAATATTATTATATATACTATATTTAAAAAAATGAAATAAAGAGAAAATTTTATTAACATTGAAATCATCTATATGTAAAATTAGTTTTAATTCCATTTTTTTGTAAATATATAAAAAAATAGAATGTTTTTTATTGTACAGTTATTCTTATAGATCTATTATTGTTGGTAGGTTTGGAAAAAAACACGTTGTTTTTGAAACAATTATTTTCGAATTGTGGCACTGGTGTAATAACAAAAATTTTGAAGGCAGAGTTCCAAATAAAATCATGGGTAAAAAAATAAATGCATTTAATATTCTGGCACTTTTTTCCAACACTTTTGCGTTTGGTTTAGGCTCCTCTGTTGGGGGGTGAGAAAAAAAGAATAAATATACACAAAAAATATTATTAGTTGTTGTAATATAATATCAATCAATTGTTGTGGCAAAAAAGGAAAGGCAAAAAAAAGCAAATTATCTTACGGAATATGAGTAAAAAACAACGAGAAAAAATCTTTACACAAAAAATTATACAGAAAAATCTCGTTCAATATTAATTCAAATAAAATGCAATTGCTATACACACACACTTACTACAATACAACTACATACAATACGGGCTTAAAAAAACATTTCGCAAAAATAAAAAAGAAAAATTAATTAATAAAAAACACTTTCTTTAAGTATTGGGCGCCATGCGTTGTCAAAAAAATGATAACGAGCGTTGCAGGGAATGTGTTTTTTGGAGGTTATAAACGACGACAAAAAATATAATTACAACTAAGAAAAAAAATAATAAAAAATGGGACGACTGTGTCACAACACATTCTATCATTAATTATAAAAATAAACTGTAAAAAAAGCTGAACAAACAAATGCACAAGCAAGCAAACCGTTGTCTCTAATATTGTATTTCGTTCTTTACAATTTAAGTTCTTCGGTATCGGGCAGCTTGGCAAAGAACGATTGAACACGTTCTTCGCTAACAGCTTCCAATGTTGTGGGATTCCATTGGGGCTTCTGATCCTTGTCAATGAGCAGGGCACGTACACCTTCCTTGAAATCACTATTTTCCAAATGACGTACAACCATACGATATTCCATATTTAGACATTGAGGCAGTGATAATTTCGAACCCAATTCCAATTGACGGAAGGTAACCTTTAGGGAGGTTGGTGACATTTTCGACATTGTCTGTAAATATATTAGAGTAAATAAAAAATGTTCAATTTAAATAAATGAAATTTAGATTGTAAAGTTATATGAGGCTATGCCTAAAGGGGGACCAATATTTGTTACATAGTGTACATATGAGGGCTATGTCTACTTAATGACCGATATATGTCAATTTCGAACCCAATATTTTATTTATGTATCTCAATTCTTATCTCCAGGAATTATCATTATATGGGGGAGATTCCTGAATGCCTGCCGATATACATTAAATTACATTAATTTTCAGAAATGTTTATGGATATTTTTCCTAAAGTGGACCGATATTGACGACGCATTGTAGGATGGAACGTCCCCAAAATAGTGCAATTTAGAGGTTACAGTTATTTAAGGCCATCAACACAGGTTTTATATAGTTCATTCTCGAACCTCACGTTCTTATTTTTTATCTCGATATCCCCCGCAGGTAGAATGATTACAACAAAGTCTTAGAACCCAATCCAAAACGCGGAACAATTCAGATAACTATTTTAATATAAAAAGGGGGGTTATATGGAGACTACCCCTAAAAGTGGGCGAATAATAATTTTGCTTGTTACCATATACGATTACAAAAAAAAACCAAATTACAAAGACAAACACGTTCAAGAACCCAAAAATACCGAAAATTGGGGGCTACCCGAAAAAATTAACCTATATTTATAATTTTTAGTGGAAAGAGCTCAAGAATCCCAAAATGCCGAAAATTCGGGGTTACCATTATATGGGAGCTATGTCTAAGCGTGGACCGATATAGCGCATACTCAAACTTAACCTACCTACAGACAAAAGACGATTCTATGCTAAAATTTAACGATATATCTCAATTCGTTTAGAGGCTGGAGTGATTACAACAGACAGACAGACATGGCCAAATTTGTCATCGAATTTTACGCTGATCAAGAATATATATAGGGTCGGAAATTAATATTTCGGAAATACAAAATTAATATACCCTCTACTAATGCTACCAAAGTCACATACATTTTTTAAGATGTTAACACTTGAGATCAAAATCATATTAAAAAAAATGATTTATTTTTTGGTAAATTGTTGAAGATTAAATATAGCTAAACAAACAAATTTCAAAGATCATAATATGAAGATAAAAAGAAAACAGTAGACAACAACCTAGATAATGCGAGTGATACGTTTGAATAAACAATTCCGACATAAACAAATAAATTATGGAGCATACTTAAAGAAGTAAATTAAGAAAAAAAACATTAGGTACTTTTTTCATTATAGAAACCTCTGGTTGTTTCAGACGTAGTAAAAAGAAAAGGAAGAATGTTCGTTGACATGTTTTTAACAAAGAAGTAATATCAATCTTACCCCTAACCCCATTATAATGGCCTATTATAATACAATTTATCATAATCATAAGATAAACAAAGAAACAAGAAACGATGTTAATACGTAAACAAATATCACGCTATACTCGTGAAGATAGAATGCAGTATTGAAATACAATTGCACTACAATTAGCAGATAGTGTTGGTGGCAGGTTAATTGAATTGATAAATCTGATTTTTTTTTCTTACACATTTAAAAATTGCATGTAAACAACAAATAAAAACAATAACAACAATGTGGTTGTTTTTATTTTCTATACCGGTAAATAAAAACAAATTATTCTGGCCCCGCATATTTGCATTGGTCATTAGCATTGTAATCTTGTTTATAAAAATAGAATATTTTTTTCCACAGAGTGTTTTATTACAAGCTCCATATAAACACATAAACAATATGTGTGTGTTATTTGTTTACATTAGCAACAATATCAACTATTCTGAAAATTAATCACCTCATCATATTACCAATATAAATGACATAATTAAATGGAAACCTTGATTTTCAGTAGCAAACAAAAATTCATTGCGAAAAATTCGAATAATGGACGATAAGGAAAGAAGCAGCACTGATTAAAGCGATTTGAAAAAATAGACCAAGAAACAAATATATACCCAGAATATAGTAGATAAGTACATAATAAAAATAAACCGGCAATAGATAAGGTATTTTAGTAGCTTGCAAAAAAGAAAATTTCAAGAAGGGGATACAAAAAAAAAACTAAAACTCACGTAGACGACCCCCCAGCAAATAGTAGTTAGTTCTTAATTGTTTTGTTTTTGTTACTCTGTGATCAAAGTCCACTATCAATGTACGTGTGTGTGTATGTTTGCAAACTCACCTGCAATGTCTTCGATGCCCATTCACTGCCATCTTTTTTCAAATTCTCCACAATTTCTTCAACACTTTCCCCGGAGAAACATTTGTTAATCTGATCCAATTGTGGACTCAACACAAATGGTTTGGTTGACGTTTGGTTGACGTTTGGTACACGTTTCTCTGTGAGTATATAGCTATGGTATGAACTAGTATAAAGCCAATCGATGAAGATCTTCCTTACTTTTTAATCTTGGTTTTTGGTAAAAAATCGGCGATTTTCCAAAAATATTTTTTCAAAGGTCCGCCATTTTGTTAATTTTAGAGAGAAGTCAATAATCCTAGTTCATACGAGAGCGAGACATGTATTCTTTCTAACACCGTTGGAATTTTCGGATTCCAATGTTCCAGTGAGGAGTTATCATGCCCGCCATCAAAAATAAGAACTTCTCTTTAATTACAAAAAACAACAACAAAACAATTACAAAATTATTGGTTTCTTTAACGAATATTCGATACCGTTCGCCTTCATTATACCCAACCAAATAGCCTTTGACTGCTTTTTGGAGTCCACTTTCTTTATTTTCTGGTGTGGAATATGAACAAAACATTCACTTCCAATAATTCGTAGATGATTTTTTCTTGGCTTCCTAAGGAGTCTTGCCTTCTATTGAAGACTTTTCAGTATGTTTAGTATGTAAATAGATGTCCTCACTAACTCTGCCCAAATTGCATCTGAAAATTCAGCATTTTTATTTGAATATTTGAAAGTTCGAGCCATTTCTACTACAGTACGATTGTCGCGTTCACTTCCACCATTTTGTTGAGGTGTATATGAAGCCGAATTCTCGTCCATTAACAGTCAGCAACACTTTAATGGGGTGACCTTGGGTCTTTGCTAAATTTAATACCACCTTGAGTGCATCTTTTACTTCGGATTTATGTTTTAGAAAGTAACCGAAACGATACTTCGTGAATGTATCTTTGAACATCAACAAATATTTATTTTTACCAAACGATTCCACGAACGGTTCACATACGTCCGCCGAAACTAATTCACCAGGAGCTGCGACATTAATTCGTCTTCCAAAAGGCAACCGATTGGATGAAATCAATACATTTATTAAATACTTGATCCTTAGATTGGGCTTCAAACTGTAACTTCAAAGCATCCCAGGTATCTACTTCTGAAACTTGATCCATAATTTTCTCGTAGATATCATCACTAACTGCACTTACCAAAAATGATTTTGCGTAGCTGTTGGCTTTTCTATATAGATCGGACTGTGATTTAAATATTCATTTCTCTCCTGCTGATGCATTGTTCTCTAACGTTGTTAGCTTCAATAATTTTCTGTCTATTACATCCAGGGCTCCTTCGTGGCAATCCAAAATGTCTCGGATTTTTCTTTTCCACATCGGCCAATCTGTTTCCTTCTGTAACGGCTTTAAAATTTTTCATTTTTTTACAGATTCATATAAAAATATTAATTTTTGAAAATAGATTTCTCAAAAATATATTTTATTTAATATTTTTATATATTTTTCCCCCTTTCCAGTTATCTGGAGGCTGTTAAAGACGTCTTAACATCTGTCCAAAAAACCGAAGAATCTTTGCGCCGCCTCAGAAGTCTCAAAGGTGGAAATGGCCAACAACAACAACCACCAGTAGTAGCTGGTGGTGCTGCGGGTGCGGCTTCTGCCATGTCAGATGATGACAAAATACGTTTACAATTACGTGTGGATGTATCATCATGGACCAATGAGCTATCAAAATTGGGTTTTATGCCCACCGAAGTTGAGAAATTAATGGAATTGAACAGCATTGTTGAAGAAAGTATTAAGGGAAAGTAGTCGAAAAGTAATTTAAAATAAAACAAAAAAATATACGCTAAATATTTTTTTTTAAATAGTTGCAATAATTATTCATAATAGAAAACACACATATACAAATATTATTATATATACTATATTTAAAAAAATGAAATAAAGAGAAAATTTTTATTAACATTGAAAACATCTATATGTAAAATTAGTTTTAATTCCATTTTTTTTTTGTAAATATATAAAAAAATAGAATGTTTTTTATTGTACAGTTATTCTTATAGATCTATTATTGTTGGTAGGTTTGGAAAAAAACACGTTGTTTTTGAAACAATTATTTTCGAATTGTGGCACTGGTGTAATAACAAAAATTTTGAAGGCAGAGTTCCAAATAAAATCATGGGTAAAAAAATAAATGCATTTAATATTCTGGCACTTTTTTCCAACACTTTTGCGTTTGGTTTAGGCTCCTCTGTTGGGGGTGAGAGAAAAAGAATAAATATACACAATAATATTAGTTGTTGTAATATAATATCAATCAATTGTTGTTGTGGCAAAAAATGAAAGGCAAAAAAAAGCAAATTATCTTACGGAATATGAGTAAAAAAACAACGAGAAAAAATCTTTACACAGAAAAATATACAGAAAAATCTCGTTCAATATTAATTCAAATAAAATGAAATTGCTATACACGCACACTTACTACAATACAACTACATACAATACGGGCTTAAAAAAACATTTCGCAAAAATAAAAAAGAAAAATTAATTAATAAAAAACACTTTCTTTAAGTATTGGGCGCCATGCGTTGTCAAAAAAATGATAACGAGCGTTGCAGGGAATGTGTTTTTTGGAGGTTATAAACGACGACAAAAAATATAATTACAACTAAGAAAAAAAATAATAAAAAATGGGACGACTGTGTCACAACACATTCTATCATTAATTATAAAAATAAACTGTAAAAAAAGCTGAACAAACAAATGCACAAGCAAGCAAACCGTTGTCTCTAATATTGTATTTCGTTCTTTACAATTTAAGTTCTTCGGTATCGGGCAGCTTGGCAAAGAACGATTGAACACGTTCTTCGCTAACAGCTTCCAATGTTGTGGGATTCCATTGGGGCTTCTGATCCTTGTCAATGAGCAGGGCACGTACACCTTCCTTGAAATCACTATTTTCCAAATGACGTACAACCATACGATATTCCATATTTAGACATTGAGGCAGTGATAATTTCGAACCCAATTCCAATTGACGGAAGGTAACCTTTAGGGAGGTTGGTGACATTTTCGACATTGTCTGTAAATATATTAGAGTAAATAAAAAATGTTCAATTTAAATAAATGAAATTTAGATTGTAAAGTTATATGAGGCTATGCCTAAAGGGGGACCAATATTTGTTACATAGTGTACATATGAGGGCTATGTCTACTTAATGACCGATATATGTCAATTTCGAACCCAATATTTTATTTATGTATCTCAATTCTTATCTCCAGGAATTATCATTATATGGGGGAGATTCCTGAATGCCTGCCGATATACATTAAATTACATTAATTTTCAGAAATGTTTATGGATATTTTTCCTAAAGTGGACCGATATTGACGACGCATTGTAGGATGGAACGTCCCCAAAATAGTGCAATTTAGAGGTTACAGTTATTTAAGGCCATCAACACAGGTTTTATATAGTTCATTCTCGAACCTCACGTTCTTATTTTTTATCTCGATATCCCCCGCAGGTAGAATGATTACAACAAAGTCTTAGAACCCAATCCAAAACGCGGAACAATTCAGATAACTATTTTAATATAAAAAGGGGGGTTATATGGAGACTACCCCTAAAAGTGGGCGAATAATAATTTTGCTTGTTACCATATACGATTACAAAAAAAAAACCAAATTACAAAGACAAACACGTTCAAGAACCCAAAAATACCGAAAATTGGGGGCTACCCGAAAAAATTAACCTATATTTATAATTTTTAGTGGAAAGAGCTCAAGAATCCCAAAATGCCGAAAATTCGGGGTTACCATTATATGGGAGCTATGTCTAAGCGTGGACCGATATAGCGCATACTCAAACTTAACCTACCTACAGACAAAAGACGATTCTATGCTAAAATTTAACGATATATCTCAATTCGTTTAGAGGCTGGAGTGATTACAACAGACAGACAGACATGGCCAAATTTGTCATCGAATTTTACGCTGATCAAGAATATATATAGGGTCGGAAATTAATATTTCGGAAATACAAAATTAATATACCCTCTACTAATGCTACCAAAGTCACATACATTTTTTAAGATGTTAACACTTGAGATCAAAATCATATTAAAAAAATGATTTATTTTTTGGTAAATTGTTGAAGATTAAATATAGCTAAACAAACAAATTTCAAAGATCATAATATGAAGATAAAAAGAAAACAGTAGACAACAACCTAGATAATGCGAGTGATAAGTTTGAATAAACAATTCCGACATAAACAAATAAATTATGGAGCATACTTAAAGAAGTAAATTAAGAAAAAAAAAACATTAGGTATTTTTTTCATTATAGAAACCTCTGGTTGTTTCTGACGTAGTAAAAAGAAAAGGAAGAATGTTCGTTGACATGTTTTTAACAAAGAAGTAATATCAATCTTACCCCTAACCCCATTATAATGGCCTATTATAATACAATTTATCATAATCATAAGATAAACAAAGAAACAAGAAACGATGTTAATACGTAAACAAATATCACGCTATACTCGTGAAGATAGAATGCAGTATTGAAATACAATTGCACTACAATTAGCAGATAGTGTTGGTGGCAGGTTAATTGAATTGACAAATCTGATTTTTTTTCTTACACATTTAAAAATTGCATGTAAACAACAAATAAAAACAATAACAACAATGTGGTTGTTTTTATTTTCTATACCGGTAAACAAAAACATATTATTCTGGCCCCGCATATTTGCATTGGTAATCTTGTTTATAAAAATAGAATATTTTTTTCCACAGAGTGTTTTATTACAAGCTCCATATAAACACATAAACAATATGTGTGTGTTATTTGTTTACATTAGCAACAATATCAACTATTCTGAAAATTAATCACCTCATCATATTACCAATATAAATGACATAATTAAATGGAAACCTTGATTTTCAGTAGCAAACAAAAATTCATTGCGAAAAATTCGAATAATGGACGATAAGGAAAGAAGCAGCACTGATTAAAGCGATTTGAAAAAATAGACCAAGAAACAAATATATACCCAGAATATAGTAGATAAGTACATAATAAAAATAAACCGGCAATAGATAAGGTATTTTAGTAGCTTGCAAAAAAGAAAATTTCAAGAAGGGGATACAAAAAAAAAACTAAAACTCACGTAGACGACCCCCCAGCAAATAGTAGTTAGTTCTTAATTGTTTTGTTTTTGTTACTCTGTGATCAAAGTCCACTATCAATGTATGTGTGTGTATGTTTGCAAACTCACCTGCAATGTCTTCGATGCCCATTCACTGCCATCTTTTTTCAAATTCTCCACAATTTCTTCAACACTTTCCCCGGAGAAACATTTGTTAATCTGATCCAATTGTGGACTCAACACAAATGGTTTGGTTGAGGGTGTATTGAATTTCGATAGAATTTCTGGTACCTCATCAGCATCGGGACAGTTAAGTAAGGCAGATTCCAAATCACTCAACTTAGAGCTTTCACAGAAATGTGTTGCTATACCGGCCTTAAGGACATCTTCACCCTTTAGACGAAAACCGGTCAGGCCAAGGTACAGCCCAATTTTACCCTCCAAACGGGGTAGGAAATATGAACCACCAACATCGGGGAATAAACCAATGGCCGTCTCAGGCATGGCGAAAAGTGTACGCTCGGTGGCAACACGATATTTACCATGTACCGAAAGACCAACACCACCACCCATGGTGATGCCATCAATCAAGGCAATATAGGGTATTTTATAGTTGCCAATCAAGGCATTTGTTGTGTATTCTTCACGGAAGAAATTTTTCGATTCTTCGGTGGGACCAGCCTCCACCACAGCACGAACATCTCCGCCGGCACAGAAGGCCTTTTCGCCGGTACCCTTGATAATCATCAGCGATTTGGTTTTTTCGCATTTTTTCAAATGTTTATAGATTTTGCGGACCATTTCCAAATTGATTGCATTCAAGGCTTTGGGACGGTTCAAAATGATCATACCTGCAAAGAATGTCCACAAATTATGTTATTGCGAACGAACCGAACAGAACATGCATAATAAAAACAAATAACAAAGGCCAGTGCTAGAGAGTTAATTGTTGTTGTATGCAAATACTACTCACTCACCTTTATCGGAAGATTCGGTTGCCAGAACTTCGCTCGACATATTGCGTATCGCTTGAGTTGTGCAGGGATTGGCCAACAATGGCATGGTGCGATGACCAAATGCATAAATAATACGTTGAATTACCTGTAATGAAAATAGTTGCGATTAATTTCCATATTAGATCAGAAATGAATTGATAACACCATCACTTCCTTGTTCTTTGTCTTGTTGTATCTTGTCCGTTTTTGATTATCGTTTCGATTTAATTGCATTAATTTTTTGCTTTTTTATTGGAACTCACCATTTTATTGCAGCGGTTTCTTTTTGGATTGAATTGGACGACCTATCGGCTTCTTCTCCCCAAAGTTTATTAATGAGGTTGCGCAATCTAAATCTAGAATTCTCAGATCTCAGAGAACTTTACTAAAATAGGGAAATACAAGTCGACTTTTGTCCAATGGGAATTATAGTCGATTGATATAACTCTAAACTATTGTTTTTGTTGTTGCCGTTATTTTTTTTGTTTGGTTATGTTATGTTTACATTGTTTGTGTACAATTGGAAACATCAATTATATGGCATACAAAAAAAAAAGAAATGAAATGACAATTTTTAATGGTGGATTATAATAAAAATGTGATGTAAACATAGCATTGTTTTACAAATAAATGGGATATCCATATTTTAGGGGTAATAGACATGTTTTTCAACTGAATCTGCTTGGATATCCGATCTGCCTACGAAATGTTAACAATATTTGGTCTGTTCCCGTACTACAAGAATCTACTAGATTTTACTATTTTCTTCGATATCATAAAGGAAATTTCGCTATCGTTTTAAAAAATAGTAGATTATTGCAGTACGGGAACAGGCCATATGACGTTACCTCCCAATATTCAGTATTTTAATGGATTAAAACGGCATTTATATCAGAACTTTTTGCCGGGTTAAGGTACGCCGAGCTTAAAAAAAAAAGATTTCCAGGCGCTCGGTCTTTTGCGCAGTTTTTTCAACAACATTGCCATATTCGGCCATTCTCACAACATGATTTAGCCAACGTAATCGCTGCAGCTAAATAATATCTCAGATATGCCAATATCCGAGAATAGCTGATACAACTCATGGTTCATTTGACTGCGATATTCACCGTCGACCCAGATCGGACCATAGATCTTTCGGAGAATATTTCTCACAAACACTCCAAGAGTTGCCTCATCTGCTGTGCAAGTACCCATTCAATGTTGTCTTCCACTTCATCTTTCCATCTTATTCGTGGTCTTCCCCTTCTGCGTGAACCATCACTGGGCTCGCTTTTATATGCCTTTTGACCTGGGGCATTTTCATACATTCTCACAAGATAGCCTAGCGAACGTACCCGCTGCAGCTCGTCTGAATATGTCGATGTCCTAGAATAAATGGTAAAGCTCGTGTTTCATTCGACAGCGATATTCACCATCGAGGCAGATCGGCCAATAGATCTTTCGACGAATTTTTCTCTCAAACACTCCAAGAGCTGCCTCGTCTGCTTGCGTAAGTGTACCCATGCTTCTTATCCATACAATAGCAGGGGTAATATCTGCGTCTTGTAGAGTGTGAGTTTGGTCTGGCGAGAGGTGGCCATATTTTCTGAATTGCTTACTTAGACCATAGTAGCATCGGTTGACCACCACTATTCTTCTCCGGATTTCAAAACGTATGTTATCAGTTTTGTTTATGTGTATCTCAAAGCTATAGTTCTCAAGTTGCACAGTTTGTCATTGACATACCATGGCATAGTCTTCTCGCCTTTTACTGCCAGTCCCACTTTGGCAGACTCCATCTCAATTCGTTGAAAGGTGGCTGTTACCGCTCGTAATGTTCGACCCATGGTTATTTTCCAATAACGTCATTGACATACATGTAAACATACTATCATTGCGCCATTATATTGCAATTCGTTTTCCGTTAATTTTGCCACTCGCCATACGTAACCATTTTAAGTCACACTCCAAGCGTCAACGAAAAATACAACCCTGAGTCTCTGTCTACCAGTCTCCTTTTTAAAATTGACAAATTACGGCTCAAAAATTTTGTCGGGAACAAAAGTTTACAATTGTGTATATCTAAAAATGATTAAAAGTTAAAAAATGTGAACTAATATTCTGCAAATGTGCTAAATTAATTAAATGCTAAGAAATAAATTAGAAATGTCGTATAATGAACATATTTAGTGTTTGACTTTGGCATGTAAAACAATTACTCTCTCAAAGTTACTCTCACAATACAAAAAGCAAGAAGAGGAAGCATCATTTGTATGATTTTGCCCGCCAAAATGCATTAATTCGCGTCTAAAATTTGTGGTCAACGGTTGATTGCAGTGAAAAATCAGTGATTTTCGTGAATTGGAAAATTGAATCGGTCGGGAAATCCAATTGGAATTTTGAAAAACAATTCGCGATATTCGGTAATGTGTTATTTATAAATTTTGTGTGCGATAATTAAATGCTCGAGGATACTTTTGTGTGCTTAAAGTTGCTTGTTCCCTGGGGACCTGGCTCTTGGTCACGGCATTACCCCAACACAAAAAAGATGAGGGAGGATCCATTGTGAAGAAACGCATTTTAATTTCCGGAATAAGAAAAATGTCGCATTTCATAATTACACGTACTAAATAATTTATAATTAAATACACCAAATATGCAGCTGTTGAAACTGTCCCTCCATTGCAAGCTCGTAATAACTGCGCAATAAAAAATGTGCATGTTTGTTCAAGATACAATTTGGTGTAAATCATAAATAAATATCCGTTCGAAGTGTTGAATATGTGAGTTATTGCTTACTGTATGAACAACTGAATGCTTGAAAAAATTTGCTGTTCTAACGAACTCCAACTACGCCTAAAATTTAATAAAAATGTATTTATCGGAAATTTTCAATTAAAAAAATATGAAATGTGATAAAAATTAAATTTAATTTTTTGAAAAAAAAGAAAAATTCATTTCAGCATTTTCGATTTATTAAAATTCTAAAAAAAGTGAAATAGTGTATTGAAAAGTGAGAATAAAAAATAAAAGTGCATTTAGTGATTTTTTTAATGTTAATAAAATAGCCCAATGAGTATTGGTCGCAAATTGTGAAAAATCAACAAATAATAAGAAATTAGTGTTTAAAATTAATTTTTATAAAAAATTAGAGCTTATGGATTTCATTCCAAAAATTTCCGTTAATCTTTATTTTAAAAAAATGTGATGTTGTTTGTGAGAATAAAATTAATTTAAAAAAATTTAAAAAATTCAAATCCGTAATATTGAAATTGTTCTCGAACTTCCTTTTTTAAAAGAAAAGTGAAATTATGTTCGCGAATTTAACGTTAAAAGCACATCTGAATCGGTCGGTATATTCGAAATTTCGGTATAAATTACGTTTTTTTAATAACACGTGATCAAATGATAAAAAGTATTAAAAATGAAGCTGACTCGCTGGGAATTGAAATGCATAAAAATAGAGGTAAGAATTTTATTTTTTACTCTTTTTCAATTTCAGTAAAATTTTAGGGTCCATCTCGTTATTTGACTCGGAAGTTCAAGTACCGGTACCCGGTTATACCCTGTTCTACGAATCCGGTTAATATAAATCATTTTAAAGCTTATAAAATACCTTTCCATTGAGTGGTTATATGATAGGGTAATTTCAAACCGTTTTGGAGATACAGTCAAAAACTGGGCTTAGACCTATTTTTTTTTTTTTAAACTCCTTAAAAGCTGAACTTAGGCTCATTATGTTCCCTCTCCAATCGTGACTCAAATGATAGAACACAATTTGTCCTTTCCAAATTGGTGCGATATGTGGCTGTACCTGCCACAGGGAAGTTATTTCTACATGACAGAATCTGCTTTTAAATAGAATGTTTTTTTTTTTTTTTGGTGGCCGGCCTTCGAACGGGGTTTTAAGATTTCACCTAATTTGGTGGGAACAGGTGCACGAAACCCTCAAAATACCGAATATTGGGGGTTACGTTATGTGGGGGTTACCCGAATACTTGTACGAATAATCAATGTGAATCCAATATATGAATTGCTCTCAATTTGGATACAAAATGTTTTCAAGCTTAAAAAATATCGAAATTTGTAGCGTATATATATGAACCGTCCATAAAAAGTGGACCAATATTGATAATTTTCAGTAGGCTCATTTGAACCCCCCTGAAAACCTAAAAAAATCAAATTATAGCGAATTCGGTCGAAAAACATGCCAAAACCCCCCAAAATATCGAATAATAGTAGACCTGAAACCATTATATGAGGGCTACCAGAAAACTTGAACGAATAATATTTTCTCACCAAAATACCAAACTTTGGGATGTTATGGAGCTTCTCAAAAAAGTGGATCAATGTTGATAATTTTTAGAAGACCTGACCAAAATACCAAATAATGTGTGTACCGAAAATATGGGTCATTGTTGATCATTTTTGGTAGGTACATTTTCTACTTAATGACAATGATAATACTAAGCTCGCCATAATACCGAATCTTCGGGTAGTAACGTAATATAGGACTTCGCTGATAATTTTTAGTAGGTACATTTGACACCATCTGAAAAATTGAATTACTGCCAAATTAGTGGAAATATTTGCCATATGAGGCCTTCCCTAAAAAATGGACAAATAGTAATAATTTTTAGTAGGAAGGTAGTAAATAATCACCACAATCCAAAATTAAAATTGATTCTGTTTAAAAACTTTAAAATACCGAATAATAGGATGTGTAACCTAATGATAAGCCAAAATACAAATTACAGTCAATTTGGTTGGAAAACATGTCAAAAATCCCTAATATTTGAGGGTTCCGTTATATGGGAGCTATACCATAATGTCGTCCGACATATTCAATACTTTACTCACCGTTATAATTTTACATAGCCTAGATCGAATCCAAAGATGATACCCATCCCTACCGGTACATCCCGCACATTGTGTCTAAATTTCATACCATTCAATATGGTCTGAAATATCCGATTTGATGCCAAATGGAACTTACCGGTGCACTCTTTCTCGTATCTATCACACGAAATGGCCAAAAATTTGCTGAAAATTAGTTTTGTAATATCATGCGAACGGACTATCCGATTTACAGAGTGCCATTTCTGTTCACATTTGCCTCTCGTATGAACTTTTCTAGCAGGATGTTGAAAATGTCACACGACAAACTGTCACCTTGTCTGAATCCTCGTTCGGTTTTAAAGGTCTTTCCAACATCACATAGAATTTAAATCCGAACAAGAACATATATTTCATGGTGTTATAAAAAATTTAGGCACAGGCCTATAACACTATGAACATGAATAGTGAATAGATGAACATTCATTTGATTTTTAATAGAATTCAAATAATATTTCAAGACAACAGTGAAATATATTAGAAACTTATATCCATTTGATATTTATCTTTATCACAGGAAAATTAATTATAAAAAATGATAAAAACGTAATCGTAAGTTTATCGCACATTTATTTGCCATAAGTTATGTGCGTAATTTTTAAAGCAATGTGCTTTTGTACGCAAAAAGATTATCGATGTTATCAAATGTTATTTTATTTTTCAAATGTTATGTTGACCATTTACTGGTATGAAGGAATTTGTCATATCTATGTAAAAATGGTTTAAATTGTATGATCCTTTATATAAAAATGCGTACATTTTTTTAAATAAAAGTTGAAGTTTACATTAAATTCCAAGATCATAAAAAAGGAATTCTCCCTTGCTTCAAAAAATACAAATGTTGCCACATAAAATAGAAATGTTGTTCGAAGATTTATTTATTAAAAAAATTTCTACGATTTCCCCATAAAGTAAATATTTAAGTACCAACTATTTGTTCCTAAAAAATTAACACTTATTATTTCTATTTCATAGTTATGAAATACATATATTTCCTTAACAGCTACAGATAATAACTGTATGAACATACAATTTTAATTAGAAAAAAAACTATATTTAATGTCTTTCTTTTATCATTGATGATGATACAGTTTCTCTCTCTCTACAAATGCAACACTTTAAAAAAAATATAGTATTAAGAAAAAATGTCTGTATTAAGATTTAAATCATCTGTATATATATTTAAAACACATATTGACGACTAGTGAGTGTATAAAGCTTATTCTGCATGCAACTTCTTTTCCAATATTTCTTTGGCCGCTTCCGGTGTAGTGCTGGCTTTCATTTTATGTATAGCCTTATTAACCGTTTCCGTTGTATTGTCATATTCATTGAGTTTCTTTGCCAAAAAGTAGATTTCAGCCAGAGCAATAATAAGAGCGATCATAATACCCAATAGTAAACGTAAGCCAAAATCTAAATTGCCAACTATTAATTGTATACCAAGGAAGCCAAAAGCAAATCCCGCGGCCACTGAAAAAATGAATTGCAGCACGGCAACCAATTGACTGTTTATCGCTTTCACTGTAAAGAGAAAAACAAATTTTTAATATTTAGTTAAACAAATAATTTTATTTAAAATGGTAACACAAGAAATTTCTCAATTTTCAAATAGTACTCCGAACTTTTGTTTATATAAATTTTGCGAATAAATAAGAAATAGATCTTTCCTAGCTGACCAAAATATAACAACTGATGTTAAATTCAATTCCTATAATTTATCTCAAAAAATAACAAAACACCAAACCCAAATTGTTGTTGAAATTTCCAATACTCAATCTATCCAATTGAAATTTCATTTCCAATAGCCGAAAATTATATTCATGATTTTTAGATAATTCTTTTTTTGGAATTCAATTTGAAATTCAAATTCATGTATTCTGTATCAAGTAGAGGACCACAATTATTTATTTATATATACAAAGAAACACGTAAAGGAAGTAATAACAAAATGCGTAAAGGTTCATTTTATATTTGAATAAAAAAATACATTTAAACGAGGACATAACAAGTAATTGCGAATTACAATTTTTATGACACATGGAGAGCACTTCGCTGATCCCAAAAGACCAAGCCTTGTCCCTGAGAGTATTACTTTTGAGGATATAGATAGAATCACTTTCTAAGTCGATTTATGCATGTCCATAAGTCTATGTATGTCTACGAAACTAAATACAGGTCGCTATTATAATCCGAATTAGATGAAATTTGGTTCAAGTACGAACTCCATTGTTAAAAATCGGTTCAGATTCTGCTGTGATTAGAAGAAAAATCCGACAATGAGATTGATTCACTTCGCGGCAGCAAAAAAACATGGTAGTTAGCAGCACCAGATTCAAGCATCTCGATATACACAAGGCCACCTGGATTTCTCAAAAGCTAGTAGAAGCCTATTCCGCTCATCTTTCCCACTTGCTTGACGAAAGCACTCCTTATCCCAATAATAATCAAGTCGTAACGCTACTGATGTGAAAAATGCAGAATATAGGGCAACACTGAATACAGTAGCAACACGTAATGCGAGGGAGAATTATCGGGAGGAAAGGAGAGAGCAAATCGAGTTTTACAGGAGTCAGAATGAAGTCCGGAAATTTTATCAACGAGTAAAAAACCAAACCGAAGGCTTTGGTGCAGGCACATGCTCCTGTAGAGATGAAAATGGAAACATGGTGACAAGAACATTTTTCAAAGCTTCTGGTATCAAATAGTGGAGTTTTGACATTTTTAACATCTTGCTGGAAAAGGTCATATGAGAGGAAAATGTGAACAGAAATGGCGACCTATACACCAAACAACACATGTTACTCGCCTACGCCGATGACATGGGTCGAACATTGCGAGCCGTAACAACCACCTTTGAACATTGACAAGGAGACTGCCAAAGTGGGTCTGGCAGTAAATGGCGAAAAGACCAAGGTAATGGCATCAACGTGCAAGACGTCCAGTAGACTCGGACCAACTGTGGTACTTGAAAAGCTAGTCAAAGCAGCTTCGAGGTAGTTACAGATTTTATATACCTCGGTACCGTCATAAATAAAACTAATGACATTAGTTTAGAAATTCGGAGAAGGATAGTGTTGACCAACAGATCCTACTATGGTCTAAGTAAGCAATTTGCCAGACCAAACTCATAGTCTACAAGACGCTGATACTACCCGTGCTGTTGTATGGATCTGAAGCATGGGTACTTGTGCCAGCAGATGAGACAGCAGGGCCCTCCTCGAGGATCGGAAATGTTTACTACATGTAGTCCTTGGGGTCCTGATTACAACTGTATTTTCATAAGAAAAATCAAGGATCCCAACGGAACTTTTGAAATACCGATTTCCGCAAGGAAAAAAGTATACCATTGTAATCAGGACCCCATGGATTACACGTGGTAAACATTTCAAAAAGATCCGCGAGGGGGCCCTAAACTAAACGTTGTCCATCTTTTTTAATCTGGGCTTATACAACAACCGATATGTCCCAATGAAGAGTTTCAGTCCCGACCTTCCCGCTAGCCAAGACAAGTCCACGTAACAAGGCAATTTGTGTTAGTTTTCCGTACACCCAAGAGTCTCTGCCCGGTATCAGAGTTAAACATGAAGTAAATTTAAGCATATTGAAGTTTTCGAAAACATCTTCTAATATTATTTGTTAAAAGTTGGTTGTCGAGTTCCGACAGGGAATAAACACAAATAACTATTGCCATGTTCCGACGAGCATCCGAACAAAGTAGTTCGCTCTCAGAATTACGTACATGAATTAACCCGTTCATACAACACTATTCATAATTCATGTCATCAGAGTTTTTTATTTCAAACTTTTTTTTTGCCCCACATTTGTTTCTTGCTTTGTACGCTAATTAGAACCAAGGGAAAAGAAATGCATTATGTAGAAAACAAAATTTACATCCTGCTACATATATAAAAACTATACAATTTTTTACTTTTCATTCATCATTTTCAATTTTACTGAAAAAGTTTGAAAATTTTTTAAATATTTTCATGCTGTCAAAATTAATTTATTTTCGATACTCTCAATTGTTAGTGATGGGACAAATTTCTTGGTTATTCAGAGAGTGATTCGAATTGAACAACGTACAAAAGTCGGTGTTTTTGTATGCTAAGTAATTACTTCATAATTTGAGTAGCCATGATGTCAATTTTTTATTAGTGTTTAAAAGTGGATATATTTGAGTAGTCATGATGTAATGCAGATTTAAACCTGTTTAAAATATTTATTATATTATATTTATAAGAATTTGTTTTAGAGTAGCTATGATATAAGGTGGATTCTTTGTAATTATACATAAATTGGCCATTAAATTGTAATTTGGCTTCAATTACAAAGTAAATAAAGACAAATGTAAATATAAAATATAATTAAGGGTCGAACAACGAATGAGAGAGCGAACAACGCTCGTCTGTACATGGCATATACCACCTCAAATTTGGAGGGTTGAAAGCGTCGTTTTGATATAATACCAATATATGTTTTCTTCCTTGTGTAGGGCCCGGCCGAATTTTACAAAGATTTGTTTACCTTCCCCAGACAATATAACCTTCCACAAGAATTTTTTTTCGGGCCTTAAAACTAGACTTGTTTTAATCCATAACCCCAATTCCGTTTCACTTATACATACCTTGATAGGCAATTGTATCCTCGGGATAGTGTTTCAGCGTTGCATCAACATCCTTGGTCATTTTACGATATTCCAAATTCTGTTGTTCTTGACGTAATTTCTGGCAACGTGCTTCCAATTCAGGATTCCGTTCAATTATAGAATTTTTGGGCAGTTCCAATGCACATGTCTCCAATAACTCATGCAAATACGCATCAACGATACCTTTGGACCGCAGCTTACCCAAAGCTTGGCTCAGCCAACGCAGATCACTTAAATACAAATACATTTCTTTTAATTTCGAATCCGATGATTTTTCTTCTTTAGATTTTTTAGTCTTTTCAGCAGCAGTTTCATTTTCACTTGTCACCTTGTCACCACTGTTCGACAAAATATCATTTAATAATTTGATATCAACACCTGAATATTTGTTTGTTGCTGTTGTTGTGGTGGTGTCGGCTTCGTTAACACGTATTCCCAATGGTTTCAAGATGACTGCAATATTTTTGGGTACTTCCGTTAGGTGTGTATGATGTTCATTAATAATGTCAAGTAATTTTGTAGATATTTTTACCCGAATACGGGGATCTTTGATGGTATCAATGGTACCCATTATTATGCTCTGTGTGTGTGTGGTTTTCACTTCAATTTAAGTTTCAACTGCAAATCGGAATATAATTCCGATATCTCCTCTTCTTTGACAGCGAAAGAATTTTCCACTCTTTGGTAGTTGTGTTTCAATTCCAAATCGAAATCTTCTTTGCGTTTGCTGCGCTGTGCCTGGGATTCCAATATTTCGGGACTTGGCTGAAAATATAAAAAAAAAAAAACATTTTATTAGAGTTTCACAAACATTGACAGAAAGCCTCTCCCTCCCTCCTTACCACCTTTGGTTTTTGCAAATCCTCAACTAAATTTTCCACCTCTCCCAATAGGTCCTTCAGCTGTGCTGTAATATTACCCAAATGTGCCGCTCCCAAATTAATACATTTATCCGATAGCTCGTATTTTAGTGCACCCACCGTCTCGGTGACTTTGAATAATGATTCCACTTCTGAATCGTTGCGTTGTGTTTCGAAATTTGTGAGAAAACTTTCAATTTCTCCATTCACAAAAACACGATGATCCAAAATGCGGTATTGACTATTGGATATATCTAATGGATATGTTTAAATTTTTATTGAATATTTATTGAGTTTTTTTAAATGGAAAACAGATGAAAATGCATTTGCACTTACCTTTTCCCAATGTTATCATTTTCCCTTTTCTTTTTTCGGCTGTCAATGGTTGTCACATGATATAAGGGTTGCCAAGGGTTAATTTTCTGAAGGTATATGAATAATGTCAAATATCACATATAGATGGCGTGGTGAAAAACATACAAATTCGGGCATGTATATCGGAAGGTCCTGTAAGTCACCAAAAGATACCTCCTTGAGGACGTCTGTAGAGACTCCCTTCTTACTTACTTAGTTACAGAACGGTTATTCCATAAGCCGAGCTTAAAAAAGATTTCCAAGTGCGTCGTTCTTGTGCGCATCTCCACCAATTTGAAATACCATGTTCCGAGATATTGTATTTTACTTGGTCTTTCCATCTAATTCGTGGCCTTCCCTAATACGGGAGGCTCGCTTTGCCTTTTGAACTGAGGCATTCTCATTCATTCGCACAACATGGCCTAGCTGCTGCAACTCAATAGGACTGACTATGTCAATGTCCTCGTATAAATTGTAAAGCTCATGGTTCGCAGATCGGCCCGTAGATCATTCGGCGAATTTTTCTCTCAAACACCCCAAGAGATGTCTCATCTGCTTGCCATGCTTCAAATCCATCACAATCCTTCTCCGAATTTTGAAAACTGATGTCATTCCTTTTATTTATGGCGGTACCAAGGTATATAACATCTTTAAATACAACGAAGCTGTAGTTCTCAAGTTCCATAGTTGGTCCGAGTCTACTGGACGTCTTGCTCGTTAATACCATCAGCTTGGACTTCTCGCCATTTACTGCCAAACCTACATTGGCAGACTCCTTCTCAGTTTATTCAATAGTGACTGTTACCGCTCGCAATGTTCGACCCATTATATCGATGTCATCGGCGTACGCAAGTAACATATGCTGTTTGGTGTACAGAGACCTTTGACCTTTCCTTGCAGAATGTTAAAAAAGTCACACGACAAACTGTCGCCTTGTCTAAATCCTCGTTCGCTTTTATGCGGATTTTAGCAATTCGCTCATCTACTGTAGTGAATCTGAAAACGAGGTATTTTATTCTCCTAGTAACAATAAATCCGCAGCATTGTCTCGTTTCATGTGCAGCTATTAAAAAGGGCGTAATCATCTGATATACTTACGCCATCGTAAGACAAAAATATCGGCATTGTACTTCCTGAGTACCTCCGTCAAAGCGAAATCTGCGCCTATTCTGTACAACGTGCGCACATTCCAAGTACAGCCAACCATAAAAATTGTCTCAGTGTATGAAACACATTTAGCGAATATCTCCGTGGATGTTGGCAACACTGTCCCGTCCCTTCTGTCACATTTAGAGGCAAGGTAGATATACAAGGTAGCCGCATCGGCGAATTTCTACAACAAACATCAGTTGTTGTATTTTGATATGTCAAAAATATTTTGCCAAAACAAACAGATTGACAAGATTTTTTTACACAAATTCTTGTTGAAAATGTTAATAAAAGTATTGCCAAAAAATCTATTCGAAATTCGGAGATTTTCATTTATAATTTTGTTTTTTAATTTTTTGGTTCAACATTACAACAACATTTTTGACATTTATTTGTCCAACAGCTGGGCCGATGCGGCTACCTTATTAAATATACCTTGTTTAGAGGTCTACGTGATTTTTTTTATTATTTTTTTATAGAGCAGCTGTGAAATTTTTCGGGGAAGAATAGTCGCGAAATTCTGGCATTATCAAATAACAGAAAAAAGAAAATAATCAATAAAATAATTTGCGGAATTCCAATTAACCACCGATACGATGAGTGAAGAATTTAAATTGCCAAAACGTTCCCGTAAGCGGACGCGTGATGTTAAGCGACGAGCAAGGCCAGAATTGGACAAAGAAGGTTGGGTTGCTTTGCGCTATGCGGAGCCCGAACGTTTTGAACCATTCTGTAAGGTCAACGACAACATGGAAAGGATCAGTGAGGATGAGGTCAGTTGTGAGGAATTTATACGACGTTTTGAGGAGCCATATCTCCCCGTGGTGATTGTGGGCAGTCAAAAGGGCTGGCAGGCATTGGAGAAATGGACCCTACCACGTTTGGCGAAAAAGTACCGTAATCAGAAATTCAAATGCGGCGAAGACAACGAGGGGTACAGTGTGAAGATGAAAATGAAATATTACATAGAGTATATGCAGACGACCCGAGACGATAGTCCGTTGTATATTTTCGACAGCAGTTTCGGTGAGCATCACAGACGCCGGAAACTTCTAGAAGATTATACGGTGCCGAAATATTTCCGTGATGACCTCTTCAAGTATTGCGGCGAGGAGAGACGTCCTCCTTATCGTTGGTTTGTAATGGGCCCTGCCCGTTCGGGGACGGGTATCCATATAGACCCCTTGGGTACCAGTGCATGGAACGCCTTGATAAGTGGTCATAAACGTTGGTGCCTCTTTCCCACCCAAACACCAAAGGAATTGTTAAAGGTGCCCTCCCACCTGGGTGGTAAACAAAAAGACGAAGCCATTACATGGTTTAGTACCATATATCCGCGAACAAAACAGGCCGATTGGCCTAAGGAATATGCACCCGTAGAGATTTTACAAAAGCCTGGAGAGACAGTTTTCGTGCCAGGCGGTTGGTGGCATGTGGTGCTGAATTTGGATGATACCATTGCCATAACACAAAATTTCTGTAGTCGTACCAATTTTCCGATTGTGTGGCATAAAACAGTAAGGGGTCGTCCTAAATTGTCACGAAAATGGTTGAGGGTGTTACGTGAAAAAGAACCGGAATTGGCTAAAGTGGCGGAAAATATTAACATAAATCAAAGTACAGGATTCGCCTCGGATAGTTCCAGTAATTCGAGTTCCTCCTCATCCAGTTCGTCATCATCCTCCGAATCGGATAGTGATAATGGTGGCAATCACAGCGAAGACGACTCATGCTCCTCGAATACGGACAGCGGCCAGGAAAGTCTCACTGCCAAAAAGAAAAAGAAACGGCGCATGGGTGAGGCAATGACCTCAAGCTCATGATGGCCGTTATTAGTATTTAATTGTAGTCGACGAAGTAGTTGCTATTGGAGAAGACGTAACAAAAACACCAACGATAAAGTTAATAATAATGATAACCACAACAGTAATAGAAGTATTCCAAATAGTGCTGATGATGATGCCAAGACCACTGCGACCACCACCACCATTACTACTTCCCCCATACACCATAGACACCATCAAGATGTTCATGATCCGGCAATACAGCCAAAAGTCGATAACACCACAAAATTCCTAACTAGAATGCGTCGTAGTATGCTCTATGTGGGACTTTTGCTTGATACTAATAATAGTTAACAGAATTTTCGAATCAGTTTTTGGAAAATATTTTTTAAATCAACTTCTGGATCAATCGTTTGACTGATAATTGATGACTTTGAACATAATCACCTTTTATTTCCTTAATTATGAATGATATCAAAAAAATCGACTGGATATATACATAAAAATGCCTTTAATTGCAATTAAGTATTTTTTGTTGTTGTGCTGTTTTGTAATTATTCCAAAATTTTTTGAAAATGGTTGCAAAATGCTAAACATCCCCGCCAGAAGCATATCGTTGTCCTATTTTTTCTCAATGACCGTCGTATACTTTTATTTTTGATTTAAGAATTTAACAAATAAAAATAAATATTACTAATATATGATTTTGAAAACGTAATTAAACTTGTATTAAATAAAATATAATTAATAATATAAAAAATGTCTAATTATTTGGAGGATTGGCGTGGATTTTTTAAAGAATATTTTTTCAGCGACATACAAGAAGCGTGGTTTTTGGTTTTTTTTTGGGTTGAGGCGTCGGGTTAGTTGCCCACACTCGGAAAACCCTGCTACTGATGTGAAAAACGCAGCGTAAAGGGCAACGCGGCAGAAGTAGCAACACGTAATGCGATGGAGAATTATCGGCAGAAAAGGAGAGAGGAGAAACGTATTTTCAGAAAAAAGAAGAAAAAACAAGAAAACGTGAGCGTGAGCAAATCGAGATGCACAGGAGTCAGAATGAAGTTCGAAAATTTTACCAACGAGTAAAACACCAAATCAAAGGCTTTGGTGCAGGCACATTCTCCTGGAGAGATGAAGAAGGAAACCTGTTGACAGATACAGACAGCGTGCTGAGGATCTGGAAGGAGCATTTTGAAAAAATTCTGGTATCAAATAGTGGCGGTGAAGAGGATACCCCAGAACCAATAATATATGACGGTATAGAGTGTATACCATCTAGCCAAGATGAGGTCAGAATAGCAATCAATCAATTGAAGAATAATAAAGCAGTAGGTGCCGAACTATTCAATACTGGTGGCCAGATGCTGGTAAGGAGTATGCACCAGCTGATTAGTATAATTTGGCTAGAGGAATGCATGACCAATGAGTGGAACCTCAGCATCCTGTGTCCCGTGCACAAAAATATATAAGACGATATGTACCAACTATAGAGGAATAAGTCTCCATCCCGTAGCATATAAAGTTCTATCCAGCTTGCTGTGTGAACGATTGAAGCCAATGATCAATGGCATTATATTGGACCATAACAATGTGGCTTCATACCTGACAAACCCACCATTGTCCAGATTTTCACACTGCGCCAAATACTGGAAAAAAAACCAAGAAAAACACATCGACCTATTCCACCTATTCGTCAACTATAAAACCGCATTCGACAGCCCTATCCGTTCAGAGGTGTTTAAAGACATGTCTGCGTTTGGCATTCCTACAAGATTTATTCGGCTATGCAGGATAACTTTAACTCTGGCACAAGAGCAGTAGTTAAAGTGGGAAAGGACCGGAACCCTTTAATGCCGAACGAGTATTCAGACAAGGTGACAGTTTGTCGTTTGACCTTTTTAACATCCTGCTGGAAAAGGTCATACAAGAGGCAAAGGTGAACAGAAATGGCACCCTGTACACCAAACAACACATGTTACACGCCTACGCCGATGACATCGACATAATAGGTTGAACACTGAGAACGATGGGTCTGGCAGTAAACGGCGAGAAGATCAAGCTGATGGTATCAACGCGCAAGACGTCCAGTAGACTCGGACCAACTGTGAAACTTGAGAACTACAGTTTCGAGGTAGTCAAAGATTTTATATACCATGGTACCGTCGAAAACAAAACGAATGACATCAGTTTTGAAATTTGGATAATAGTCTGAGTATGCAACTCAAAAGCAAGGCTACCTCCCGCCAGACCAAACTCACACTCTACAAGACGCTGATACTTCCTGGGCTGTTATATGGATCTAAAGCATGGGTACTTACGCATGCAGATGAGGCAGCTCTTGGAGTGTTTGAGAGAAAAATTCTTCGAAAGATCTATGGGCCGATCTGCGTTGACGTGAATATCGCCGTTTTGAACCGAGTTTCTACAACAGCGATATTCGCTGTTGTAGGTACTCGGTTCAAAAAAATTCATTTTCCATTTTCCTATTAAAAATAAACCACATAGGATTTTTTGTTGTTTTAAATTTTTTTTTGCACAGAGAATCAAAAATGTTTTCGATTATTTTTTTTTTCTTTTACACAAGACCAAATAAAATTTAAACTAAATTAAAATTATGTTATTTAAAAACTTATGAGAGAAAAAAAAACTAAATGGAAAAACTCTTCTTCTTTAAAAATAATAAAAATATGGAGAAACAAATTAAATAATTTGAGAACTACAATTAAACAAAGTATATTGAAATTATATATTTAGCGTATGGATATCAAATCCAAAACTAATTAAAAAATCACAAAATAATAATAATTAAAGAATAATAAATGGAATATATTTTGTGTGTGTATGGAAAGAAGTTTTGTTTTCGCTATGGAAAAAATAGACAAACTAAATAAAAAAAATAGAAATGGCAAAAAGTCTTAAATATTTGTAAAATTTCTTGCGGAATTGTAAAAAAGTTGCGCCTTTTCTCTACTATTCCCCACTGAGTTTAAATCAAAATGAATTAAAAATTAAATTTGTTTATGGTTGTTATTGTTGCTGTTGCAGTTTTGTTATTTTTCACATTTTTCTTTTTATTGTTGTTGTTTTGAAAAACTGTTGAGTAAATGAATTTTGTTGTTGTGGATTTTTCTTGTGGCTGATTGTGAATGTAAAAAGAATGTGTGTATGGAGGAATTTTGTATGTAAAAATGGGTGTGTGACACAGGGTGGTGGAGTGTAGGAGGAGAAGGAAAACAATGGCTGCTGCAGTTTTACAAATATTGAATGTTTTTGTAGTTGTTGTTTTTGTTATTATACTTAATTGATGTACAAATTAAAAAGTATTTAGATTTTTTGTATGTTTTGTTGTTGTTGCTGTATTTTGTTTTTTTGCCACTCCGTAAACGAAACAACGACCAAACTGAATACGACACCACCGAACTTAATCAATATACTGCGCTAACCAACGGAAACCTTCACCATAGCCTTGTCTCTTCAGCACAGAGCACATGAACAACTCCAAGGGACGACCAGGCAAATCTGAGCGTGCAACTTTGCCCTGAAATTGAGAAAATCAATTATTATTTTTTTTTCAATCACTATTGTGTGATTGCAAATGCTTACCTTTCCAGTGGTCAATTGATAGAGACCAAATACATTTCTTAGTTCATCTTCACTGGCAGCACCTGGCTTATCGATTTTATTTCCCAAAATCAGCACGGGACAATTTGACAAGGCTTCATCTGTCAGCAGAGAATCCAATTCGTTTTTGCTTTCTTGGAAACGGCCACGATCCCAGGCATCGATCAAGAATACAATAGCATCCACAGCGGGGAAGTAATCCTTCCACACTCTACGGGCTGGAAGAGAGAAGTAAATAAAACTTATTAATTAAAAAATTAAGAAATTGTTTGAAAAAATAAGATCAAAATAATAGACAAAAATTTCTTTAAAAAATCCTTGAAAAAATCTTCTTCAAAAAATACACACCTCTGATAGGCCTTGAAAAAATATTTGTGAAAAAATCCACACCTCTGATAGGCCTTGAAAAAATATTTGTGAAAAAATCCACACCTCTGATAGGCCTTGAAAAATTATTCGTTAAAAAATCCACGCCTATTTTAAGCCTTGAAAGAATATTCTATAAAAAATCCACGCCTATTTTAGGCCTTGCAGGACTTTTATTTATCCATCCTAATTTTATTTATCCATCCAAAACTAAAAACGAAGCCGCCACACCAAATATTGACAGGAGTTAATAATGATGTAATTTCGAGTAGTAGTATTCAAATTTAGGGTTGTTCTTTTTATTATTCCCTCCCGAATGAAGAAAACAAAACAAAAACCTGCTTGACAACATTCAAAGTTTATGCTAGCAAAACTATTAACATGAAATTTAGTGGCAGGCGATGGTTGTTGTTATTGTAGCAGCCCTATTGCTTTTACACAATGGGCTGAGGTGACAGACGTTGGCCGAGTAAGACTCGGGTCGTTTCGGATCGTAGACCCCTCTGTCGAGGAAACGGGCAGGCGATGGTGGTGGTGGTTGGTTAATATAGAGCTGGTGATTCATAGCAAAGACTTACCTTGAGTGTGGCCACCCAAATCGAAGGTGGTGAAACGCATATTGCCAATGGACAATTCTTCCGATGCTATAAAGGAAATTAGAATTTAAATTGCTGCAATTTTTATAGGAGTGCTGATAGATGACTTACTGGGATGTAATGTTGGTACATGTTGGGCTAATTTATCATCTTTGAGCATGTGCAACAATGTGGTTTTACCAGCGTTATCCAAACCAAGGAACAATAATTTACCCGATTTTTTCCATAGACCTAAAGAAAAAGAAGAAGAAAAAACATTAGTATTTGGTTTTGTGGAATGAGACTTTCGAAATAATACAATGGGATTATATGTGACTTAGAGTAATATCAAGCCCTTATGGACTCAAGCAGTGGACTTCCAAAAGTTTACCGAAGAGAACATAAAACAAACCCCAAATTTAAATTGAAGAGTTTTTGCACACTGGCCTTATCCCTGGTCAGTGAGCGAAAACTAAAACGGTTAAATATGTTCCAACGGAAATATTAAGATAAATTCCATAAAATGTAGACCCTTAAATTCATATATTGGGTTTCGATTTGCTTTTACACCTAACGTATTCTCAAGACCTGAGCCGACTATTTGTAGGTCTCAGATGAAAAAAGTCGATGGGAAGAAATTGTTTATAGTTTGTAAAATTAGACTTAAACCTTCAAAACCATATGGAAAGTTTATGCCTGGTGGTATTTTATCATCTGAGAACCTTTAAAAGAAGTGAGTCGTTTATATGAAGCTAATTTCAAAAATGGATCAATATTGAAAATGCTCCGTCAGTAGGTGTCAAATTACTGACACTGCAGTTGGAGAATGTGGTTGAGAACCTTAAAATTACCTATAATACCCTATATGTCAATAAATACATCAACACGAAAATATTCTGCCAGGTCATAGGACACACCTTTCGAACACACGAAATGCCTAATAACAGCCACTTCAGTGGCAAATGCGGCGGAATCTTTATGTTAGGTCTATCACAAAATATCAATTATTTCGGTTTCTAAAATTTTGAGGACCAGTGTTTTGGTACTTTGTATGGAAACTGTTTTTTTTATCATTTAGTCCCGTTGAAGGAGATACCCCAGAACCAATAAGAGATGACGGTATAGAGTGAATAACACCTAGCCAAGATGAGGTCATAATAGCAATTAATAGGCTCGAGAACAATAAAGCAGCAGGAGCCGATGGGTTACCAGCCGAACTATTCATGACTGGTGGTCAGATGCTGCTCAGAAGAACCATCTGATTAGTACAATTTGGCTAGAGGAATGCATGTCCAATGATTGGAATTAGCCTTCTTCCCAGTGTGTCGTGTGAACGATTGAGGCCAACGGTCAATGATATTATTGGACCATACCAAAGGGGCTTCAGACTTGACAAATCCACCATTGACCAGATTTTCACTCTGCGCCAAATCCTGGAAAAGACCCACGAAAAACACATCGACACGTTCAGAGGTGTTTAAAGCCATGTCTGCGTTCGGCATTCCTGCAAAATAAATACGGCTATGCAGGATAACTTTAAGTGGCACAAAGTCAGCAGATAAAGTCAGAAATGATCTATTGGAACCTTTCAATACCGAATGAGGATTCAGACAAGGTGAAAAGGTCATATGAGACGCAAAGGTGAACAGAAATGGCACTCTGTACACCAAACAACGCATGTTACTCGCCTACGCCGATGACATCGATATAATGGGTCGAATATTGCGAGCGGTAACAGCCACTTTTGAACAATTTGAGAAGGAGTCCGCCAAAGAACGAGAAGACCAAGCTGATGGTCCAGTAGACTCGGACCAACTGTGGAACTTGAGAACTACAGCTTCGAGGTAGTTAAAGATTTTATATACCTTGGAACCGCCATAAATAAAACGAACGACATCAGTTTTGAAATAGTGAGAATGATTGTGATGGCCACAGATGCTACAATGGTTGTCCGAAAGATCTACGGGCCGATCTGCGTTATTCTCGGACATCGACATTGTTCGAAGTATTGAGCTGCAGCGACTACGTTGGCTAGGTCATATTGTGAGAATGTATGAAGATGCTCCAGCCCAAAAGGCATATAGAAACAATCCAGCTGATAGTTCACTCAGAAGGAGAAGGCCACGAATCCGATGGAAAGATCAAGTCGAAGACAACATTGCCGAATATGATATTTCGAACTGGGAAAACTGCGCAAAAGGCCGACGCGCCTGGAAATCTTTTTTAAGCTCGGCTTATGAAACGAAAGTTCTGCCATAAGTCAGCTAAGTAAGTAAGTATACCATAACTCGGGCATTTACAAAAAATTGAAAAGGCACCCCAAGGAACTCTGTAACATAGTTCGAAAGGTAATCACGATAATTTAATCGATAAACAAAATGAACAACCATATTAACAAGTCGTAGAATTTTATTTAAACATGATTGACTAGTGCCAGATTTAACTTCCATGCCACATGTAATGAAAGACATCAATAATGCATATGCATGTTGTCTTCTTATAAAAAAGAGATAAGGATATATGATTTTTATAAACTTTATTGGAACTCCCTCAGTACCCAAAGATTGAAAATATCCTCCTCAAAGACACAATTAAAGATAAAAAAATAAAAGAAGTTTGTTCACCCAAATTGCCATATAATTCTACTCTGTCGGCAGTTGGAACAGATTCAGACTGAACAAAGAAGTCACTTATAACGTTCACGTTTATTTGACTACCAGCACATCTCGAATCTACACCAAATAGACCACCAGATCTCAAACTACTCAATATCTGTGAGCTATTCATACCTTTAAAATATTCAATAAAATATTTTTTCCTCTTACACAATTTTCAAATGTTGGCCCATTGAGGTTTTTTAACAAATCTTACAAATTGCCTGAATTTATTCAAAAGACAGTAGTTGTCGAGGCACGTTTTTACATCAAGTTTGAGAGGGTTCCATACAATTGTCTGATATGTAAGGGTTTAAATAAAATAAATAAATATGGATTTGGTCCAACGATGATATATCCTCATGTACCTTACATGTCTTCTCTATATTTAATTTCGAATTTGTTCAAAGTAGAATACCCTTCAATATATCTACAAATCAATCGTAGCGAATAATATTAAATTTTAAATAATTATAATGTTAAAAAAACGGACAACCATAAAATAATTGGATATTAAATACCATTTCCGTTTTGCATTGAACTTGATCGGTGTATGTTAACCTTTACCACCATAATAATACAATAACAATGGATAAGATAATTATCTACAATGGTTATGTTGTTTTTGTAGTATTGAAATACACCGCAAGCTACAGCTTTGTGTAGACGGAGAATGCAGCTACATTTTTTGTGAAGATGGGTCTCATATTATTAAGGCCACTGTAACATATTTTTTAGGTTTAGTGAAAACGAGATTATCAAAAGAGAGTTCGTTTTTACGGTCGAGATGTGTGTATTGTTCTGGTGGCCAAAGATCAAACGTCAAAAGTGTAAACACAACAACGCATCATGGCCAACATGGTGTTGTGTGTGTTTTTCTTTAAACGTCAACACTTGTTTAAGCTACTGACTACGAAGACTAATACCGCTCGCTGTTGACGGTCGGTCTGTCTTTCTGAGCTTAGCCTATATGTTTGCTTTGTTGGCAAATTATATAGATATTTAGAAATTTTGAAATTAATATTTGTTGGTTAATAGGTTCGTTCGTGCTCTACTTACCCAAATATCCTAAAACACCGGTAAACCAATCCCAAATGAACATTTTTGTATGTTTATTATACTTCTACTAAGATGCGGGGAGGAAGAAGGGAAGTTTTATTATATTATATCTTTTTTATATTGAAATGCTGCGGCTCTGCTGCTGCTATTTTGTTAAACTAAGCTGCAAAGAAAGGAAGAGAATAAAAGAAATGTCAGGAAAAAAATATTTAAATGACGGAAGAAATTAAAATCGAGCAACAAATAACAAAGAAAGTAGTGCAATTTTCATTATTAGCACACAAAGCCAGACCCGCACACACACATATATACACCGACGCCCCGCCATACGCCAATTTATTTCAATCGGAACCCAAAATACTATCTCTGGATGGCTGAGTTTCGATGATGGATCGAAGGAGGGAGAATTAATTTTGAATAGCTGCCTATAGAGTAGATATTTATAATAATCAGAATAATTATTATTACATGCTTGAAAAAACTGATAGTTCGGAATGACGGGGCAAGAAATTCGACGAATGCAAAGCAATAAATGATAAGATGGATGGTTGGATGGGTGATTATGGGGCTTGCGGGATGGCTGGCTGGCACTTCAAAGAATGAACAAAAGTAAAGACAAAAAAAGTAGTTGTGAATGGCTGGCAGGTTGGTTTGCTGGCTGGCTCTCTAAATAAAGAGACTGAAACCTTGACATAAATATGTGTAAGGCGCAAATACTACACGGTGCGGTTGACACAAAATTATTATTAATAGATTCATCCATGGCTGGGCGCAAAAAAAATTGTGTTATTTAATAATTTGCATTTTTTACATTTTGTACTTTAGACTTCGATTACGAAGTAGCTTATTGCATATTATTTATTGTATGTAATAAATTCCGAAAAATTCTGAGGCAGTTTAGCATTTCTCCATACTGCATGCTCTTCCCAAATTTCCAACCCAAAAACAACAATAGCCACGATTTACACTTCAAATTTTCTTCTGACCAATCATTGTTGTACGAATCACACCACCACCACCATCAACACCGCCGCCGTCGTCGTCTGTCTTGTCTGCCTGGCCAGTATGACAACTAGTCAAAATCAGCAGCCAGTCAGCCAGCGTATATGTGCGTGTTTCTTTTTATCATCGTTTTTTACACTTCCTATTTTTTTTCTTTATTTTCACTTCAAATCTTTTATAACAATTTTGTTAAAGGTAAACATTTAACGGGGATGCTGGAGTTGTCAATTGTTTTTATCTCTTACCTAATGGAGTATATATATTTAAATTAAAAAGTACAAATTCCAATAAATTTATCCAAAGCTCTCCCCTATCAAATTTTCACTTAATTCTTTCCACGTATTTTTTCTTATAAAATAGGGCAATGCAGTTCGACTTTTAGACTTATCGACAGATTTCGATAAGTTGCAAACAATAGAAATGTCAAAATTGACAATTGGTGAGGTTGCCACATAATGACGTACTCAGTGATGACATGCCATCTTTTCGTTCGAGTGGCCAACAAAATATTTGACGAAGTGTTATATTGCTTTATATGATATGAACTTAATTTTATTTATTAATTTAATAATGAGAAAGCCTTCACTGCCAATAAGTCAATTACTTCAGGTATCTAGTCTAGGACCAATGGGTCCCATCTTTGGACTAGATCTAAGCATTCCACGACGGAGGGGTCTTCGACCCGAAACGACCAGAGCCTTCCTCGGTCAACGTCTGTCACATCAGCCCATTGTGTAAAACCAATAGGGGTGCTACAACAACCATTTGTGGGGGAGGTACCAGAAGGAGTGGGGCAATGGGTCCAATGTTTGGACTAGATCAAGGTTTAAATCGAATAGTCCGTTCGCATCATATAATTTTTAGCACAATTTTGACCATTTGGTGGGGGTGGTACCGAACTTGATTTAATTTTGGAAGAAATATAACAATGTGCAGAGCTTAGATGAAATCGGTTAATGCCTTCGAGAGTTATCGTGCGCAAAAGCCGACCAGACAGTCGCACGGACATGTACAAATCGACTCCCAACAGATTAGGTTCAAAGAAACATGGGGTCTAAAACCGCATGATGAGACACTTTTTAGCCGTATCAAAGTGTATGTACCCCCTCTAGCCATAAAACTGATTCTTGCAGGTCCTGGAACAAAGCACATACCGTGCTGCTCAAGCGGATTTACATATAACATTTAATCGTGATTAAAGGCTTAATCAGGTTTTTTTCATAATCAGGTTAAATTTACCATACAAATTTAAATCATCGTGCGGTCGGGTTTATTTAAAAACCATAATCGAAATCATGATACTAATGAGATGCAACGCTGTTTTTGTACGAAAAAATACAACCCTCTCTTAGGCTTATCTTGGTCCCTCTTTCATCTCAATTGTGGGCACTGACCTCCCCGCTGTGTCACTTGGGGTAGCTACTTTCATCATCCGTTAAAATAGTGAGCCTTACAGGAAATGGAAAGGGACTGACATAAGTAAATCAGCGCCTAGAAAAATCATATGACCGCTGCCCTGGCCATGGCATTAAAATTCTGCTAGGAGATTTTAATGCGGAAAATTCAGCCTTCGTGACGAAGCATTCCTTGTCCGGATAATAATATAGAAGCACAATGGCAAATAATTGATCACTCCTTACATACTGCAGCAAAACAACACTTGAAATTCGGAGGACAATCGTGTAGGCCAACAAATGCTACTATAGTCTTAGTAAGCAGTTTAGAAACAAGGCCACCTCTCGCCATACCAAATTCACACTCTACAAGAGGCTGATACTACCCATGCTATTGTATGGATCTGATGCGTGGGTAGTTGTGCCAGCAGATGAGGCTGCTCTTCGAGTTTTTGAGAGAAAAATTCTCCGGGCCGATCAGTGTCAACGGTGAATATCGCCGTAGAAGGAAACATGAGTTGTATAATTTATTCTCGACATCGACGTAGTTAGACGCATCGAGCTACAGCGACTACGTTGGCTAGGTCATGTTGTAAGAATGAATAAGGATGCACCAGCTGCGCGCAAGACCGACGAGCCTGCAAATATTTTTTATACTTGGATTATGGAAAAAATGTTCTGTCACAAGCTAGCGAAGTAAGTCTGATAAGGGGGATCCCCTTAAGTGATTTTTATAAATTTGTCAATATTTTTATACCCTCCACCATAGTATGAAGGTTATATTAATTTTGTCAGTCCGTTGGTAACTCATCGAGATATATATTCCTGATCAGTGTAAAATTCTAAGACGATCTAGTCATGTCCGTTTTTTGTAATCACGTTGTCTTCTGTAATCACGTTATCTTTTTTGTAATCACGTTATCTTCTGAAGAAACCGAATTCACTGGAATTTGGTACAGTGGGTTCTTATTGAGTACCAAATTTCTCCACTAAAAATTATAACTATAGGCCCATTTTTTCCGGTAGCCCCCATATAAGACACCCTTAGTTTTCAGTATTTAGGGGTTCTGAGCGCGTTTTTTTTTGCCCCAATTCGTTGTAATTTGGTATTTTGTAATCGCATATGGTAACAAAACTTCTTACCAAAAATTATAAATATTCGCCCGCTTTTAGGGGTAGTTCCCATATAACCCCCTTCTTATATTAAAATACTTAGCTGATTAGTTCCGTGTGTAGGAGTTGTCTCCATATAGGCGCGTATTCTACCATAGTATAGGGGATAGTCGTTACTTGAAATAGTCAGTTTTACACTACAAATTATGGAATTCTAAGACGATTTAGCCATCGGTTGTAATCATTCCGCTTTCTAAGGAAATTGCGATAAAAAACTCGAACCTGATGATCATGAAATATATCGGCCAACATTTAGGCATCTCCCCCATATAATTATACCTCCTGAATGAAAGAATTGAGACACAAAACAAAAATATTGGGTTAGAAATTGAAATATGTCGGTCATTAAATAGACATAGCCCTCATATAATTATAACCCCAAATATTCGTTAATCCCAACACTATGTAATCTAAATTGCAGTAGTTGGAGGATTGTGTATTCTACCATGCGTTATTAGTATCAGTCAACGCTTGGGGTTTTCATTAAAAATTGCTGAAATTTGTATTTTGTGTACACAATGGTTTACATAAACTAGTTTGTAGAATTATCGGTATAGGTTAACTTCTTGGTATGTTTCCTATATTTTCATTTCAAGTATCTGTTGATATACCTATGGTGGAGGGTAACCAAAGTTCGGCCCGGCCGATCATAACGCTTTTTCACTTGTTAAATATACACGTTGGCATCACTTCTATATCTTGTAGTTCTACATCTCTTAATATTTATAACCATCTCATGAAATACAACCATGTTGACAGTTGGCAACGCAATTCATGTCACTTTACACTATTGGGCAATAGATGGCACACCAAACAAATATCGTCCTTCACATATATTTTACTATTATTTTAACAATTTATTTTTAAAGTTTAAACAAAATAAAAAAATTTAAATAAATGACAAAATATTAAAATTGATACTTATTAAATAAAATATATATTTCTTTGTCACATGTCAAAATGTCCGATTGACAGCTGAAATGCAATATTTTTTATTGCAACGCTGCATTGTTGTTGCCTCTCGGCATGTGCATGCATGTGTATTGCAACAACTCGGCGCATTATGCCGGCTTCAAGTGTTTTTGCAATGGAGATAGAGAAGGAGAGAGCAAAATCATCCATGGTGGGAGAGAGAGAGAGAGAGCGCGCATATATATGCAAATAACAGTAAATACGTGCATTTAGCAGCTTTGTGAATGAAAGTGTTGTTGTCTCCATCGAGAAAATAAATAATAGACATTTCCCCCCACAAACAAACAGTTATCAATATATAAAACAACAACAAAAGTGCATTATTAATGTGATATACTCTCTAAATAAAATAAACAAAAACAATAACAACAAATCTAAGTGTGCATATAATAACGAATTTGCCAATTTTATTTCATGACGCGAGACTAAATCAATTCAAACCGTAGACTTTGCAGTAAGTTTCTTCATTCATTCATTGTTGTTTATATGCCATATAAAAAAATGATGCGCACGTGTCTGTGTATTATGTATATGTATATATAGCGTATATATGTATTGGTTGTATTTTTGCCGGCTTGTTGTGTGATGAAACGTACTACTACCACATGCTCAGAGATTTCCGACTGTATCATAACGCCGCATTGCCTGCAATGTTATATCCTCCACCTGTACGTGGTGCGGTGTCTCAAGTGCATACATAATTGCATCGGCCACATCGCCAGCATTCAGTTTGGGTAGGTCAGCAACAGTGTGGGAGTAGACATTAAGAAAATCGGTATCCACCATACCAGGATTTATGCTCTATGAAGAAGAAGAAAATAGAAGAAAGGGGAGAGAAAATAAATGTAAATAAATTATTTATTAAGAGGAGAATTCAAATCCATGAGTTATTTATAGAAATGATTTATTTTTGTTTTTTTTTTTGTATGTGTAAGAGGAGAACATTTGTTGGCATTATTTAATTGCATTAGTGTCGATTGAATGTGTGTAGGTACAGAAGACAGTTGATAAGGTGTTTGACATAATGCACATACATATTTATGTACTTTGTTCAAAATCTTGTAGTATTTAGGCAAATTGTTGAATATTGAAAATTTGCAATTTCTACCGAAATGTGAACATTTCTATTCAATTTCACTCTCTGGATTAGTTAAAATTTCTGTAGAATGAAACAAATTCCATTGAAATTTTCTGTGGAATAGGGAAATTTCAATGAATTTAGCTACGGAATATAGAAATTTTGTATGAAATTTGCTATGGAATAGAGAAATTTTAATGAAATTTGCTATAGAAGAGTGAAATTTTAATGAAATTTTCTATGGAATTGTGAAAGTTTAATGAAATTTGCTATAGGATGGTGCAATTTCAATGAGTCTTGGCATAAAATAGTGTAATTTGCTAATGTAATTTGCTATAGGGTAGAGAAATTTCGATGAAAGTTACCATAAAATAGTAAAATTTCAATGCAAGTTGCAATAAAATAGTGAAATTTCAATGAAACTTGCCATAAAATATTGAAATGTCAATGAAATTTCCTATAGGATAGCAAAATTTCAATGAAACTACCCATAACATACTGAAATTTCAGCGAAATAACCCATAAAGTAATGAAATTTCAGTGAAATATTTTTGTAAGGTAGTGTAATTTCAATGAAATTTTCTATAGGATAGTGAAATTTAAATGAAACTTGCCATATAGTAGTGAAATTTTAATGAAACTTGCAATAGAATAGTGAAATTTCAATGAAACTTGCCATAGAATAGTGCAATTTCAATGAAATTTGCCATAAAATATAGAAATTTTAATGAAATTTTCTATAGAATAATGAAATTTCAATGAAACTACCCATAATAGAGTAAAATTTCAATGAAATTTTCTATAAGATAGTGAAATTTTCTATACGATAGTGAAATTTCAATGAAACTTGCCATAATATAATTTTCAACGAAATTTTCTATAGGATAATGAAGTTTTAATGAAAGTTTCTATAAGATTGTGAAATTTCCATGAAATTTTGTATACAATACTGAAATTTCAATGAAACTTGCCATAAAATATGGAAATTTCAATGAAGTTTTCTATAGGATAGTGAAATTTCCATTAAAATACCCATACTATAGTGAAATTTCACTTAAATTTGCTTTAAGAATGAAACTTGCTAAAAAATAGTGAAATTTCAATGAAATATTCTATAGGATAGTGAAATTTTACAGAAACTTTTCTATAAAATAGAGAAATTTCAATTAAATTTTCTATAAAATACTGAAATTTCAATAAAACTATCCATAACATAGTGAAATTTAAATGAAATTTTCTATTATATGGTTAAATTTCAATGAAATTTTCTATAAATTAGTGAATTTTCAATGAAATTTTTTATAATATAGCGAAATGTCAATGAAACTATCCATAAAGTAGAGAAATTTTATTGAAATTTTCTGTAATATAGTGAAATTTCAATGAAACTTTCTTTAATATAGTGAAATTTCAATGGAACTTTCAATAAAATAGTGAAATTTCAATGAAATTTTCTATAATATAGTGAAATTTCAATGAAACTTTCCATAAAATAGTGAAATTTCAATGAAATTTTCTAAAATATAGTGAATTTCTCTATTAAATAGTGAAATTTTCAATAAGATAGTGAAATTTTTATGTATTTTTTATGGGATAGTGAAATTTCAATGAAACTTGCTATAAAATAGTAACATTTCAATTAAAATTGTCATAGGATAGTGAAATTTCAATCAAATTTTCTATAAAATAGTTATATTTTAATGAAATTTTCTATAATATAGTAAAATTTCAATGAAATTTCTATAGGGTAAATTTCAATTTTCCATGAAATAGTGCATTTTTAATGAAAATTTCCATAACATAGTGAACTATCAATGAAATTTTCTATAGGATAGTAAAATTTTATTGGAAATTTTCTATATATGACATTGATATTTCAATGAATTTTTTTATTAGGTACCAAAATTTCAACGAAAATGTCTATAAGGTAGTGAAATTTCAATGAAATATTTTTATCAGATAGTGAAATTTCAATGAAATATTCTGCACTTTCTGCTTCAATTGCTTTTACATTTAATTCCACATTCCGTCCATTCCCTAACAGGATATTAATGACACTTCTTCAAATAATGCTAACGAAGAGGTCATGGAAAATCACTTTGTTCAGAATTCAATTGTTGCTCCCTTTTGGCGTGAACTTTTTCCTCTGTTTGTTTTTTTCTTTTCACAATATTTTCAACATTTAATTACCGCCGGCCAATGCACATTGTGACTTGTCACGTAAAGGCGAAATCTGCGAATATTTACATACATACGGCAATGGCCAATACAACATCATTGTTGAAATGTTTTTTGGTGCAAATATCAACAGTCAGCTCAGTTGAAAAAGGAAAATACTATGGTCTGTTTCCACGATTTTTTTCTTTCGTTTTTTTTCCATCGAATCAATCAGCGATTGTTGTCGTCATTTAACCACCGCACACACACGGAAACATGCAGCAAAAGAGAGTTTTCCTTTTTTGTGTGAAGATACTTAACAAGGTTATGGTTCAGGAAATGCTAAAGACCTGATTTTTCGTATTCACCGTTGGGTGTGGAGGTGCGTGTATATGGGTATTTTAAGGAAAGACTTTACTCCTTTTATTCAATTACAGCCTAGTGATGTCAAAGCCACAATGAATGATATTATTCGATGTAATTACGTTTTTTTTGCAAAGTACATTAATTATCACGCAGCTTAAATAAGTGCATTATTGTACAGTGAGTGTTAAAAGTTTTCGACACAATGATAGACATCCCTAAAAAGTTGATTGTATAAAAAATATCATTGAAATTTCAGTATTCTAAAGAAAATTTAATAGTAATATTAATATTCTAAAGACAATATTTAATTAATTAAATAAAATTGGACTATACTATAAAAAGAGTTATTGAAATTTCACTTTCCTATACAAAATCGCATTGAAATTTCACAAACCCATGACATTCATGGAAATCGCACTATTATATGCCAAGTTCCATTGAAATGTCACTATTATATGGAAAATTTAATTGAAATTGCACGAACCTATTGCAAATTTCAGTAACTTATTACAAATTTCATTGAAATTTCACTATCAAATTGCAAGTTTCATTGACAATTCTCTAACCTGTATCAAATTTCTTTGAAATTTTACTATTCTATAGAAAATTTCAATAACAATTTTAGTATTATATGTCATGTTTGATTAAAGTTCACTATTTTATAGAAAGTTTCATTGAAATTGCACTATCCTATTGCAAGTTTCATTGAAATTGCACTATCCTATTCCAAGTTTTATTGAAATTTCAACATCCTATAGCAAATTTCATTAAAATTTCACTATCTTATAGCAAATTTCATTGAAATTTCACTATCTTATAGAAAATTTCATCAAAATTTCACTATCTTATAGCAAATTTCATTCAAATTTTGCTATCATATAGAAGATTTCATTGAAATGTCACTATTTTATTTCAAACGTCACTATTTTATTTCAAATTTTACTATTCTATGACAAGTTTTATTAAACATTCACGTTTTTATACAACATTTTATAGAAATTTCACTATCCTTTAGCAAATTTCATTGAAATTTCACTATCTTATAGAAAATTTCATATAAATTTCACTATCCTATATCGAATTTCATTGAAACTTCACTATCTATAGAAAATTTCATTGAAATTTCACTGTCCTATAGCATATTTAATTGAAATTTCACTATTCTATTGCAAATTTCATTCAAATTTCACTATCATATAAAAATTTTATTGAAATTTCACTATCATATAGAAAATTTCACTATCGCATAACAAATTTCATCGAAATTTCACTATCATATATTTCAAAATTTCAGTAGCCAAGTTTCATTGAAATTTCACTATCCTATATCAAATTTCAGTGAAGTTTCACTATCCTATATAAAATTTCATTGAAATTTCACTATCATTTAAGAAAATTCATTGAAATTTCACTATCTCATAGCAAATTTCATTGAAATTTCATTATCATATATCGAATTTCATTGAAATTTCACTATCATATAAAAAATTTTATTGAAATTTCATTATCCTATTGCAAGTTTCATTGAAATTTCACTATCATATAGCAAATTTCATTGATATTTCACCATCATATATCAAATTTTATTGAAATTCCACTATTTTCACTGCTAACAATTTCATTGAAATTTCACTATTCATTGAAATTTCAGTAGCCATAGACAATTTCATTGAAATTTCACTATCTTATATCAAATTTCAGTGAAGTTTCACTATCCTATATAAAATTTCATTGAAATTTCACTATCCTATAGCAAATTTCATTGAAATTTCACCATCATATATCGAATTTCATTGAAATTTCACTATCATATAAAAAATTTTATTGAAATTTCATTATCCTATTGCAAGTTTCATTGAAATTTCACTATCATATAGCAAATTTCATTGAAATTTCACTATCCTATAGCAAATTTTATTGAAATTTCACTATCGTATAACAAATTTCATTATTCTATAGCAATTTCATTGAAATTTCACTATCCTATATCAAATTTCATTGAAATTTCACCATCATATATCGAATTTCATTGAAATTTCACTATCGTATAACAAATTTCATTATTCTATAGCAATTTCATTGAAATTTCACTATCCTATATCAAATTTCATTGAAATTTCACTATCCTATAGAAAATTTAATTGAAATTTCACTATCATATAGAAAATTTCTATCATATAGAAAATTTCATTGAAATTTCACTATCATATAGAAAATTTCATTGATATTTCACCATCATATATCAAATTTTATTGAAATTCCACTATTTTACTGCTAATTTCATTGAAATTTCACTATCGTATAGAAAATGTCATTGAAATTTTACTATCATATAAAAAATTTAATTGAAATTTCACTATCCTATATAAAATTTCATTGAAATTTCACTATTCTATTGCAAATTTCATGGAAATTTCACTATCGTATAGAAAATATCATTGAAATTTCACTATCATATAACAAATTTCATTGAAATTTTACTATCCTATATCAAATTTCATTGAAATTTCACTATTCTATTGCAAATTTCATGGAAATTTCATTATTCTATAGCAAATTTTATAGAAATTTCATTATCCTATTGCAAAATTCATTGAAATTTTACTATCCGATATGAAATTTCACTATTTTTTTAGAAATTTTTATTGAAATTTCTCCACTTTATGGTATGCTTCATGAAATCTTCACTATTCTATGGAAAATTTCATTGAAATTTCACTACCTTATACCATGTTTCTAAAAATGTCCCTCTTTTATAAAGAAATTCAATTATTATCTATAGAAACTTTCATGAAGTTTTACTTTCAAATTGTTCATTAAAATTCCCCCACTTACTCACATTTATTACTCACTGTACACCACTTTTTTTTGACTGTCCACTTGAACACCACCATGAAATGTAATCAAGTGTAGACCCTCTGTGTGTCACTCAAACGACACACAACATACACATATGTAATTTTTAACATGTGTGTGTGTGTGCGTGTGTGGTAATCTTTCTCGCACGCAACATATTGTTGGCTAGCGCAAATGAAGAATATTTACTTACCGTTAATTTGATATTTAATTTAAGGAAATGGATTTCCTGACGCAACGTCTGACACAGGCCCGTAATGGCATGTTTCGTGGCGGGATAAACACTGAATAAGGGCACGGCAACATCGGGTATACGATGGCCCAGAATGCTGATGAAGAGCGAAAAAAAAACAAAGAATAAAGATTGGAGAAAATAAAAAGACACATGGAAACGAAGCAAGTGGATAAACAATTAAATGTTGATGAAGGAAGAGCAATCAAAATCAAGGCAATCGGTGGATGGGTGTGCGGAGGATGTAGGTGTTTCTCTTTTTTTTAATGGACACACAACCCGAGGAAGGAAAGGATGGCCACCTTTGTTTTTTGTCTCTTCATTTTGACGTTGTGTTGCGTAGCGTTTGCCGTCCGTTCGTCGTAAGGCAACAACAAATTTTAACCATTCCAATTAGTGACCAAAGATAAGTGTATTGGTTTCATCAGCTGCACTTTGCAATTTAAAATTGTTCGCCAACGCTTCGACATCTACTTCTTGTTCTTCTTCGGGTACTTCTTAATGCAGTGTTAACGACAGTGTGTTGAAAATTGTCATTGGAGCGTAGGCGAGTGAGGAGAGCCTGAGAAATACTGTCAACTAAAGGGATTGGCCTTTTCCGAATCATTGAATCGAATAAATTGTTTCAGTTTCTGCTTCTTTAAAAGCTTCTTATGCAATTAATGCTGTCGTTTTCGTGCGAAATGTTGTGGTTTTTTGGTTTTTGTTGTGTAAATCCGATTATCGGGATGTTTTAAAAGGAAATTATTTTATGGATGTTACAAAAAATGGGTCAGTGATTTAAGTAATTTAAAACCTGCAACATTGAAAAAATTCTTGAAAAAATGTTGTTTAAAGAATCCACGCCTTTGATAGGCCTTGAAAAAAATCCCTAAAAATATATGCCACTGATAGGCCTTGAAAAAAGTCCTTAAAAATTCACGACTCTTACAGGCCTTGAAAAAATGTCGTTAAAAATTCACAACTCTTATAGGTCTTGAAAAAAAGTCGTTAAAAATTCACGACTCTTATAGGTCTTGAAAAAAGTCCTTAAAAATCCATGACTCTGATAGGTCTTGAAAAAATATTCTTTAAAAAATGCACGCCTTTTTGGATGGTCGTTGAAAAAATATTCTTTAAAAAATCCACGCCTTGTTGGATGGTCGTTGAAAAAATATTCTTTAAACCAGTAAGGAAACTAATTCAAGTACAAAATTTCAAGTGAAAATCTCGAACTCTTGACGGCCGATTTATTGTGTCAGCATCAAATGACGGCTAAAGGGCTTCTCAAACTTTAAACGCGTTTTTCTCTTTTGCGAATGGCGGGCACGATAACTCAAAAACTAATAACCCAATCGATTTCAAATTTTTACACGTATGGGTCCTTTAAACAGGACTATGAAATTGTATCAAATAAAAAATGTGATATATATCTAAATGTGAAACGACCTAGATCTATCCATAAACATGTCATTCGTTTGTTACAATGGAACAAAAGTATGTAAATCGACTTCAAACAAATATCAATAGGTCAACCGTTGGGCTAGGTCTGTACTTCTAGAAAACCCAACTACGTTATTCTATGCTCAAATTTGTACGTTGTGCAAAATTTGATGTCAATCTAACAAATATGAGGAGTTTGATGCATAATTTACTTATATAAGGATGCTATATCCAAATATGAACCGATTTCAACGAAACTTGTCACAGGTTAGGTAATGCTAATTTCAGTACGTTTTGTTCCTATCAGCCATATATTGGTTCCTTGGTGCGTCAATTACTTAAAACCGATCTATAATATAAGGAAGCTATATCTAAATCTTAACCGATTTTCACTAAACTTGGCACACATCATTCTAGATTAAATTCAAAACGCTATGCAACATAAGAACTTGGTACATTATTTAGATTAAATCGGACGAAAATATATATCTAGATCTGAATCGATTTTCACGAAACTCAGCACAGATCATTCCAGCATCAATTCAGAACGCTATGCCAAATTTTGTGCAAATCGAAAGATAAATGTGGTGCACCATTTACATTAAATCGGACGAAAATATATATGCGAGCGATTTTCACTAAACTTGGCACACATCATTCTAGATTAAATTCAAAACGCTATGCAACATAAGAACTTGGTACATTATTTAGATTAAATCGGACGAAAATATATATATAGATGAATCGATTTTCACGAAACTCAGCACACATCATTCCAGCATCAATTCAGTACGTTATGTCAAATTTCGTGCAAATCGAAAGATATATAGGGACTTTGGTGCACCATTTACATGAAATTGGACGAAACTATATATGGGAGCTATATCTAAATCTGGACCGATTTTCACGAAACATACCAGACATCATTCTAGGCTCAATTTAGTACGTTATGCCAAATTTCGTGCCAATCGAAAGATATATAGGGACTTTGGTGCACCATTTTCATAAAATCGGACGAAACTATATATGGGAGCTATATCTAAATCTATACCGATTTTCTGGAAACTTGGCAAACATCACTCTAGGCTCAATTCAGTACGTTATGCCAAATTTCGTGCAAATCGAAAGATATATAGGAACTTTGGTGCACAATTTACATGAAATCGGACGAAACTATATATGGGAGCTATATCTAAATCTGGACCGATTTTCACGAAACATACCAGACATCATTCTAGGCTCAATTTAGTACGTTATGCCAAAATTTCGTGCCAATCGAAAGATATATAGGGACTTTGGGGCACCATTTTCATAAAATCGGACGAAACTATATATGTGAGCTATATCTAAATCTGGACCGATTTTCACGAAATTTGACAGACATCACTCTAGGCTCAATTCAGTACGTTATGCTAAATTTCGTGCAAATCGAAAGATATATAGGGACTTTGGTGCACAATTTACATGAAATCGGACGACACTATATATGGGAGCTATATCTAAATCTGGACCGATTTTCCCAATTTCAATACTTGGCAAATCATTCTGAGGCTCCAATTCAGATATATATGCCAAATTTCGTGCAAATCGGAACCATGTGTCTATCTCGTTTTGGTTTGCACCATTTACATGAAATCGGGCAAAACTATATATGTGGTGAAGGGTATATCCACGCCTTATTCGAGACCCTGATTTTCACCCTGAAATTTGGCACGCCTTATTCGAGACCCTGAAAAAATCTAGGCTCCACGCCTTATTCAGACGTTAAAAAATACCAAATTTCGTGCAAAAAATCCACGCCTTATTCGAGACCCTATATTCTTTAAAAAATCCACGCCATTGGACCCTGAAAAAATATTCTTTAAAAAATCCACGCCTTATTCGAGACCCTGAAAAAATATTCTTTAAAAAATCCACGCCTTATTCGAGACCCTGAAAAAATATTCTTTAAAAAATCCACGCCTTATTCGAGACCCTGAAAAAATATTCTTTAAAAAATCCACGCCTTATTCGAGACCCTGAAAAAAATATTCTTTAAAAACTCCACGCCTCTGATAGGCCTTGAAAAAATATTCTTTAAAAACTCCACGCCTCTGATAGGCCTTGAAAAAATATTCTATAAAAAACCACGCCTCTGATAGGCCTTGAAAAAAATATTCTTTAAAAAACCACGCCTCTGATAGGCCTTGAAAAAATATTCTTTAAAAAACCACGCCTCTGATAGGCCTTGAAAAAAATATTCTTTAAAAAATCCACGCCTCTGCTACTTACTTAGCTGCCTTGTTACAGAACGGTTTTTCCATAAGCCGAGCTTAAAAAAGATTTCCAAGCGCGTCGATCTTGTGCGCATCTCCTTCAATTTGAAAGACCACGTTCCAGGATGTTGTTTTCTACTTGGTCTTTCCATCTAATTCGCTTTTATATGCCTTTTGAGCTGGGGCATTCTCATTCATTCGCACAGTATGGCCTAGCCATCGTAGTCGCTGCAGCTCAATACGACCGACTATATATATGTCCATTCGACGCCGATATTAACCGTCGACGCAGACCGGCCCGTAGATCTTTCGGAGATTTTTTTTTTCAAACACCTCAAGAGCTGCCTCATCTGCTTGCGCAAGTACCCATGCTTCAGATCCATATAACAGCACGGGTAGTATCAACGTCTTGTAGAGTGTGAGTTTGGTCTGGCGGGAGGTGGCCTTGTTTCTAAACTGTTTACTTAGACCATAGTATCATCTGTTGGCCATCATAATCCTTCTCCGAATTTCTAAACTGATGTTATTCGTTTTATTTATGGCGGTACCAAGGTAGCTACCTTGAAGCTGTAGTTCTCAAGTTCCACAGTTGGTCCGAGTCTACTGGACGTCTTGCGCGTTGATAACATCAGCTTGGTCTTCTCGCCGTTTACTGGCAGACCCACTTTGGCAGACTCCTTCTCAATTTGTTCAAAGGTGGCTGTTACCGCTCGCAATGTTCGACCCATTATATTGATGTCTTCGGCGTAGGCGAGTAACATGAGTTGTTTGGTATACAGAGTGCCATTCGTGTTCTCCTTTGACCCACTTTGACCTTTTCCACCAATATGTTAAAAAGATCACACGACAAACTGTCACATTGTCTGAATCCTTGTTCGGTATTGAAGGGCTCCGATAGGTCCTTTCCGACTTTAACTGCTGATCTTGTGCCAGTTAAAATTATCCTGCTTAGCCGTATTAATTTTGCAGGAATACCAAACGCAGACATGGCTTTAAACACCTCTGAACGGATAGGGCTGTCGAATGCGGCATTATAGTCTACGAATAGGTGGTATGTGTCGATTTGTTTTTCGTGGGTCTTTTCCAGGATTTGGCGCAGAGTAAAAATCTGGTTAATGGTGGATTTGCCAGGTCTGAAGCCGAATTGACATGGTCCAATAATGTCATTGACCATTGGCTTCAGTCGTCCACACAGAACGCTGGATAGGACTTTATATGCGATCGGAAGAAGACTAATTCCTCTATAGTTGGCACAGATATGCTTGTCTCCTTTTTTGTGCCTGGAACCACAGGATGCTGAGGTTCCAATCATTGGGCATGCATTCTTCTAGCCAACTTGTACTAATCAGCTGGTGCATGCTCCTGACCAGCATCTGACCACCAGTCTTGAATAGTTCGGCTGGTAACCCATCGGCTCCTGCTGCTTTATTCTTCTTGAGCTGATTAATT